ATGTTTAACCAAACTTCTGGGAAGTATAAACAAAATTTTCTATCTTGAAATGAACAACAATAGATGAACCAATAGAAATGGAAATACATTACACAGAAAGTTCATTTGTGCTAATCAAACTGTGCGTGAAATAACCTGGAGAGTTTGAGTTAAATTGTTAATTGCACACGTACTTCGAATTATATGCAGATGAAATTATATATACTGATGAAATTCCCACTAGCATTCACCAAACTCAGATATTTGTACATAACTCTAAACATGCAGAACTAAATGTAATTTCCAGTATATTTACTGTAATAACAAATAAGAAGAACAAAACATTTTGCCATATATTTTATTATTATTTATCCGATAATAAACCAATGGAGCAAATATTCATTTCTCAATGCACTATAATTACTAATTAGTCTCCGCTATCAAAAATTCTTCATATCTGCAATCTTCTATCGATTAGAATAATTTATGTAAATATTTCAAAATGCAAACTGTTTCTGTATATACTATTTAGTCGTATATGAAACGTAGTTTACGATTGATGAAAATTAGTATGGACTATATTAATTTTTGGTATTATTTAATTAGAAAGACTAAATACAGAGAAGATGAGAAATTTGTGAACCGCAAAGTGTTATTTTTAATACTGATCTGAACTTTTTTTTATTAGGTACAAGTTCACCTTGTATAGATATATATATTGTTTCAATAAAGTGCAGTACAAACTACATTGTACATGCATGAATATATTTGAGCATAAAAGCGTCTACTGCTAAACCTATGGAATCCAAAGAACGTTCGACAAAGGCTTGCTGTACTAGCGCAAGTCGCTGCATAAGGCATAAAGGACTACAGAAATATATATATATATACATGTACATGTTACTTGAAAATACATGACAGATGAAGTGTGTATAAGCGAAACCAACTTTGCACAGTTTCTACATTATTTTACAATATGCAAGTTCACTCGAAACACAGTTTTTTTCTCTTTTTTTTTGCCAATTCATCAAAATCATATATCCACAAAGAAAATTACGAAATCAATTCTAAAAATCTTACAAAATAACCTTTGTTTCTGATGAAGAAACTTTGACCTATTTTCAAATTATAAATTCCTAATCCAATTTTCATTTATTAAATCTACAAAAATTATTTTATATGCCTATAAACATTCAAATCTGCACGTAATAATTTTTTAACTTAAACTTCCTGTATAAATAAAAAAATTCTAAAAAATTCACGAATATTAATTTCATATAAAATTCGGCCTTACAAAATTCTATCAACTGAAAACTTACAAAACCTCTGAAAAAAAAATTCAATTTTCCAGAGGGCTTTCTATAAATTACGTAACAGCTTTTACGTGTGGAGAGGAGTTTCCACGAAAATGTTACAATCTGTTGCATGGGAAAGGGTTTATGGAGGAGGGAGACCAACACTATTACATAATTTTATCCTAAAATGAAACTCTAAATTAATTATTATAATTTATCAAAAATTCATTATTAATATTAAAAAATTCATAATTCAGGTAAAAAAAAAATATAATTTCCCTAATAGAAAAATATTTATTAAATGTGAATTTATTGATAACAAATTTTCTCCTTTCTATAAAATTTTTTTTTTATTAACTCGTATAAAAAATCAAAAGATAATAATTTAACAAGAAAATGCTTTTTATATTTTTGAATAATCTAAATAAACAACTATTTTGAATAATAAAAGTCAGTGAAATAAAAAAAAAATATATATTTCCTGCATTATAACTTCCAGGGGCATAAATTGAAATTAATTTAGGTGGTTTTTGATGTGCTTGAAATGAAAGTAGTAAAATTTATCAAACAATCAAATACTGCAGTTGGGAGTTTTGATGATGGAAGGGTTGAAATTTTACCTAAAAGGGGGTTGAAGAAACGAGACCATGGAAAATTGCGCAAGCGCTAAGCTATTCGTGCTTGCTTGTAACTGCCGGTGATTTGACACAATGTACATTCACGAGTGTAAAAGGTTCGCGGTAGGTTCTACTCTCTCTCTCTCTCTCTCTCTGATGCCAGTGAAAATATTCTCAAGGAAAGAAAAAAAAAATATTGACTTTCTATTTTTACTTTATCTCTCTCAACACTTTATTTTAAAAAAAAGTCTTTTCCAATATTTTTCGACTCTACTCAATTAGCAGATTTTTAATTTTCCCAATCAGTGCTATAAAAAAATATGCAACTTTCAATTTTTGCTGAGTGATGTTTTTCCACACAAGAAATATAAAGAAAATGACAATAAAATAAAAAATTTCTTCTTATCTTTTATATTTATCATTTCTTTAAATTTATAAAATTTCTAATGTGATCTTGTTTTTATATATTTTTCATTGTGAAAAATTATTTTTAGTAATCAAAAGGAATTCCAATTTAGTGCTAAAAAAAAAGATTTTATCGAAATTTTTTTTTTTTAGATTCATTTTTATTTTTATCGTATGAATGAATTTTTTACTAAAGTTTTCCAGCATACAAAATAATAACGCTATAAATAAAGAAATCAGAAATTAAAAAAAAAAATGTTCAAAAACTTAAACGTAAGTTTTCTCTTTCGCTCATTCACCCTACCGAGTTTTAGAGATGCTTGAAAATCTGGAAAGAGTATATATATATATGTTCGTGATGCGAGTTTCGATGAAACTTGATTAATCGAAGATTCGATGAAGAAACTTTGCGAGAAAAAAAATGTCATGAAATTATTCTGTTTTACTGTTTATTTTTTTCAGAAACAAATTCTATAATCACTATTCTGACTCAATTACGTATTATGTAACATATTTTTTTTTTTTTTTGATTAAATTAAATAAATTTAACCCATACCCTTTATATTTCATTTTCACATCTGCTTCCTCGAATTACTGAATTAAATTATAAAATCAGAAACTCAACGTTGACTATGTTTTCTATTTGATACTATAATTGAATTAATTTTTTAATTTAATATATTGAATTTTCTTAAATTAATTTAGTGACTAAAAGTAAAAAGATTAATTCAAAATCAATTATTTAAAAAAAAACACCTATTCCTAATCTAATACAAAATATATTGAATTAAGAATTATTTTTAGAATAAACACAGAATAATTATATTTATAATTTAAGATTCAATTTTAAATATTTATTATGCTCAATATAAGAATACTATAATTTTCATTTAATTTTCTAAATATGTAATCACCTTTAATAAATTACATCAATTAATTTATTATTCTCATTTAATAAATTAATAAATTTTATTTAAATATTAAAAATTTCTCATTTATTTGCACGTTGAAAACTTCAAGTACAGACATTTCCATAAAAAAAATTAATTATAATATCAATCTTTAGATTAAAGTGTGCGTATACACTTAAGACGCTTCGTTGCAAAATTGTAATAAATTAACTATTTTAATTAATTTTAAGTTCCATAAAGAAAACCAATATATTTAAAAGCAACGAATAAATAATGAAAAAAAAGGGGATTTTAAATATTATAAAGAAAATTTATAATTAAAATCTATTTTTTAATTCATGTTTAAAAAACAAAAATTCTAAACTTAAATATAAAATATCTCGATAAAAGTTATTTAATATATAATTATAAAACTTTTAAACGTGGAAAAATTAAATATTTTTCTTTTCATTTGTATAATATGTAGTTTAAAAATGTTGACGTAAAGCAACATTTTGTTCAAATTAACGTTTAGAACTTCGTAATGAAAAGACTTTTTAAAAGTTTTCATTTTGAATTCATTATATACTTTTAATAATTCCATGCAGCTCCTTAGAATTTATGGGTTTATCTAAGCTTTCATCTTATTTTCTTTCAAAGTAATGAACGATGGAGGCCATTATTGTTTTAAAAAGATTGTTTAAAAAAAATAACCAACCCTCAATTTAAAAATAAATACCACTCTCGTAAGTGATAATAATCAAATTTCATAAATAAGCATCATCCTAACAATTCTTAGTTTGCACATTAAAAAAAAAAAAAAAAAAAAAAAAAAGAAACCAACTTCAGGTATGTTTAAAAACAAGATTTTTACACAAGAATTATTGTAATCATTCATCTGTTTTACGTCAACACTGTGTATTATGAGTGAATTGTTGGAGTGAAAAAAAAAAAAAAAAAAAAAAGTGGTTTTGTTAATACTAGTCTTAGATTTGCGATAAAGTATATTGCACACGAGATAAAATCCCACAACATTTTCCGATAAATTTCATCTGTCACTATCCTCTATAACGATCATTTCTTTTGTAAATTTCTCTTAATAATAAAAGCCATTACAAAAATTAAAATCGATTTTTATTGAGAAAAAAAACTATGAAACAAAAAAAAAAAAAAAATTTTCCCAATACCCAATCTCTTTAAAAACTGAAAATTCACAATTTATAGAGAAAAGACAAATTTTAAGAAAAGCTGAATATATTTTAAAATTTGTTTCACAAATAACTTTTACGACCACTATAAAAATTTATCAATCTAAATTTTAATCTTCTTAACTTTAAACTTGATAAAAATATCCGTTTCTTTTTTTTAAAGTTTCTTATTTTTATTCAAGAAGCCAAACTTCCGGACACTTATTAAGAATTTCAAGTTTCTTTAAAAAAAAAACCCTCACATCTTTATATCAAATCCTATTTCCTGAAACACGAGAAAAAAAAAGAAATTCCCCTCTATATAATCTATTCACGAAAATGGAAAATTTCTTGGGAAACAAAAGAAATCAAGTCCATTTACGAAAATTAAAGGAAGTCAAGGTGAAAGGGGTCCAAACTGTCAAAATCGAGAGAGAGAAGTGAAAGAAGATTGAAGCGGTACGTCAAATCAGACATGCACGAGAAAAGAGAGATGAGAACGGAAGGACAGACGGACAAGTGGCCCGACGGAGAAATACGCACGAAATGTGACAGCTATGTCCACGGGGGGGATGAAATTTTTTATATAAATAATAATTGAGAGAAAAATTAGTTTATTTTACTTACCAGATCGGTAGCATAGGGTCCAGAACGGGTGATAAACAGGTATTCCGATTTCGAAGTTGTAAACCGGGGTCGGGAACGGCTGGCAGGGACATCAGGCAAAACAACGCCGTGGTAACTCGACCTGGTCGAGATTCCCCGTTCGTTCCTTGAAGATGATGAGCAACAAACTTCATCCGCAGGATGTGAGAAAAAATCCACTCAATATGATGAATAGCAGTCTCCACCTTGGCCGAATATCTCGCGATGACGGCGGGGGATCCGTCGTCGTGTGTTTAATATGGCCGTCAATCGTTTCTGCCGAGTCTCAAGTCGCACGTTTAAATTATTGCACTGATGACGTTTTTATTTTCAGGTGAACGCATTTATTATCACAATATCCGGCGCTAGCGAACCCTTGACATGGTTGTTTTTTCTTAATAATTCTTATTTTGTACACTGTTCTTCACTTGTCGTTTATAAAATAGAGACCACCACGTTCCATTGACAAGAAACGAATTTGGAGTGATTCAAAATTTTTCCAACGAATTTAAAACACGCTTTCACACAACACTCACGATTTGAATTATTCTCAAGATTTGTTCGTTGCTTGTTAATGAGCAGGTCACACCTTCCAATTTTCTTGTTTTCACGCAGAAACGTGAGACGCGGTTTCGTTGCGGACGACGTCAACATTACCAAGCTGCGAGGCGGCCATCTTGAGAACACACACATGCAACAAACGTGAAGAGATATATGTATATATATATGTGTGTGGGAAGAGCTGTTATGATTGTGTTAGTGTTGAGTACGTGACGAGGACGTTTCTCGTGGCGCTGCTGTCGCACTAATGTAACATTTTCCAAAATTACCCCTATTTTTTTAAAATAAAATTTCTAATAATAAAATGAAAAAATGCTTTTTATAAATATTATCCTCTTAAACTATTTAATTGATATTTTAATGATTTTTAATCTTTTTTTAAAAGCGGATCAAATTGTATATTTTAATTGCTACAATTTTTTAATTTAAATTATATAAAATAAAGATTTTCTATAAATATTAACTTTAAAAAAACAATAATATTTTTTCAGTAAAAATATCCACTTTTAAATTATTCACAAAAAAAATATTTAAAAATTAATAATATTTATAATTGTAAATAATAAGGAATTCAAAGTATGTTAACAATTTTTGTAAAATTTTACCTGTGAATTTAAAATACCTATAAAAATTAAATTAATAATACTTTTAAAAAAAAAATTAATTATATTTATATTTATTTATAAATTTCTAATTGGAAAAAATAAATAATTTTCAATTAACTGTCTATTTCAATACTAATTTCCAGTATTAATTTCTGACAGAGAATTTCATAGAAAAATTGTAATATTGAAACGAATAAAAATATAATATCTATAAATCTTAATTAATATTCGTTGACTGCAAAAAGTTTAGGAAGAGAAAAAGACTTTGATTTCTGAAAATAAGTCTATTCGCTTTCAGTGGCTTCATAAAAAACTATATCAATATTATAATAAATGCAAAAACACTCAATTGAATCAACATTCAAGTACCATACATCTCTACAAACCTTTTAGAAAAATATATTTGAAATTTACAACTTTACCCGACAATCGAGATTAAAATTTAATTATTAGTAGAAATAAAAAAAATGTTTTTTCTCGTAAAACTTTCATAAATGTTTGATCAAGTGTAAGATACTGATTATTTATAATATTATCCATATGATATTATTATATAATATATAGCTCTAATATATTGAAATTTTCCAGTGAAATATATATTTAAAAAAAAGTAATTTCTAACCTTCGTGAAAAAAATTCATAGGCACGTATAAAAGGTAAAAAGTCTTTGATCACACATCTTCTTTCGTCGATTTTTCTTTTTGTGCTATTATTTTGCGCCTTTTTTTTAGAAGCCACGTTTCATTTCGCAAAAGACAAAAAAAGTTTAGGCTTTACGTATTTCTTGAACGGCAGCAACAATGTTGCGTGCACTAATGCCATATGCGTCCAATAAAACAGTTGGTGGTCCCGAACGTGGAACTTCCGGTACGGCAAGTTTCTTGACAATCACATTTTTCGTCATTGCAACAGCTGATAGTACAGCCTCTCCCAATCCACCTTCGGGATAATGATCCTCGACAGTGACAATTCTACCACCGACTTCTTTTGCATTTGCCAAAATTGCAGCCTGATCAATTGGTTTAATAGTGAATGGATCCATAACACGAACATGAATACCAGATTTAGCCAATTCCTCGGCAGCTGCAATAGCCTCGTGAAGTGTAACACCAGCTCCAATAACAAGAACCTCATCTTTTGGTGATGATTTGACAATTTTACTTTTTCCAATTGCAAAATTCTCATCGTTCTTATAGAGGACGGCAGTATTTGGACGTGATGTACGAATGAAACAAACGCCTTTTGTATTTGCTGCCAATTCAACCGCTCGTTCCGTTGAAACAGCATCACTTGGATAGAAGACAGTTGAACCAGGTACTGTTCGGAACATTGCAATATCCTCCAAACCCATTTGTGAAGGACCATCTTCACCAATTGATACACCGCAATGGGAACCAACAAAATTTACATTTGTCTGCGAGATTGCACCCATTCTTATCTGTTGGATAAATTCATTTTGTTGACTTTCCGATTTTTAATTTTTAAATTTGAAAATTCAAAAACAGTAGTTAATTATTTAATTTCAAATTTATTACCTGATCGAATGCTCGAGTGAAAAATGTGGCAAATGTAGAAACAAAAGCAACAGTTCGATCGCGGCAAGTTGCTCCCATTGCAACTCCAACTAAATTTTGTTCGGCGATATAACCTTCAATATATCTCTTTGGATCGACGGTTTTGATTTTTTCAGAAAATGTTGAATTTTTAGTATCACCGTCTACGGCAATAACTCGTGAATTGTTCTTGGCAATCTGAAATTTATTTTAATTAGGAAAATCTTTTTAAACTATTTTCAGTTTTTCACGATGGTTAAAAAATTTCCCAAATTTACACGGACTTTTTTGGTATTTTAAATATATAATATTTATAAAACGATTTGCAAGAAAATTACCTTTGCAATAGCTGTTCCATAGGCAGCGCGTGTAGCAATAGCTTCACCAAGTTTATAACTTGGTGGTGTATCTAATTTAATATTACTAATGTCAATTTTTGGTGCATCCTCCACTAAAGGTTTTTGAGGATGAAGTTCAAGTGGTCCTTGATTTTTAATAAGTGTAGTCAAGTGCTGAAAAAATAAGATACATTGAAATATCGCCAATATTGAAAATCACGTAAAATTTAATTCAAATTTAAAAAAAAAACTTGTTAACAAAGAAAGAAGTACGCAAAGTTTTTTTTTTAAAAGAAGGAAACTAATGGAATAAAATCTAATAAAAATTCTTACCTCAATTACTTCATTAGCTTTGGCACCAAGAGGTTTGCCGTGCCAATTGTCCAAATCCTCGATATTTGGGAAATTCTTTCCCTTGAAAGTCTTGGCCAAAACGGCAGTGGGACGTTCTTTTGTGCTTTGTGCTTCGTGGAAAGCCTGATAAATAAAAAAAAGGTGAATAAAACTAATGGATTAAATTCTCTATTATTTGTTTGGATAATTTTTTAATAAAACTAATTCTATATTGTTCTGAATTTAAATAAAATTTTCAATTCTTCTTGATTAGAAGGTGAATTATAAAGTAAATTTTCAATATTCATACCTTCGTGAGTTCATCAACGTCGTGTCCATCAACAACCAAAGTATTAAAACCAAATGATTCGAGGCGTTTGCGATAAACTTCCATGTCATGTTGAATACTTGTAGCCTCACTCTGTCCAAGACGATTAATGTCAAAAATAACACACAAATTATCTAGTTTATAATGAGAAGCGAAATGCAAAGCCTCCCAAATTGAACCCTCAGCCGATTCACCGTCTCCAACTAAACAGTAAACCCTGAAAACACATTTAAAAATTTTTGATTACTATTAAGGTAATTTTAAATTATTATTATTCCTCTCTTTTTGTAAATTTTCATCTTGTTATTTTATTTATTATTTAATTTATATTCCTTAAATTATTAAGTTGCTTTTCTTATCATTGTTTTTTCTCAAAAGAACATTATTTTCTTTTCAAAAAAAAAAAATAAAATAAATATGAGAAATATATTTACATCCTTAATTTGAAACGCTTTTTTTGGTATCTGAGTGTAAAAACAAATTAAATAATTTAACATTAATTACCGGTAACTGGCTTTATCGTAATTTTTGCCAACATAGGCCATTCCTGCCGCTACAGAGAGGCCCTGTCCCAATGAGCCTGTTCCTACATCAACAAAGTTCAATCTAGGAGTTGGATGACCTTCAAGGTCACTGTCAAATTTCCTTAAATTTTGCAAATCGGAAATCTGGAAGAGGCCTGCCTCTGCCCATGCTGAAAACAAACAATTTCTCATTAATAAAATTTAATTATATATACTTATTTCTATTTTATTTTAAATTATTCTACTTTTGTTTATATATGTATATATTTAAAATATTTTACCTGCGTAAAGAATAGGAGCTGCATGCCCCTTGCTGAGAACAAATCTGTCACTGCTCGGATCTTTTGGTGCAGAAACTTTATAGCGCATTGTATGGAAGAAAAGAACGGACATTATTTCTGCCATGGACGAGCATGATGTTGGATGTCTAAAAGAAAAGAAATTCATTAATTTTTTTATAATACAATTTTAAAGAAGTAAAATATTAAATAATTTTAAATAATAAAAGAATAAAAAATAGTTTTCAAGACTTGAAAAAATGATCTTGAATACAAAGTACATATTAATACATATCACAATTAAACAAATGAAGCAAATTTTTAATCATTATCTGATATATGTATCAAATGTAGGGAAGATGTTGTTTTACAAAACATTATCACTTTGATGAATAAAATTGTCTCAATTATTAAAAAATCTTTCATTTATAAAATATTATTCACTGTATTTTTATTCAGTGATAAACAAAATTTTTAAATATTTTTTCAATATATCAGAATTTATCAATATTCCAACTGAAAAAATTTTATTTTTAACTACAAGAAATAAATCAATGTTAAATGGAACAAATTTAGAAAACTATTAAGAAAATCCGATTGTGGAAAAGAAAATATTTAAGTGAAGAAAATAAGTTTTGAGGTGAAATATTTTCACTAAAAACTAATGAAAGGCTAATTGTATATAATTTAAAAATAATTATGCTAATCAACATTTTAAAATTTGGTGTATGAAGAAATTATTAATTTTTACACAAAATTTTAACTGTATTTCTATAATTAAAAAAAAAATTGACCTCCTGAATGAATGGAGTAAAAGTTGAGCTAATATAATCATTTCATTATCATACGATTAAAATTACGTAAGCACGATTGTTGATTGTATATTTTCTCCTAACATAACGTCAATTAATAACAATAAATTTGTTATCAAATCAAATTCCAATATTTTAAATTTAAAAAAATACATTCAATATTATAATTACACTTATTAACTTTGTACATTTCACACATTAATTTTTTAATGTTAATTACACAATTAATTAATTACTATCAACTAATTGTCCTAATTTCATCCAATTTTTTCATTCATAAATAATAATTTTTAAATTATATAACTTTAAAAGTTTGAAGAAACTTTGAAAGAATTATTATAGAAGGACAACACAATAATTGAAGGTCACTCTTGAATGGGAATTTATAACGGTTAAGTTAATTTTGTATAATTAGCGAATAAAAATAAAATCTAAACTTAGAAAAATATAAAAATTTCTAGTAAAAATTTAATTAAAAAAAAATTTTTTTCTCTTTTTAAATTAACGGAAATAAGAGGTCAAATGACGAATGAAGCATATAACAGTTTCACAAGCGTAACTATCAAAAGTTTTGACAATTTGCAAAAATTTCTTAACTTGTTATCATTTTGCCTCGTAAAGGTCACGTTAATTCAATACATTGTTCATTCTAGAAAACAGTTGAAGAATTATTATCGTCAAAGACTATGAATTTTTTTTTTTTTCTTCAAACGACACTGATATATAAATAGAATTTTCTGATAAGTAGATGGAAATTTTTCTAATTCATAATTTTTCCCAATAATTATCTAAAGATTTACATTAAAATTCTTAAAAGAAAATTTAAATTTTATTTACAACAAAATTTCCCACGTAATTTGAGAAAATATTCAAATACAAAAAAAGGAATTTTAAGAAATACAAACATTTATAGAAAAGACAAATTTTCAAAATTTGAATTTATTAAAAATATATTTAAACGGTTAATGATTGAAAGATAATCGATAATTAAATTGAATTAATTAATAAAAAATTGAACGATTTTTAACGTTTATAATAAAAATAAAATTTCATACCCGCTTTTTGAAGCTTCAGTGGCATTAATACTAAGTATTCTAAGCCTGTTGGCTTCATCGCGCAATTTTTGCAAATTTTTAGTCGAACTCATGACTATATAATTTTAATCAATCCGAACAAGTTGAAGATTCAATATAAACTGCCGGTTGATTGTCCATGAAGTACGCGGTACTCAGGAGTTGGTCACTCCCACTTTCAAGTAAAATCATTCAACATAGTCTACTGCCACCTATTACAAGTACCAACAATCTAACAAAATCAATAATTTTTTGAAAAATTTTCAACAAAAATCGTCTTTAATTATCATTATATTATTTCAATATAATTTAACAATATCAATTTATTTAATTTTTCAAAATCATTTCATTTTCACAATTACTATTTAAATTTTGTCAAATTAAAGCTAGCTAAAAAAATGATATAAACTTGGAAAATTAATTACAAGTGAAAAAAATTAATAATAAATTAAATTTAAAGGGGGAAATGATAAAAAATTATATTTTCTAAAATTAAAGAGACATCTAGATGATCAATGAAATAGCTTATTTCTCTTGTCGATATTTTCTAGACAAAATTTCCATACCCTGGTTGGCTATGCGCGTTGAATTCTTACGATTATTGACAGAAACGCGTGTATTGAACGAATAATACACCTCGCAGGATTTAGAAAGGCATTGCATACCATGTCAAGAGTAATAAAACAACTTAACAAAAATTTCATAGAAAAATTTTAAAGAAAAAAGCTTAATTTAAAAAAAATATTACTAATAATTTTTTATTTTAATATAAAAAACTAATTCTAATAATTTACTAAAATGAAAAATATTTTTATTACAAAAATAATAAACCCTATTGTGAAATTGAAAATAAGTATTAAAAAAAAAAATGAAATAATTTTCTTTTTTAATTAAAAAATTGAAAATATTGTTAACTTTTTTTAAACATATATTCAAATTGAAATAAAATTAATCTTTATTTCACATTGACAACAAATTATATATAATCAGAAATCGTGATTTTCTTTTTTCTATTATTCCTTATATTCATGTTATATAAGAAAACTGATTAAATTTATCTCTAACAATAAGCGTTCAAAAACCACGTGGCGAGAAAAAAAAAGAAATGATTCTCTTCTTTCTTTTAATTAATATAAATTCTACAATTAAGTATATTGAAAGAGATTATGTATATTACAATAAAATTCAATAAATGCTAATTATTTACCCGAAAAGAGATTGATTAAATAAATTTTAAATTCAAATCGTTTAAATTACAATATTTAAAATTTTTCTTAATTGTTTTTAAATTTATATTTCATTACTTTCTATTCTGCTACTTAATTTTATAACCGTAGTCTATGTAAGTTAATTCCTTGTGTTATACGATAGCAGTATTATTATCTCATTTTGTTCTTTTTACAGAGGTAAAATTACTCTTCACAGTCTTCACCTTTTTAGAACGGTCACACGCATAAAATCCGAGTCGACGCATAAACGATCCAAACTTTCCTTGAACCGCGTGTCACGTTCATTCAACAAAACTATAATGTTTTGTCGTATAAACAAGTTTAATATATTTTTCTAATGCATAAACTGGAGTTTTCTTTTATATACTTATCAATAATAACTTTGTTTATAAAAAATTTACAATTTCAGTGTGCCGCTACATTCACAATAATCTTTAAGATTACCATTTATTAATTATCTCCAACACAAAATTTATCAATAAATAATAAATTTTTATAAATTAATAAACTATTCTATTTCACGAGAAATTATTTTTTTCTTCTAACCGCGAAAAACCGCGACCTTGAGTCATTAAGACGCGCTTAAAAATGTTCTATTTTCAACTCTCTTGTGTCTATAATTCAAAAATAGTATTTCAAACAAAGTAAATCCTTTTTTTAAAAAAAACAACAGAAATTAGACCATTTTTTCAAGCCCAATTATCCATATCCAAGGACAATGGAAAATTTTCACTTTTTATCATGACTTAACCTATATTTTGTCATGCAATTTTTGATAGAAAGCAATTTTTCCATTTAAAGAATGAAATACATAATGTTTATTATTGTAATGAATTCTTTTTCAAAAAATAAAAAAATGATAAAAACTTACCCCGATTTACTGGCTTGCGTGGCTTGAATAGAATGGATTCTCAGCTTGTTTGCAATGTCCTTCAATTCTTGAACAGTTTTGGACTCTGGTTTATGATAATGTGGCATTTTGAATTTACTTTTGCGAATTTCAAATCTGAAACAACTTGTTTTATTTATAATTATTTAAAAAAAAAGGTAAAAATAAGAAGCACACCGGCAAACGATCACGCAACAAGTTGATATCACGTATCGCACAATAGGAATGGAATAAATTTACACGCGGTAAGGCAAAATCAAAACCTTATGGCGCGTTTGCATTAAATATTTCAATAATGGCCACTGCCGCTCTGTGATTGGTGCATTTCGAAGTAAACGTGGCGCCAAATTTTAATTTTAATTTCTACAATAGGTTCAATGTCAGCCATGATTCTGCAATCGTCCAATAAAAATGAAGAATTTAAATAAATTTTTAAATTCGCGCGTGCGTTCTAAAATTTAAAAAAATAAAAAGATCTAAAACAATTAAAAACTTTAATATTTGGATATAAAAAATTATTGTCAAAATTTTCAATTCAAATAATGTTTTTATTTCGACATTCGAATCAGGCGTAAAATGACAGAATTCTATTTCTAAATTATACAGGAATCATTCTCCTTAATAAAAGCATGCGTCTTAAATGCGCCAAAATAATATTCACATCTACTCACGAGTCGTTTATTTATTTTTTTTTTTTACATTATATTTGTATATTTTTCAAATGTACGTTTTTAAAAAATCTCATTACTCTGAAGAATTAATAATGAAATTTCTTCAGAGATAAAAATTGTCCAAAGTAAAAAAAAAGCACACTTCGATTTACTATAGAATACAATCCCATAATAATATTGTATATAATCATTCAATCAATAATTAACATTATCAATATTAATAATAATTATTTATTAATATAATTATTAATTAATAATTAATATAATTGTATATTAATTATTATATTAATATTGTCAATTAATTACTAATAAAGAGAGATATACAAAAATTGAGATTCACTTTTTGAGGCAAGCTGAACAAAAAAAGAAAGGAAAACCGTGTCATCAACTGTGAAAATTCAATATTATTCGCCGACATAATAAAAAAACTAATTCTAACAATTCTTTGGACACTACATAATTGATTAATAATTCACATATTTACAGCGATGCCTTGTACAACAAAGTTTGTAATTAATAATTATGTATAGAGAGCTTTTAAAAGCAGTCAAATTTAAAAAATTCTTTGTGAATTTTTATTGACTGATTTACATAAAAAAAACTGGACTCAGACATTAATATCGAGACAAGCATACAAAAAGCTATAATTTTTTTTTATATAAAACGAATTACTTCCTAAAAATCGTTAAAATTTGACAAAAAGAGAAATTTATATTTTGTACTCTTGTCTTGATATTGCGACAGAATTTAATTATAATTGTTTAATAAATACGTTTTTTTTTATTTAAAGAATTTTAAAACTTTTTGATTGTAATTAAAATTTTTTTAAATCGTTTCTTATATTAGATCAAAAGGAATGTTTGAAATAAATCTCAAAATATTTTTCAAGAGCCGTGAATAATAGTTTCAGTCGAAATTAATTTTTTTTTTGTCTTTTAATTATTAATTTACTTCTTTATTGTAATGAAAAATTTTTAAATGGAAATTATTTTTAATCATCCCTTTTTCTAGAGTTAAAAAACATTATTTAATTTCAATTTTCATGAAGTTAAAAATCCTTTTAAAAAAAAATTGTTTTTAACATCTGTATTTTGCGCATTAATATATATATATATAATATACCTATTGGTTTATAATGTATGAATTAGCTACTTAGGCTTTTCGTTTTTTTTTTGGACTTGAACATTCTAAGATGTAATCTATAATATTCTGTAACACTCTTCTAAAATAAGGGTTTTGATTTTTATTTTTACATAATCTTAAAATGTCAATTCTGACGGATTTCTCTCGTTATCTCACCTGGATGGACACTGCTCTGTTTTGTAACGTTAATAACGCATTAGCATCTATTCTGGACAAGTGCTTAAAAAGCCGTAGGTACAATTTTTTTTTTAGCAGAGTTGACAAAAACAAATCTCATCAACTAACTCTATATAAATGTTTTTTTTTCTCGATATTTTGCGCTCCACTATTTAAAAGAAATTTCTTTTCATTTCTTTTTTCTTGCGGAAAAATCTTTTGCACAGAACGTGACAATAAACTGTACATATTGAGTCTCGTCATTGTATATACTTAAAATAACTGTACAAATTTGTCATTTCTTTAATCGTAATTAATTAAAATATTTCTAAAATTACATAATCAAAATTGAAAAATTTCCTTTCTTTTTTTAATATAAAATAATAATTAAGCACAATAAAAAAAATATTTAAATGTAAACTATTCAAATGTAATTCCAACGCTGACTTCGTTATTTATCTCAATCAATTTTTTTTTATTTTACAATCGTACGAAATCAAAACTTTTTTTTAATATACTCTTAAGTAATATACATATATATTATCACATATATTTTTTTCGATTATATATGCGTTGAATAAAAAGATATTTTTAAATATTATAATCTCTTTTTAAAAATTGAAAAAATAAATAATTTAGCTTTAAAACAATGTCAATTGAAAATTATATCAATAAAAGAAAATTATTATAACTTTATTAAAAAAAAAAAAACAACAGGAATTTTTTTGCATCAAAAACTTATTTTTAATTAATGTTGGTGCATGATCATTTTTATAAATCTTTAATGAAAAGGAAGTTGGTAATTTAGAAATATTGTAAAACTGTCACGTATAAATAAATTAATAATTAAATAGTTTTCGTGTATCTATCTATATACATTAATTCCATGGAATTTTTTTTCATAGAAATAGGATGCTGAGAAAATGTTAAGTCACTTGAAAGAAAACTTTAATTTTCAAATTATTTATTCAATTATTTAATTGATTTATTTAATTTCATTTTATTATTTGATCGAACTAAAACTGTAAAGTTTAAAAAATTAATGGAGAAAGTTAGAAAATTAAATTTCAAAAGCTAGTAAATTGACAAAATTATAAATTAAATCTAAAATAATCGATAATTAAATCTCAATAGATTGTTAATTAAATCTTAAAAGATTGTTAATTAACTTTGAAAGTATTGCTAATCAAATCTCAATAGACTGTTAATTAAATCTCAAACGATTGTTAATTAAATCTAAAAAGTTTGAAAATTCGTATTGTTCTCTTTCAAGTGCAAATGCTAAAATTTTTGATCAGTGCTATTTATTTTTTACGCCAATTTTCTTGAGTTTATATTAAATTTTTCTTTTAATCACAATTGAAAAAACGAATATTAGATTAAAACTAATTCCAAATAATTTAATGTCATATTCACTTGCGTCAGTCTCTACGATCAGTAAAAAAAAGTAAACAAGTCTCAAATCAAATATTCGTAAATTTTCAAAAAAAAAAAGCTATTAAGAAATATTTATAAACATCTATAGAAAACTAAATAATTGCGTCTTTTTCTCTACTTTAAAAAAAATATTTAAAAAAACAAGTGCAGCAAAAATGCATTGTTAATAATAAATTATTTCGTGTAAATTGATTCGAAAAGACTCTTTCACTCTCCTTAACAATTCCCCATGAAACGCAGAAAGTATAAAAAAGGAAAAGGATGATCTCATATTTTCCAAAAATGCTACACTTGATAATAAACGTTTGTGTTTGTGTATATATTACAAAAAATTTCAAACAGTAGTTCCGTATGTGCTGAACATAACTCTAGTGGTATCAGTATCAAGAGTAACATCCTCTGGTGAAGCAAGATCAACTTTCACTGAACCAGAATTATTTCTTCGTCTAGTCATACCGCCACCCCAATTTGAGAGAGTCCAATGATAGGTTTCACTCTCCTTTTCCTCATTTCCACTTTCTTGCGTTTCATCAGCTTTATCCAATCCCGTGTCAATTGACACAGACGATTGTGATGCAACTGAATCAAAACTCGAATCACCACCACCACGAAAACGACTAACAGTTTCAATTGCCATTTCACCTGGTGATTCTTCAATAGCGCGAAGAATATTTTGACAAATTTCAGAATCAAGAGGAATTGGATCCTCAGAATCGCGATTATGAATTGTAACGGCAATGTGCGCTGGATGTGGAATTGGAAGTGGAATAACAAGTTTCTCTGCACTGTAGGGTCGCATTTGCCGTTTCCACGGTTGCCAGCGACCCTCAGAATCGCCATTTCTCGAAAGAGTGCGACGTCGAAATTTCGCTGACGTTAATAATCCCGTATTTTCACTGTAAACGAGTCAATTGTTTAAAATTCTTTATAAATATATTTATTTAAATATTTAAATAATATTTAATATAAATATATTTATAATTAAAAAAAAAATCTTACCTTCTTTTATCAGACTTTCTGCTATTACTTGGTTGCTTCGATTTTGGATTAAAGGCCGATACCTCGAGATAAGGACTGTGAACTTGAATATTTCCACGTGGTGCATAAACAGCGCCAAGAAGATCAGGACCATTTATTCCGCCCAATTCAGTATTGTGCACCATTTCCGTATAACGTGTTAAATCAATTCCAGGATGTGGTTCAAGTTTAAATTTTGTATCCGTATCGTCAAGGGGTTGTAGGAAATTGAGACTAAAAATTTCTGCATACATTAGACCGGCAAGTCCTGCCCAATCGCCAACACTTAAACCTTTATTCTCCCAAAAATCATCCTCACTCGTTATCAATCGTGCAAGAACATGTGATGGATAAAGACGTTCCAACATCATCGCGCCTTGTTGAATTATCACCTTGTATTAAATTTATTCGATTAAAAATCAAATTTAATAATAAGTTTATGTAAAACAATTACCTTCAAATCATAAGTAGCCAATTTTATTTTACTTCGAACCACAACACCAAGACCAGTTTGTAAATCTTTTCTACGACGATCAAGTTTTTCATGAAGAACAGAAATTAAACTTCTCGCTTCTTTTTCCAATGTTCGATATGGATCCTTCGTTTTGGCAAGACTCGCAGCAAATGGACCAAAACACGCCTCGACAAATTGTGTAAAATCTCGTTGTGGTTGAGTTATTAGTCGTTCCATTTCCTGTTGAAATGCTAGCAATTCATCAAGTTCCAATTTCGCTTCGAAAGCTGCTAGCGCTTGTTCCGGTCTTATCTGCAAAAAAAAAAAAAAAAAAAAATGAAAGTTTAATTTTTAGAAAAATAAATTAATAAATTTAATTAGTCACTTACTTGATAATAATAATCTGATGCCAAACCAGGTCCAGCAATTCGTTTGACAACAAAACTGTCGCTTGCAGGAATTCTCCCTCTATTTTTTATAACGAGATGAAACATTAACGTATCCCAAACGACTCTAATACAATAACGTATCACAGACACTGTTAATATTGTAAAAGAAATAATAGGACAAATGAAGAGAGCGACGAATAATGCAGCAATCGGTTGTAAAAAGCCCTGAACACCAATATTCCAACATAAAGCTTCCAAAACGACGAGGTAGCGATTTTGATTTGGCTCCGGACAATCCAAGTCAACGACCAAAGCCATAAATGAGTGTAAAATTAACGTAATTAACGGCATCCTAAAATACAATTAATATCAAAAAAGTATTTTTCAATTCAATTAATTATAATTAATTAATTACTAAATATATTAATGTAGTTAAATAAATATAAAGTTAAATAAAATAGTTTTTTTTTAAAAGATAAAGTAAAATTTAAATTATAAAACGAAATTTAAAAGGAAAAAAGAATAGAAAACAAATTAATAAAAAAATAATTAATACTCACCACATAATTGCAGTAAGAGCAATGAAAAGGGATCCAAAACTGATAAGTATACAGACAACGGGAAAAATGAAGAGTATCACAAGTGTTCCTAGAAGACCTTTAACACCATAATTCCAAAATCTATTTATGTGTCTCGTCATTCCTTTTCCAATAAAACCTGTAAAAAATATTGCCGTTTAAAAATTCTGTAAACAAAAATTCCCTTTTCTTTTTTTAAAAAAAAAAAAAATTACCAGTATCAGGCTCTGTCTCAAAATGCGTTCGACTTTTACTAATGTGCCTCCAGAGTGTTGTCAATCGAGAATAAAGTGTAGGAGTTTGAGACGATTTTCGTGGGAAGAGAGTTCCATTTAGTTGGCTAAGTTCCAAATCAGGCGTAAATGGTTCTACCAATAAAAGAGCTTTTAACGATACAGGACTGCACCATGGTACTGCAACTCCCAAAAGAAACATGGCATTCCATGTCCAACACCAAGTTCTCGCAATGTAATTTATCCAGCGCCACATTGGCCATCTGAAATTTATTTTTTCAGGTTTAGATAAATAATTTTAAAAAATTGAAAAATATAAAAAAAAAAATTACCTCGTTGTTGTCGTATGTATTATTTCTCGTTCAACAAGGAAGACTGGCTGATTTGGATCGGCACGAGGAGTCGTGATGGAAGTTGGAGTATTACTCAAAACAGTGGGAATTATTTCAGATTGTCCCTGAAAACTTCTTCGAATAATCCAATTTCTTGGTAGCCAAATTTGCGTTGGCCATTGAAAACTTCTTGTCGGTGTTTTCACTTTTCGCAATTCTTTCAATAAAACTGGTTCTCTCTGAAAAAAAAAAATCAATTTTTATATTACAATCACCAAAAAAAGAAATCTGTAAAAAATATGTTTTATTATTAAATTACTTCTCGCATAAAAGTAAGATCACGATTGAGAAAATAGACAGTCTGCTGAAGATTCTGTTGACTGCACAACGCAAGTGCTTCTTCATGTGCACTCCATTCGCACTCATCAATAAAATTTGCTTCAGCTTCTCGCATTCTGTCACGCATCCATGGACCAATTCGCGACAAAACTGGATGCTCGTGTTCTATGTGCTTTCGAAGAGTGTCTTTGGTTTGATTTAATTTTCGTTGAACATTTTCAACTGCTCTATGCATTAAGACAACAGATTGTGCCTGTTGCAAAAGAAGCTGTGCAATTCCTTCGCCCAATACATGTATATCCGGATGTGATAATATACTTGAATAAACTCGTTGCAAATATTCGCGCATTACAGCCTCGTTTACCTCCTAGAAAAATTAAATTATTCATAAATACAATGAGATTTTAATAAAAAATTTAATTAATTTCTTATATTACTCTTTCGATTTCTTCGTCGGTTTTCTTTTGCGCTCTCAATTCCAAAATGAGTCTTTCTCTAAAATGCAAAAACCAGCCTCTCGTTTCTCTCTCCAAAATGGCAACTAGTGTGGGCAAAGCTTTTCTAATTATATCTCTGCAAAATAATCGAAGATCAACGGCAGCTCCTCCAGGTGTTCCGAACACAAAAGGAACTGGTACAGGCAACAATTGAGAGGACTCTCTTTCCACTTCAAACTTCTCCATCGTTGCACGACGAAGTTGTCTTCGAACAAAACCGCAAAGTAACTCGAGCGAATCCTCGTACTCTGACTGAAAATAATAAAAAAAAGATACAAAAATTGATTTCATTCTCATCACATAAAGAGGTTTTGTCAACTCTTACTTTGCAAACTAATTCGGCAACAAGATATCTACATCTTTCTTCACGAATTTTGGCATCTAAATTCTGTGCTTGAAGCGATGGCACACCAACTAATATATCTGCAATTAAATTTTATATATATATTTATTATATTGATTCAAAAATTTGTATTTTCTGAAATTTTTAACTTACCAAGAAGCCTAAGAAGACCAGTCAACATTGCTCGGAATGACTGTGAAACACTAAAACAATGGGACACTAATCTTGCTTTTGCAGTCACAACTAAAAATCTTGTAGCTAAAGCAAGATCCGATAAAAGAGCATCTCTTCTTCGATCTCTGCCTCGTTGCAAAAGAGAACTCAATCTCCATCGGTGCATCTGACCGGGGAAATTAATTGAATCAACTTCAAATTCTCTGTAAAAAAAGAAGAAACAATCCCATGAAAATCAAAACATGTACTAATTTTATAAAGTTTGAACAATATTGTATAATTATTTTCACGAAACATTGAATTTCTAATTTATTAATTGATTCTCTTTTTTAATAATTGCAAAAAAGCAATAAAAAAATAACTTACCCAACTCTAATAATGAAAATACAATTTAAACTTAATTTTCTGAATTAAAACAATTGAAAATTTGATTTTTTTCAAAAAAGTTCAATTTATAAAGTTTTTATCAACTTTTAGAAAAGAATGTACAAAACAAAAATTCTGAAACAGTAAATAAAAATTAAAAATTTTTTTTTGAGAGGACCAGAAACTTTTTTGTTCTGCATACATTGCCCATTAATTAATAAGAAAAATTTAAACTCTCACAACACACATAACTAAAAAATTTTCTACTTGATATAAAATTAATGACATGCTGAAACTACTACATAAAGCCATATTTGTCTTTTTGCGTTAAGAAAATAAAACCATATTATTATTATTATTATTAATTTTTTTTTTCTCTAATTGATTAGATACTTTGCCTTATGACATTGAAATTGATTTTTATATTAAAAAGTTTAACGGATTAAAATTTTGTGTATTTTTTTTTATCACTTTTATATAACAAAAAAAAAAAAAATCATTGATATCCTAAGGTACTGAGACATTAACAAAATGTGTAAACGTTCAACACAGTTATGAATGTGATGAAAAACAGTTAACAGGACATTTTTTGAATGTGAAAAAAAAATTCATTTTTTTCTTTTTTTGTTAAATCACTCATGAATTTATGTGGAGTGTCGTGAGTGCGTGACATACCCGCATCTCCGAATGCTTTCCAATTGAACGACATTCAGCTTCTTCGGTTTTCCATACTTATCCTTGTGCAAGCTTTAGAAAAATCGTTACATATCATCAGAGAAATGAACACTCACCCTCACAATCATAATTTTTCGACGAAAACAAGTTTCTTATTTAAAACAAATAATGATTATTGACAATGATAGCTACAAATGGCTTCAAATGAATTTATATATATTTATATATATAATAAATTTTTTAAATAATATAGACAGACACGATTTATTGCTCTTTCTACTTTTCTTTTTGGTAATAAATCCAACTATAAACTAATTCTAGAGATTTTTATAATTTCTACCAAATTACAAAAAAATTAATGAGTCTATAAGATGAGAAAAAGAAAGAAAGAGAGATAAAGAGAGAAATTACGAAGGATATATTTCTTTTTCTTGGAAAACATACCCCCTTTCGCGAATGCTCTCCAATTGTTTGTTGGTAAGTCTTCTTGGCTCTCCTTTAATGTCCACTGCAACGGCATCCAATTCATCGAAACTAGGTGCAACGAAAAGATCTCTCAAATGATGCTTTTTTCGAGCCAATGTGTCATCACCATCGGTGCATGTCGACAGAGATGGTGGCAGGGCGATAGGAAATGTTCGCCAGTGATAGAGAAATTGCTGGGCAACTTCTTTGATATTGTGAACGAGTGATTCCACCTCTGCTGGTGCTCCTCGTAAATGTGATGTTTCAAAATCCACCGGCTCTTTCTGTAAAAATCAAATAATTATAAATTTTTAATTAATTAAAAAAAATTATTATTTAATTTTAATTGAATAAGAAAAAAAATACCTCGGGTTGAAATCCATCTCCGCTGATTCGTTGATAAGGTTGAGGCGGATGACAAGCCTGATGATTGGGCCCCGAATTCGCTGAATTGGCAGAAGTTGTATTTAAATTATGGGGCATCTCGCGAACGAATAGCGTCCGAGGGGGCTGGGGTCAGCTGCCCCGAACTCCCACAATCTCCTCATACACCATTCCGCTGTTTACTACCATTTATCATTCCAACCTGAAAGAAAAAAAAACATTTTTTAGTTTAAAAAATTAATTTCATTGTAATTTCTTTCAGAAAATAAAAAATTGACTTTGAAGGAAGTCGACTTTAGGTATAGCATGTAAGAAAGTCGAGAACGATATTTAACTCTCTCATTCTTAACTTATATAAAGAAAAGTCAAATGAGTTTCACGAGATCGGATTACGAGTTTTGAAAAGAATCTCTTGACACCTCTCGTTTGAAAATCCGATACTCGACAAGTCACTCGCCCCATCTGAAATAGAGTCAACTGTGTCATCTTCCGTTTACTTTTTTTTTTTTTTTCAACCAAATAGAAGAAACATTTTCTAATTTGCATTAAATTTCTAATTATCGAATTTCAACTGTATTGTTATTATATTTTTAAATTCTTGTTCATTCAAAAATAATCTTAATTCGAAAAAAAAATTGTTTCAAACAATACCTTGAGGACGATAAAATATGACTCTAACAAAGTCTGATTTGCATAAACCCACTTTATTACAGGAAGGAAGCTATTTTCAATGTTACTCTCTCTCTGAATCGATCGAGACAAAACTTATCCGAGGATATGCATTTAATATTTTCCTCAAAAAAATTATCAAACACTTTTTTAAAATTAATTATTCTTTTTTATAAAAAAAAAGTAAATTATACTATAAAAATTTTAATTACAAAACACTTTTTAAATATAATTAACTTAAGAAAATACATTTCTAAACATTTTTTTTAGAAAAAAAAAAATTTATTTTATATTATTTATTAAATAAAAATAATCAAACTTTTCTTAAATGAACTTGAAAAATCTATTTACTTTCCGCGAATAAATGGGTCAATAAAAGAATTACGATTCTCTTGAAACTCGACTCGAATAGTTTGGCATTCTCTTGGTGACTTTTGACCTACTTGGAAAGTTCGCAAGATCTACCCTTTAAATTCAAATGTGCCAAAAATTCATATTACGTAGTTTTACTTTTAATTTAAAGTGACACAAAATAGTGATAAAAAATAAAATAATGGGGGGGAAAAAAAGACAAAAGGGTTTAAAAAATAGAAAATATTTAATTTGGAAAAAAAGATTTGTATTAATTAAAAAATATACTTTTCATTCAATGTATTTTTCTTTTTTAATAACTAAATTAATTCCTATGAAAATATTCTAAATTTTTCCAGTAAATTTATAATGTTTCCTATACATTGTTACAAGTTCTTTAAATATTTTTTGCGTAGCCACAGGCATTGTTCGATTTAGAAATTCAATTTTTTCATGTTCACAATTACTTAAGAGACGTTGTATTATGAGTTCTAAATGATTTTTTAAATTCTTTGGCAATAATTGATGACAATACCATTCAACTAAATCAGTCAACATATAGGGATAAATTTCCAAAACACTATCGCCAAATTTCTTTAAAGAAATAACAAATTTCTCCATATCGAGTATTAAACACTCAAGTTGATATTGATAATTTAAACAATTTAATTTTCCCCTCTCATCACTTAATGATCGTATAATTTCACTGTTTAATTGAACTAACGACCATAATTTGTCCTTTACAAAGTTCGTCCTTAATTTCACAATCATTGTATATAAAATCACAATTTCACGACATGCAACAACACCCACTCGTTTTATACATTTCATACATGATACTAGAATCAAATCAATAATTTGCCCTGTAATTTGAATGAATTTTGAGCTTACAATTGTCTCAAACAATTTTATTAAACACAACCAATGTCTCGTTGAAATACAACTTTCGTCTGATGAAAATAATAAATTATTTATCGCCGCTAAACGAATATTATTACGTGCCGATGCCATTTCAATTATAATAATATATTCCCAAATTAAGAGACATTTTTTCAATTCATTTTCATTATCATCTTCGAATGAATTTACTGTCTGTTTTTGTAGACTTTTTAAAAGTACATTAAATTCTTCGGAATTTAATGTTTCCAAAAAAGGTCGCAAAACATTTTCATTGGGATTTGATAAAATTGCTTTACATATTAAAGTAATATTCTCATTAGTGATTTCCAAAAAGGAACGATTTCTTAAAACTAATTCTAAAAGTTGTACACAATCGTCGTTAATTTTTGTTGCATTTTTCTCAAAAATTTCCTTTAATATTTGATTTGTCGTTTCTTTCAATTCATCACTAATATTTCTATTAATAATCGCATCTTTCAATGAAAAAATCAACATCACTAATTCAATACTACTGTAAATTTTGTCATTTTTAATCGATAAATTATTTTTCCATTTTTCAATTAATTTTTTTAACAATTGTGTATCTTCCGATTTTCTATGTAATTTTGTTTTTAAAATAATATTTAATAAAATAATTTTTACATTATCGCTGACATCATTTGAATCGAGATAATTAATTAACAAATTAAACGAATCGTTTTTAAGTGGCAATTCAAAAATAAGTGACAAAACATCATTACCAAGTGAATTCTCGCGTAATATTTGCAAATTGGGAAATTGAAATATATTGATATCGTTCTCCTGGAGAAGATCCAATAAAATTTCATTGCATTTTTCCGCTATTTCAATATCGTGAGAAAATTCCGTGACAATCGAAGAAATTAAAATAAATAGAACAATTCTTATATCATGATGTAAATGAGATAAATGCATCGATGAGAGAATTTTCAAAAATTCTTTCATAACTTTACAGTCCTTGGATTTGGTATTTTTCAAAAATTCCACACCATCAGACATTAAATTATTCTTTTGAATTTTTTGAATTATTTTTTTCCATTTAAAATCACGTGTAATTTTATCAACAAATTGTTTTGTTGTTTCGGATTTTATATTATTTTCACATTTTATCAATACTTGTTTAACTATAGCCGAAATAAATTTAACATTATCTTTACATTTATCCCATTTTTTCCAATTATCCGAATTATTTACAACACTAGAAACTACAATATCGGCGAATTCAAATAATTGTTGATCAGTTAAATTCGAAAGCATTTCCGAATTATTTTGAATAACAGAAATCCAAAATGGCGATTGACAATTTAAAGTCTCAATTATTTTTTCTTCATCCGTCAAATTCATTAGTAAACTTTGTGAAAATTCTAAATTGTCATTTTCATCAGCTATACTTTCAATTTTTTCAAGTAATTTTATCCATTTTTTCGCTGAAACACGATTTGACAATTTTTCCGAAATTGAAGAAGGAACATAGTGCATTATTAAATTACAAACATCATTCCAAGCTTGACAAGCATTTACAAAACTAAAAATGACTCTATTGTTCGATATTTTATTACTCAAGAAGGAAAATTGGTTTCCCAATTCAATGAGATCGTCGCAAAATTTCTCCTGTGTATTCACATTTCTGATACAGTCGAAAATTTTGATTCCCTTCATAAATGAAATTAATAATTGAAAAATTACTTCCAACATTGTAAAAGTTGAATTTGAAAATAAATCATCTTCACAATATGGTTTTAAATAATATATCAAAGACCTTAAAATTGTTGTAGTTTGTGAAATAGTTGTATTATCAAGAGATTCCATAAATTTTATTAAGAATTCCTTGGGTAAGGGAATCAAAATTTCTGCTTCAGAATTTTTAGATATTACAGATTTAGTTGCTGTTAACAATAGGGAAATTAATTTATGTTCTCTACGAAGAGAAACACTGACTTTCAAAATTGTTACAAAGAAAGTACAATAAGAAGATTCAGAAACATTCAAATATTTCGGTAGAAGTTTTATTAAAATATTCTCAAAATTCTTTTCCATTATAAAAGGATGTATATTTAAAATTCCAATTATTAAATCATAATCGAGACTTTCAAATTGTTCTTTTTTCAAAATTTCATCAATAAAAGTAACTAAATAATCGGATAATTTTAAATCATCAATTTGATTATCTAAATTCAAATGAATTCCAATTAAACAATCGAGTAATTTTTTAATTATCAATTTTTCTCTATTTGCACTTTTGACAATATTTCGAAATATCACATCCAATACTTTAACATCAGATTCGTACGATTTTACAGCAACGCGAAAAATCACATCAAATATTATAAAAGCAGTTTTCAAATCGATATTTGCAATTTTCTCGAGGGTGGAAAAAAGTGTTGCCGGAATTCCTTCATTTTCATTATTGAATTTTTTATATTGCGGTAAGAAATTTTTGGTAAATAACAAAATTTCAACGCATCGATATAAATCTGATTGAATTTTCAAATTTTCAAATTTCATTAAATTACAAAAAATGAGAAGAATATTGTTCAAAAATTCCATTGAAAATAATTCTTTATCGGGAAATTGTTTATAAATTACAAGATACGAATCAATTATAAGTGATAAAGAACATTGTGCATTTAATTTAATAATTTCATTGGTAGATTTAAAAATATCAATTAAAAATTCTAAAAATGATTTTACAAATAATGTAAGATGTTTTATATTACTTTTAAAATAACACTGCATTTCAAGATTGGATATAAACCAATTGCAACCGTGAAAAATATTTTCGAAAAATGCTGTCGTTTCATTTTTTAATGCATCGTTGATTAATGATTTATTACATAATATTTCTGTTAATGAGCGAATGACAAATTCTTTAACTTCATAGGATGAACTACTTCCCAATTGAAGATTCTCCAATGTTAAAATATTCTGTAATTTACATTCTTTATCATGACATTCAAGACATGAATTTGATGTCCAACGAGAAATTAAATCTCTATCCCAATCATTTGTTTGATTAACATTGCATTCGGATAATTTTTTACGACATGTTTTTGTTTCTTTATTTTTCAAATGTTGAATAAATTTTGCCGAGAGTGACATTTTTCAATCGAATGAATGAATATTTTATTTTGCAAGGCTCTCAATAGAGAGAAATCAATCACTATCTGAAAAAATTTAATTGTTATAAAAAAAACTGATTATTAAATTTAATATTGGAAATTTTATTGGATATTTATCATAAAAAATATATTGTATTTTTAATTTTAGCAATTAGAGTTAATTGTTACTGAATTAATAATAAATTTTTATTTATAGTTCTATACATTTAGATTGTTTAAAATTTTTAAAACATAACCTATTTAAATTTTGATATTAAAAAACCATAGTACAATAACTAATAATTTGAACAGAATAACGAAGTTAATTGAAGATTTTTTTAATGAAAGAATATAGTAATAATTTAATGATAAATTAAAAATTTAAAGTGTTTAGAGCATACCTTGCGATATTTATTTAAATTATTTTCTAGACTCTTTTGGCACGTTCGTCACACTTATTCATAACTTAATTGTTTTCTATGCCACCAGTATTGTGATATTTACATAATAAATATTATTTTTCATTAAAATAACTTCGATCAAATGTAATTCAAAATGTTATAATTTGTATATAACCTATAAGTTGAGCACGTGTTTGACAGCTCGTAAAATTGCAAATGGCGACCAATGAAATAAATGCGCATGCGGAACAAAAATCGCGCGAATTTTTAAAAATAATTAATGAAAATTTAATTATTTTTACATTGAAAGATATTAAAAAAATATTTAAATACTCCATGGAATATTTTAAACAAAAATTTCGTGTCAATGGAAGAAAAAAAAAGAATAAATATTCAGTGGAATATTTTTTAATATTCCATGCTTTATTGGAAATGGGTGAAAAAAAAAATTGTTTTCCAAGGTGAATGAAGACGAGAATAGGTCATCGTACTCATAATAGAGAAACGAGTGCACCTAAAGGATCTTCGGGTGCTCTTGCCACTTGTGAGTGATTAACGTGATTGCTCTTATTATAGTATGTACAAGTATCTATAACTTTACGATATAGCTATATATTATATGAAGATAATTCTTTTTTTGTATTCTTTTTATATATAAAAAAGAAAAACAAGAAATATTTCCCCTCAATTTATGTTTCATTAATCACATTATTATTAATATAATTTTTATGAAAATAATTTATATATATATAATTAAATCCGATAATTAATTTCTCAAATAAAAAGTAAATTAAATTAACAAAATTTAATTGAAAAATTCTATTATAAAATTCATGGAATTTGTGAAATTTTCTCGCAAAGAAAAACGATGCCTATTATATTAATTGGTTTTCTCCTTTTTTCATATAATGGGAACAATAGACCTAATGACGGTTGAACTTTTCCCGTTGAGAATATATATATATATATACTGTCGAGCCACAAATTGAATTTATGAGAAAAATTTTTTTTTCCTTCTTTTATTCTTTATAAATACATATACGCAGTGTGACACATTTTCAATTTTTTTAATGGACAATTGCGGATAAAAAAAATTTATATTGGAGACGAGAATATTAAGCTTTTAATTTTAATTTCCATTCCCGCTGGGAGAGAATAATTTGCGATAAAATATTTTTTTTTTTAAAAAAATTCGAAAATTTAAATCATCCCAAAAAAAGAGGATTTTTTTTTATTTTGATTTACATTTTTGTAAATTTATTTTTTAAAAATTGAATAATAAAAATGAAAACATTTTTTTAATATTCCACTTGGAAGAATTTCATATGGGAATGTGATTTGAAATTTAATTTTAAAAAAGAAAAACTACTTGGAAATGAAGGGAAAAAATTTCTAATAATAAAAATGAAAAGATTTTTATAAAGAATCAAGATTGGATTAAAAAAGAATTTTCATCAAGATCTCTCTCTCTCTCCTGATACTTGTAACTTAGGGGGGGAGGGGGGAACGATTTGGAGATTTTTTTTTTTTTTTTAAAAAAAGTGAAGCTTTTATATAGATATATAGGAGAAAAGCTTTTTAATCTCGAAGTTCGAATCAGAGCAATGGCTTTGTAGATCACCAGACTAAAGCTGGCTTGTCGACTTTGGCTATAGCTGACCTAAATATTTTACACTACTATTTAAGTAGTGGTGCACTAACATTCACCCTCTTTTCCCCCCCATCATCTCTCGAAGCCGCATTTTCCCACTTAATCTGTATCGTTACTAATTTCATCACAATGAGTCTTTTCTTTAATGAAAAAATTTCATCTAAACCATTTTTGTTTAGTGTAATTGAGTTCAACAAAAACATTATAAATTATTTTTTAATCAATAAAATTTTTTTTATTGAAATTATTTTTATTTAATTTATTGAAATTAATTTTATTCAATTTATTGAAATTATTTTTATTTATTATTTTTATCAATTTGTTTTTTATTTGATTAAAATTAACTGTAATAATTAAAGAAAAAAAAAATTTCGAAACACTAATATAAAAAGAAGGAAATAGATGAGAAAGATTAGAAGAATTCTACAAATTACACTTTTATCTCGAGTTTCATGAAGAGAAAGGATATTCTGACTGAACTTGTTTAGTCCTTTTTGCCATTATCTTTTGTCCCTTTTTCTTAAAACTCTATGTATTTGACAAAAAACTTATTTTCGATAAAAAAAAAACATTTTAATTTTCAAATTATTTGGAATTTTAAAACAAAAACCACTATAAAAATTAAAAAACAAATAATTGATTTTAGATGAAAATTATTTTAAGTTTCACAAATATACGGCTTCTTCATGTACTATTTTCTTCTTAAAAGAAGCGGCAAACGAGCGTACATCAACTTGAAAGTGATATATATATATTTTTCTTTTTTTTTTTTTTCTAAAAGAAAAGTATGTTCATCGACCCTGTTTCTTGAAGGAATAAGTAGTGAAACGTGTTTGAGTGCATCGCTAGACGGGACTTGATTCCCTTGTATCAACCCTCAATTTTCAGTGTATATATATATAGGTATTACATGTATACCTATATACAAGTGAGAATGGTGATAGAAAAAAAGGGTGAAGCGCACTGTCAAGGATTCCACTAAAAAAAAGAAAATGAAATTCGCCCTAAAAAAAAACTTTTTTTAGTTGAGAAAAAAAATTTAAAAAAAAGAAAATCTAAAAAAAACCATAAAAAGAAAAGCAGAAAATAAAATCAAAAAAAAGAAATTTTCTTTTAGGAAAAAAAAAATTTATGGATCTTGTCACCAAATAAAGGATTGTGCTATGAAATAGCTATCAAAAAATTGTTTTTATATATAAAAAATAATATTTAAATTTTTTAAATTCAATTTTCCTCCCTTTTAAAAAAAACATTTTAAACTCCAGCTATAAATTTTCTTTTTATAAGTGTATAATATATGAAAACTAGAAAAATAAAAGCCAGTCACATAAAAACCAACACTCGAGACACATTCGTTCTGTCTGTTCTTATATTGTACGTTACATGTCATTATTCTTTCCTGCGTGTATATTGTACTTCTTTTCAAGTGCACCATCTTCACTATTCATGAAACAGGCATTCAAACAATTTATTTCTCTGATTTTACATAGCAAGGTATTCGTCAAAAAATTATTTTTTCCCTTCAACATTTATTTTAAAAATTGAATATAAAATAAAAATTGCAAGAAATTATCAAAAATTCGTTTTCTATTTCTTCATTAAAAAAAATAAAAATAATAATAATAATAATGTAAATTGAGATAATGTAAAAGAAAATTAAAAATCAAAACAGATTTTTGTTCATTTCCTTTACACTTATCGCTAAATGAAAGAAGAGCAATATATGAATATCCAGGAAAGAGTCAGTCACTCGGAAAATTCCCACACAATAGTGTCTTGACAAAGTGAAACTTTTATGTATAGAAAGAATATTATACACCAACGGAAAAATAATGTAAAATATATACAATTTTATCTCAACTTTTTGCCAATCTCTTGAAAAATATTTTCTAGAAACGCATGCGAAGAATAAATTCCATCTAATTAGTATTTCATTTATTTGCAACAATAATTTATTCAATAAAAATTATTGACACTTTTTTTGTGTTAATGGCAAAAAAAAAAAAAATTTATTGTACGATTTGTGCATTGAACTTGAAATCTAAATTGGGACCCGTATTTGAATACATCGATAGGAAAGTTGATTAAGCGAGAGTGATTCGAATTAAATTTTTTAAATTCTTTTTTAAAATCCAAGTAACATATCAGCTTCAAATCAGAAAATTATTATAATTTTTATAAAATAAGATTACGAATTTAACATGAAAAAAAATTTTTTTTTGTATTTTATTTATTTTTATTTAAACAATTTAATTATTTAAAAAATTAAAAATTTTGCAAAAAAAATATTATTTATTATACAAAATTTGCATGCCAATTTTTTGATGGAATTTCAAAAAATTCGTTTACAACAAAAAAAATATATTATGATCGCAATAAAATTATAAGCAAAAATAATTCTCCACATTCTTGTTTACGTTATTCGCGGATGCTTTAAATGTGTTATATGAACTACATGACTTTATATCAATTATAATCTTGTCAGGACAATGTCCCGACATTTTGTTTTTTCTACACAAATAAAAGCCATTTGAAATGATGACGAATCAGGAATTTAATTAATTTGAGTATGATAAAATTTTATCAAAATGAATTTTTTACTTAAAATTTTAATCGAACTGCGTAAATTTAGTTTTTATTTATTAATTTATTATTTTGTTTTTTAATTTAATTTTTAAAATTTATATTATTAAATTTAAAAGGCCACTAGGCGAATTTATATTCCCTTTGCAATGTCAGAGTTAAGACGATCGTATTTTACAATTACAAAAGATTGATATTACACGATGAACAATGATCTAATCTAGTAGTGCGAGTTAAGGTATACATGTGAAATTAAACCAACACGGTGACGACAAATATTAAACGAGTCTTTTAAATCATTCCAGCGTCTTATTCTGCATTAAGTGTATTTAAATTTTAAAATTACATTTTAAGATAAATAACATTGCCACAGAAAAATATCTCTCTAAATTCCAAGCGTATTTCATTTATCAAGAAAAAAAATTATTTAGTAAATTTTTTTCAATTTGTTTTTCTTTTTTTTTGCGGTTAGAAATTTCGAAAACTTTTGTTTTAACACATGGATGGCAAATGTCACAAAGTGAAAAAAATTTAACGTCTGAGTCGATCTGTGTGGGATGTTGGAAAGAGTTTTCGGGTGATTGGCCCTTCTGTTTATCTGAATTCTTGTCTACTTCTAAATAAAATACTTCAGTAAAACGAAATTTATCACAATATATTTCATTTCAAATATTAATTTGTGAATTAATAATAAAGTTGCTAAATTAATAAATAATAATAAAAATAAAATAAAAAAGTTGAAAAAATTGTTGTTAAAAAATAATTTTCAAAAAAATCAAAAAATTTTCTTTCCCACAAAAATAGATTTCTAATAGAAGATTTCAAGTAATTTATGCTAAATAAACAGTTCTTGTAAATAGAAAAAAAAAATATCGTCAAATCTAAAAGTAAAATTTCTTTGAGACGAAACTTCATATATACGAAGAACCTTCAGAATTTGTTCTCGACTTACAGATTTAGACCTTCATACCAACTCAGACATTGAATTTTATTTTTCATTTTGTGAGAAGCTTTCCATATTTGTCACAGATTAGGAGGGGGGAGGGGAAATCATTACTGTATACTCAAAATCAAATTATACACTTGAAATTCTAATTCAAAATAGAGAAAAATGTTTACTATTTTGACAACTATAAAGAGAATTTGAATACGTCTTTATTAATTTTCTCGCATATTTTGCCTCACACGTGTGTGTATCAGACTTATGATTCCTCTCGCTTTATATGAATGAACATTTGTATGAGGGGAATACAAAAGATCGGGGGACATCGCTCTCGGGGGCTGATGACAATGTGCAGACTTTTGACGCTTTCTTTGTCACTGGACTTTATAATGCTTTAAATTTAAAGCTCCTGTCCTCAAGTTCAAAACAATAAAAAAAAAAATCTAAACCTTTACACAACAAGAAATTCGATAATAATTTCACATTACTCTCTAATTAAATTCCTTAATTTTTTTTTTTTTTGAACAACTCTTTTTGTTTAGAAATCATCCTTCGTTCATTATTATTACTTAAATATCATTTTATTTCCATATCCATTATATTAAGAATAAAATAGAATTATCGAAAAGCCAATAGCAAGGTTTTACTTCTAAAAATAAAGAAAATTTATTTTTCAATGTTTAGCTTTCATTAAAGCATTTTCTGATATCATTGAATGACATCGTGAATAAACTGTCATTTTATAGAATAATATAACCTTTGTTTACAAATCACAATTTGGATCGATAAAAAGTCCTGGTAGTCAATAATAAGAGTCTTTTGCTAATATAAACAGAAATGATTATTCTTATCTGATCAATAAATGTCTGTAAAAAAAAAAGAAAAATACAATATGGCAAAATTTTTTGTTATCAAGAGAAAGAAATTTTAAATGACAAAAATCTGTGACAAAGGCCAGGGTTCGTCGCGCCGCAAATTACTCTAAATTAATTGACGGAAGGAACTGTTTAACTCGCGTTCAAATCATGATAGAAAGATTATTGTTATCATATATAATTTACACCTATTTTTCAAATAAGAAACACAGCAATTTATCCATAATATTATGATTTTCATTTAAAGATCCTGAATGACACCTAACCTTCTTATTTCACACCCCTCTCGATTCGATGGAACGCGTCCAAAAAGTGACAGGTGCTTAACCCGCAATCACATTTATGGGTTATTTTGCGACATGATTGTCCTATTTTACAATTGTTATTTTTGTTCACTTTTAAAAAATCTTTTTTATTTGATAAATTATTGCCAATTTGATTCTAAAACAAAAAAACTTTTACTTACCAATAGTGGTTGGTGATTGTATAGAAGATGAGAACTGTCAATCGAAAAAAGTTTCGATGTCAACTCAACTTAAGAGATGAAAAACTATCTAAATGCCAATCTTTACACTTGTAATTTCCACAATCTTCATCAACTTGTTTTTAACACTTTTTTAGACTTTAAAAATTACAGATTTTTCGGATAAAAGACAATCCAAGACAACCCCAAATACCAAGACTGATTTTTATCGAACTGACCGCGCCAACGAGATATCTCGAACTGCGGTTTTTTTCAACCATGCACTCCTGCACTCTAGTGGACGAATTTTGAAATTCTATCAACCCGAACCCTTTCAGATCGTGTCGATAATGAAATAAAATAATAAATAAATATAAATTGTAATTAAATACATAGTAATGACGTTAATTTTTTTCAATATTTGACAAATTTCAGTTTTATAATTTTAATATATTATATTTAGAATTTTGAAATTTCCCGGGCAATAAAATTCTAAAGGCGCCTGCGCATTGAGCTGGTCGCTTTGTAAATTTGGTTGATTTCAGGTTTTAATAAAATACATTTTACCGTTCTATTTAACAAATTCAGTAAATAATTAAATAGATAAAAATGTTAAATATTTGACAAATTTCCATTAATATATTAGAAATGATCGAATCTTAAGTTAACATTAGATAATATATTAGAATTTCAATTGTCACCAGAGGCGCATGCGCAGTACTTAGAATAGGCTAGTTTGAAATTTTTCTTATTTCCGGTGTCAGTTGCTCTTTTGCAGTGCCGGTTATTGTTAGTAGTTTACGAAATTTTGCGATTATTTAAGTGAAATAATGTATAATTTACTCTAATTCGTGTTAATTAACGTAACTTAAGTGTCAGTGATTAAAATGTGATAATAGTTTCTATAAATCAAAGCTAATTATTGCAAATTTTTCGATATTTTAGTGAAGTGTACAAGAATCTACGCCTTGAATAGCGATCAGTGTTGATGCATTTTTGGAAGTTAAAGTCGTTAAAATAACACCTTTTTATTCGTGATTTAGTCGAATTTCGTGATAAGAAAGTGTTAAGTGTTCGATAAATCAATTTGAAATGGGTTTTATCTAAAATCAATTATTAGTTCGTGAGTGATATGATAGTGAATTTGTCAGTTTTTATTCTTGACCATTTTGCGCGGGAGTGCGCGAGAGAAAAAATTTCGCTTAGTTTATTTCTTATTTTCCCTGAATGTAACTCGCGATTATATTTCTCAGTTGTGATAAAATGGTTTATCGGTGTTTAAGTTAAATAATTTTCAATAATAAATATCTTTTTCTACTAATTATCTTAAAAAAAGTGAAGTGTGAAAATGTGAAAAAAATCATCCTCCAACAATGGCACCATAACCTCTTAATACAGGTAAAAATCAACTTTTTTACAATAACTATTTCATCTAAAACTATTCAATTATTGTATTTTTTTGTAAAAATAATCTGTTTTATTTTTTTCAGAATCTAGAGAGGCAACGAAATGTAAGTTCATTTGAATTCCCATTACGTAAACCAGGTAAAAAAAACTATATATAAAAATAATTTTCATATTGTTAAGAGATAAGAATTCTATTACTTTCATAAATAAATTTATTAAATATTTTTTATTATGCATTTAAAATATATTACGGCAATATGAATAAAATTCATCTCAAATTTAACAAAAAGTAATTTACAAAAAATTTGTCTATATATAAATAATACTTATAAAAACAATATCTAAAACAATATCAGAAGTCATAATATAATTAGTCAATAAATTAGTAAAATTGAACAAAAGGACATTATTAGAGATCAAAATTTATAATAATTCATTATGAATGCTATCACTCTGATGTATAAATATAAATTATTCAAGAATTTGTTATTAAATTATTTGAGACGTTTCGTGTTGTATTGCCAAGAATTGAAGGATAAATTTAAGAAATTCGTCAAAATATCACGCGAATTTTATAAGTTAGAATCAAATTATTAAATTTCATAACAAATATAATATATATATAAATAGAATATTGTAGAAAAAAATGTACAAAAATTTGCGATTATTGAGAAAAATCGATAATTGATAAATTTAGCAAATGATCATAAAATGAGCAAGTACCAACCAGCGCTACTTGTCGATCTAAATCATAATGTAATTCTCGTTGAGCAAGTTCTTCTGAATTTAAGAAAGACCAATCACAACCATATGAAATACTTGAATGCTCGTTATATTCCGCTAATATTTGAGGACGCTCAAAATTTTCACAATCAACTATTCTAAAACCTCCATACATACATGCAGCCAAAAGATGTTTTCCATCAAATGGGTTCCATTTCAATCTCCAAACTCCTCCAAATAAATTCGTCTCCGAAAGGGGAAATCTCATTTTTCGCGTGTCCCATAACCTTAAATATTCGTCATAGCTAAAACAATTATTATTATTATTAGTTTAAGAATCTTCAATCAATTATTGTTTGTACTTTTTTTTCTCTTTGTTAAGGATTTGATTATTATTCTAACATATAAATACATAGAAAAAATTAAAAATTTTAAACTACCTTCCTGACGCTAATGAACGTTGTTGTCTTGGATTGCAATGAATACTTGTTACTCCAGCCCAATGTGTTTTAGACATCATTAAAGGTGTATCGACTCTTATGTCAAATGATTTAAATTTGCAGTCATCAGCGCCTTTAAAAATATTTTTATAATTAAATTAATTTTCTCTCGACAATAATATTTTATTTTTAATTAAAAATTAAAACTAATTTAAATATTAATTAGATCAACTAATTGCATATTATATCTACCAGAGTAAATTATATTTGAGTCCCAATAATCAAAAGCAGATATCCAAGCCTCATACTCGTGACATTCAAAAGTTCGAAGTTTTTCAACACCTTCATTGGTCAAACGAAAAACACAGATTGATCCAAGTGATGTACTGACAACAATATTAACTTCACAATTATAATCAAAAGCATTTCCCATTGACCAATCAAGTGATAAAGATAAAGAATTTTCTGAATCTTCAACTTGAACTTTTTTAATTAATTCTAAACTTGGATTCCATTCGTCGACCAATTCGTGAATTTCCAATATTCCTTTTGATGTTACTATTCCGAGTAAAATTTTATTACAAATTCTCGTATGGGCCCATTTCATATCCAGCACAGCAGCACCTTCATAGCTGTGTAACAAATTTAATCTTCCATTTTGAACGCGAAAGAGATAAATTTTCCCTAATCTTTGTGTCAATTCTTGTTCATCATCTGTGTCTGCCTCTGTTAATTGATATGTTCCACAGACAAATACATCTCTAAAATTTTCAATTGGACACCATTCCACAGAATCTGCTGAAAGTTTTGTGTCAAACGATTCTAATGTGTTAAACATTTTCTGAAACAAAAGAGTTATTTCGTTTTTCATTTGGAAACATTTTGTGTGTCGATGATAAAATAAAATTGATAATTTAAACTCCTAATTGTAAGAATCGATATCAGTCAAAAAAATTTTTTTTATTAAATAATTAATTTAATTAAAAAATACATTTAAAAAAGAATAAAATTGTTAATAATTAAATTTTTATTTTTATTAAAATAAAAAAAAAAATCGTGAAATTGTTTTTTGGCATGGACTAAAATACGTTATGAAAATTCTTTACATCTTAGTAAAATTATTTCGTCTTTGGAAAGTCGATTTCTTAATTTGCGATGATAAATAAATAATCAGTATTTGTCTTCACAATTTATTGTATTTAGCAATTTTGTATACAATAAGTTATGTAACTTTTACAAAAAGAAAAGTTTATGGCACCGTTAATATCATATATAAAATAGTTCGGATTTCTGTTACATTTTCTGTTTTATTAACAGTTTTCAAAGGTACAAGTAGCAAATTACTAAAAGTAAATTGTCTTTGAGATTTATATTAGAAACTTTAACATTATAACTGATTGTTACTATTATATTGTAATTATTCAATTGTTAATTATACATATCACTTGTTTTTAGTTGCCTGAGTAAAGTGGTATTAAAATATTTAGGAACATTTCTTTTACTTATAATATAATTGACGCACTACAAACTTCAGTCGTTAAATTATATCACTAGAGATGTAAAAAGTTTTATTTTTTGTTAAATATTGTAAATATGGATTTCTTAAATTATGTTTTAACAAATTTGCAAGTATAAAATATTTCTATTGTTCAATTTCACATCTCTAAAGATATTAACATATATTTGACAATTATTTTAAATATACCACACATTTTAAATAATTAAAAAGAAATAGTAATACTGAATATTTTGCAAAAATCTTAACTATACAAAAATTTGGTAACTATAGTCTTTTTCTTTCTATTTTCAATACAAAGTATCAAGGCTTTTTTGGTCGTACATAAGTGTTTTAGTATTTCCTCTTAAGTCTTTATAATTTTACAGAATAAAGTTTTTTTTTTTATTTTGTACTAATTAACTTTTCGGCGAGAAATTCGAAAAAATTCTATTCATAACTAAGGAGACAAAAAATTCCGTTAATTTAATTTAAATAATTTAATTTTTTTAAATAAATAAAATAACTGATATTTTAAAATATCAGTAAAAATTATTTCTATAAGTCTTTTTGTATAGGTAAAATTATTAAATAAATTCTACTTGAGGTAGAAGAATTTTTGGATTTCTCTAGATTTACTGATAAAGAAGTGTATAGAAAAATATTTCATATCTTCTCGTCGTATTTAATTTCAATTTATAATTAAATTAAATTAATAAGAATATTCTTCAAAATTATTCTTTGAATTGAAAAAAAATTGTAAATAATCAGTGTTGAAAATTTTTTGGACACTCACTATTTAAAATTTAAAGTCGTTGTTTAATTTGATTCGGAATTAAAATATTTTTTTCATAGTAAATTTTTCTCTGAATGAAATATTTTAAGGCTATTTTGTTATTGGCGAGCACTTTTTTCGGCTTCAATGAGACATTCTTTGACTAGAATACGAGCATGAATGAGTCCACGTTTTACACGTTCGGCAGATGATCGACTGCCAGCATATGAAGGACGAATATCTCGGCCTAGTTCCTCAATAACATTAAGTAATTGAACATATTTCGATTGTTCCGAAACCGAAGGAACTGTTGTTTGACGAGTAGAATTCACATTTTCCGGAATATTAATTAAATGATTGTAGTTTGATTGTCCAGATACCGTGGGAACAGTAACTTGTGCAGCGCGATGTTCTCTTTGAAATGCTCTTGGGTTAGGAACAGTAATCAATGGTTCGGATATTTTCACAGGACCTTCTAGCGACCCTTTATCCATTGTTGTCTCGTTTTTAACCATTATGTTTTTGTTTTTAACTCAAAAAGGTTTTAAGAAATCGAAACCCCAAAGACGACAAGTATTGATTAATTTTTACTCGCGTCGAGATGAAAAATTTTCTGGAAAAATTGAAATTATTTATCGTTATAAAACTTTTCCCAGAATTAATTTATATTGGACAAATATTATTTATAAAAAATATAGTTTGAAAAACACGCTTTCTTAAATTCAGTGAATAATATGTATATATTTATCTCCATGCCACAAAACTAACCTCAAAATTATGAAACAAATGTTAATAATATATTATAAAAATGTTCTTACCTGAAAATTTGAATGACTTATTTTATTGAAGGTTACATCGATTTAAAAAAAAACACTTAGTAGTATAATGAGCACTTTTTTTTTGTTATTTAAAATTAAAAATTTTATTTCGTCACTTTAGTTTTCTTTGATTAGGACGCAAGCAAAACGTAAAAAGGGAGCGAAAAAGGGCAGCTGTGTATGCAGGGGGAAGGGGGGAAAAAATATCGAAATGAGGAATCGATCCTTAAAAGACCGATGAATCGTTTGTCTATCGAATATTTAAATTAAAATTATTTTTTTTAAATATAAAAAAATAAATATCATTTAAACTGAAAATATTAAATTATAATTATTATTAGATGATTTTATTAAATTTTTGATTTCAATTAATAAAAATAATAAAGATTTTAAAAAAAAACTTAGAATTAATATTATTTATATATTTTTCTTCTTTGACTTTCATAAAAGAAAAATATAAATTAATAAAACTAAAAATATTATTTACATCTTATAAAATTTTTTTTTATTCAATGATACTTTACATTTTCAGTATACTTTTTCTTTTGGATAAAATTTTCTCGTGATGTATAACCGCATGTATAAATATACCTATTGTGTATCAAATGAATTAAAATTATTAATTATTTCTTTTTAAAGAAAAAGACAATTCGAAATAACAAATTTAAATTTCATCATTGAAGGCGAATGTATTAAACTTTTTGTATTAATATAGTTATATAATTGAAAAAAAAGTTAAATAACAAAAAAAAAAAATGAAAAATTATTACAAAGTTTATTTTTTTTATCTATAATAGAAAAAATTCTCTATCCGAATACTATGCTTATATCAAAGTTTCTATATATAAATAGCTTAATGCTTTATTTACTTTGATTTTAAAGCTGCGCGCTTTGTTAAAATATGGAATTTTTTTAATTAAGATTGTAATTGCAAAATTTTTATAATAATCTAAGGCGCATCATTTAAGAAACTGCTCATGATGCTGCTTGATATACAATATTTTCCTGTTAAACGAGAAATTAATTTTTTAATTAATTCCTAAACAGATCTATACATATATAAAATATATATATATACTAATGTTCTCTCTCTTTTTTTCACATCAATTATTAAACATGGCAAGTGCCAAAAGAATATAAAAATATATTTTTTCGATAACGACGAAATAATTTTGATTATAACTTTGATTTTTCAATTAAATTTTATAAAAATTCAAATATAGGATAAAAATTACATAAAAGTCTAAAATCAATAAACATATTTTTTTTAATGAAAATTGTAACTAAAATTAATATAGTAATTTTTTTATGAGTTGCAAATTATTATGGGAATCTTATGATAATGTTTCTTTTTAATTTTGTAACTTTTTAACGTATTTGGACCAAATTTTTTTTTTTTCAATGTAGCGAATAATTTTGCGGAGAACTTCTTTTTTTTATCTGCGAGTTTTAATTATAAAGTCTCAATTTAAGTGGTAGCTCATCTGCTGTCAGAGGCTACTTGTTAAATATTGATAACATTGCGTATAAAAAAGATTTCTAAATATATATATTTCTTTTTTTTTTCATATAAATTTTTAGCAGATCATTGTCGAGCGTTATGTTCAGTTTCAAGTAAACATTCGCGTACGAGAATTCTCGCGTGTTGAATGCCCATTTTGAGTCTTTCAGCGGCACTACGACTTCCTGCATATGAAAGACGAATATCTCTACCAAGTTCCTCGATGATAACTAATAATTGGGCATATTTTCCCTGACCAGGCACTGACGGAAAATTAATGGTATTTGATGGGCTAGGTTGTGGTGCTACCTGAACGTTCTGTACATTTTGCAGATTTCTTGGATTTGGCACTGTGATCACAGGTTCGGGAATTCTTTGAATTTCTTGTTGTTTAGGAGGCGGTGGTGGCGGCGGTGGTGGATCATTTAATTTTGTAATTGTTATTTCATTTAATTTTGCCAATTCAGTGAGTTTTGCCATTTCGGCCATTTTTGAATATTCAGGCATTTTAGTAATGTCATTTTGTATACTTGCCATTTTGATCATTTCATTCATTTTTGTTTTTTCATTCATTTTTGCAATTTCTTTTGCCATTTCATTAATTTGAGCAATTTCATTAAGTTTTGTTATATCATTATTGTATTTGGCCATTTCGGTCATTTTAACCATTTCATTGAGCTTTGCAATTTCATTCATTCGTTGAACTTCATTAATTTTTGCCATTTGATTCATTTTCATCATTTCATTCATTTTTGCGATTTCATTCATTTTTGAAATGTCATTATTATATTTTGTCATCTCTGAATATTTAACCATTTCGTTCATTTTTGCAATTTCATTCATTTGCATTTGCATTTTCATATATTCTGTTGTTTTTGCATATTCGGCCATTTTTTCCATTTCATAACGTTTAGCCATATCTTGTGACATTTTATTGAGTTCACTCATTTTACTGAATTCAGCAAGTTGTGCCATTTGTACAATATGCTCGGGTACTTTTCCTCGTTCCATCATTTGTTTGAGCTCGGCTGAAATTTTGTTCATATTGAGCTCGGACATTTCGGTGATTGTTGTTGTGTCGGGTAATTTTGAAAGTTCGGCAATTTTTGATATTTCCCTTGCCAAATTTTCATCGAGACAACGCTTTTTTTTTGCTCGATGTCGCGCCATACGTTGTGCCTCTTGCATACGACGTATTGCTGCCTGTTCCTCAGTTTCTTTTGCTCTTGAATTCTTCATTCTCTCGGCGTTTGTAAATAATCTGAGAGCACGTTCCTCGGCTGTCTCGGACATTAGTCTCTCACGTTGATATTCACGCATTTCCCTTACCTTTGTGAGGTAAGATTTTTTCTTGTACTTAAATATAATCGACAATTTGGCACAGGGCACAAACAATCATTTAAATTGTAATTCATGTTTGTTCTCGTGAATTTCACCTTCTTTTTTATAATCCTGATTTCTGAAAAATATATTTTATAATTAATTATTTTGTAATTTTTAAAAAATTTAATTATCGTTAAATTTTTGTTTAAAAAAATACCTACTTATAAATTAAATTAATCAGATATAACATTAATTAGATTAAACTATTTCTAACCTGAAAATCATACACGTATACAAAAATCAACAAATTAGACAAGTTTTTGTCACATTTTGGGGAATTAAAGCTCAACAACTGTCACATACATCAATAATAAAATTTGCAAATATTAAACACTACATAATTTAAAACTTATCAGAAAATCATTTGTTTCTAATTTTTTTTAAAACAAAATAATTAATTTACTCGAGCATAATAGAAAAAAAAAATTTTTTGATTTTCTTATCAACTTTGATAATAATGATAATAATACAATAAAAACAAAACACTTTCTTAGAAGCAAAAACTCACGTGTGAAATGGATTATTACAGTGAATGATTAATAATGATTATTAAATTATTTCAAAAATCGAAATAACTTGACATATCTGAGTTGGTTCAATTAAACGGTTAATTAAAGACATTATAATAAGTATAAAGAAATATCAAGCTTCGCGTTCTCCTCTGATTTGAATAAAGAGGTTCGACGCGATAATACCACGCGTGCGCGAAAAATTAAGAACGCTGTCTTCTCCTCTTTTTCGAGGCCAATCACAACAATGGCCGACACAATTCGAGCAATTTACCAAAAAAATTGACAAAAGTGCTTTTTACCGGTAAATAATTAATTAAATTTTTATTATCTTATATTATTATCATTTACACTTACACTATTTTCCTATTACGTTGTTTCATTAAAAAAATATTCAATTATCACACAAGTTATCTCGTAGACAAACGCACAAAAGTAAAATCAGCCGACATAAGATCTTCGTTCGGGAGAGCCACTTTAAGGGTCGCCGATAGGCTGCGTGTGACGTGGTTGCATTTATTGACCATAAACCCCTTCCTATAAACTTGTGTCTACAACTTCACGACGGACAGGTGTTTGACGCTAACAGAAAAATTATTGACCTTTAGCCGATAAGAGGTTGGAAATTATTAACTTTCATAAGTTTTTCGGAGCAAAGGACAAAAGTTTAGGGATGAAGTTTCAAAAAAAAAAAAAAATTCAATTATTCATCTTTTTTTATTTCATTTCTGATATGAATTAATAGTTTTTCAAATTATAAAAAATTAAAAGGGTCAAGAACAATAACGTACGTACCTTTAAGAAACCTTGCTTCTTCAACGATAGAATTAAAAATTGTCAATAGATTTTCAGTGCTTTTTGAGGGGAAGTGGAAAGGTGGAACTGCCAATGACCTTTCAAAATTGAATTTAAAATTTCTATTGTTCCCGTTTTGATGTTTTATAAAATGATTTTTTAAATATTGAAAAAAATAGTTTTTATAATACAATTATTTCTGATTATTAGAATAATTTTACTGTTTATCATTTTGTACGTGGAATTATGTTTTTTTTTTTTTTTTTCTTCAATATTTAGTGATAATGATACTTGACATTGTGTCGCTTATTTGACTTGTTCAGTGTGATATTATAACTGTATTGCGTAATTAAACCTAAAATTAGCTTATGAATTCTTTCCTCATTCGTGGAAATTAATAATTTTAGAATATGTGTAAATTTTTTAGATTTTGAAGGACTAATAACAAAATAAAAATTATATTTTTTTCAATAAAATCTGTAAAAACGTTTATTAAATTTAAAATTTTAACTAATTTTCTATTATAATTTTAAATATTATTACATTTATTAAATTTAATATCCAGAGGAATAATGTCTCGAGTTGAGTTCCGTTTCCAAAAGACAATCTTTAACTAAAAGTTTTGCTTGTACAATTTCGGTTTTTAATTTTTCGATAGAATTTCGACTTCCAGCGTATGTTAATTTAATATCCTTGCCAATTTCTTGAATAACAGAGAGTAATTGAGAATATTTACTGTCTCCAATTAGAGGAACAATTGTCACTTTATCAGGTTCATTTTGTGAAAAATTATCATCAGAAATTGGATGATTTACAGTACTCAAAACTTGAAATAAAATATTTCGTTTTTTTAGCTCCGATATTAGACCTAATTTTGTTAATTGTTCTTCTCGAAGGACTCGTGATTCTTCTAGTGCCTTTTTCCTTCTTGCTCGAAATCGTGCCATTCTTTGGGCATCATGAAATCTGCGAATTATCGCCTCCTCTTCAGTTTCATTTGGTCTTGGTATAGGACGTCGAGTATTTTTCTTTTCTTCCAATGCATCCGTTTGTTTCTTCTTCTTTAATTTAGAAGAAATCATTTTTCTATTTTTAACTCTCTTTCCTCCGTTTGGCATTCTATTATACAAATATTTCAGAATTTAGAATATTAATTTTCAAACCTAATCCATATTTTAATCACATTTCCTTTCCTTGAGATAATTTACACTTTGAGGAGGATTGTTCAAATCATTCTTGGGGAAGTTGAAAATTTATCGCTGTTAAGATAAACTTTGACTCACACAAGTATATTGTGCGATGATATTAAAAATGTGTCCAAAATAAGTAACACACTTGAGAAGGAGGTAAATTGCGAAATTAATTTTATTGAATACACGTCACTTTGTTTCCGAAATTCTCCGATTTGTGTATTTGTCAATTCAAGTAAACAAGAGAATGAAAAATGTTGAATGTCACTATCGTTTCTTTTTTTCTAAACTAAATCATTGACAGAAAATATTTGGAATCAAAGATTGAAATAAAAAGAGACAGTTGACAACTTTTTCCTCATGCTCGTACCAATGGCTCAAGGTGATTCACTCTGAAAATAGCAATGCGCAATTAATCGGCAACGATGCAACAATTCTTACTAATTCTCTGCTCCATATACATATACACACACCTGGCGTATCTGTCACTCTTTAGAATATTAATTTTTTTCACTGATAAAAACTGATTTCCTTTTGAATCAATATTACACAGTTTTAGAATTTTATAAATTATACACCAGACACTTGACATCACAATTTTTTTTTTTTTTTATTATTAAAGTAACCATAAATTTTTTTTTTTATGGTTTCAGATGCGGATATAAAAATTCTCTGTAGCGGTGGAGACAATGCATTTTTCTAATTACGAATACTATTTTTTGCTATTATTAGTCGTATATCCAGTTTATTTATTTTTAAGATTATGGTCTTGGCTTGGTTGGCAACTTTTTGTGAATAATTAAAAATCTATTTTTATTAAAATAGAAATAATGATTTTATTTTTAATCTTCAATATTTAAAATAAGACAATTATTATATTATATCAGTCAATGATATTGTACAAAATTTCTGTACAATTTTTTAAATAATTTTAATTTATAAATATCACTTGGCAAAAAAAAAAATGATAAGACAATAACTTGATAAAAATATAACTTTTTTTACACTGTTTTTTTTTTAAGAAGACGTATTGAATCTGTCTGTTATTAAAAGTTCATCCAAACCCATTTTTCCTAGATGCTTCCATATTCGATATCTAGCTACATCTTTTCTCGTTATCATACCAACAACCTAAAAATTAATTTTAAATATACCTTCATCTAAATTGAATTTTGAGAATTTTATTTTTAAAAAAATAATTTAGGTATTTTTAATTACCTCATTAGTGTCATTTAAAATTGGTAGATGCCGAAGTCCCAATGCTCTAAAGAGTCTAAATACACGAGGCAACGTTGCTGACTGTAATAAAATTACAAATTGTCAAATTATTTTTACAATTATAAAATGAAAGTAAAAAGAAAAACTTACGTGCTGTAAAGTATAGGGTGTTGGATTCATGAAAGGCCTTAAATCTATCATAAAAGTCTTTTCTTCTTCTGTGACATGTACTTCATCAATTGTTGGATACCTAGGATATTCGTTTCTAAATATTTTTATATCTAATTTTTCCTCCCAAAAATCGGCATATTCGTTGAATAGTTTATTTCGCAAAATAACCAATAACTGCGAACGCAAGATCAATCCTCGAAATCGTCCATAGCACGTGATTTCATCCTGAAATTCATAATTGCACTCAATTTTAATTAAATAATTTAATGTTTAAATATTTACATTTCTAATATTTTAACACTAAATACTTTAAATTGAAATTTATTTCAAATTACCTGATCTCCACTTGGTGGATCAACCACCGGAAATCCATTAAAAGAAACACATCTCAAAACTTCAACAATATGACCAACATTTTCTATTGATTTTAATGATACCACTGGATGGCTCATTATTTCACTGGCATAAATATTATTTGATAAAGGTGGCGCTTCCCAAGCGAGAAAAGGTACACCCGCCATTTGTGTGTGAATTTCATAAATTCCCTAGAAAAAATATATTATTTATTTTTCTTTTCTATAAATAAATCAATTAGATTTAATAATTTGAAATATTAGTTTTACCTCATTAAAAAAATCACCAACCCACTTAGACATTATTAGAACAATAATAATAGGAAGACCAAAAGAAATTCCTTGAGTTGCTTCTATTAAGATGGCAGTTAAACTAATAGTCATTCGTACAACACCTCCTAATTGTGCAGCAGCACCGAGTAATGCATACTTTCCGGGATCTAAATTCTATAAAATAAATATATATTTAAACTGTCAAATAAAATAAATTTTCTCTTTTGTAAAAATTCAAAAAAAAAATCAATTTAACTTACACATGATGGTAAAATATCAGTTAATCCAGAACCAATTAATCTACCCCAACCAGCGCCAATTAAAAGAGATGGTATAAAAAGACCACTTGACATTGATAGACCAAAAGTACATGCCGCCAAAAAAAAGTAGAGTAAAACAAATATAATTAATGTTTCAGCATTATGAGAACCTATAAAATAAATTCCATAATTCTGTATTTTTTTTATTATTCATTTATTTTTGAAAAATTTCTTTAAACTTGTTCTCATTTTCATACCTGGAGGATCGTGAAAAAGAGAACGAACAGTACTCTCAGGTGTTTGAAACCATAAAGCCGCAGCAGCATTATATTGACCTTTACCGCAAAACAATTGAACTGGAAATTTTGTTGGATCTTTGCCCAAATCTTTGCAATCATTAATAAAGAACATCATTAAAAATCCCATTGTTGTACTCATCGTAGCAACGAGTAATACTTCAACAACTTTAAGCCATTTTTGTTTAATATACTTCATTCGATAGCATGTTATTTTATAATTTAAATGATTCCAAAGTGCTCCAAAAGCACCGCCAATTGTTCCCACTAACATGAAAAGTGGAATCTCATAAATTTGATAATTAATGGTTTCGAATTTTCCTAAATTCAATAGACCCGGATAGGAAAGATCACCAAGATGATGATGATAGGCACTTAAAATAATATTGAGAGTAAATGTTGTTATCATACTCGCAAAAAATGTTCTCCATGTTAAACTTTGATTAAAGAAACTTGCACCTTCCTCTATACTGAATAAAACACCACCTGGAATATATATATATTTTTTTTATTAGAACTTTGTTTTTCAAAATCAAAAATATTAAATAATTAGTAATTTACCGATTGGTGCACCAAAAGCTGCAGAAACTCCCGAGGCTGCACCACCTGAGACAAAATCTCGTTTCTCGTGATCTTCTCGAAAATATTGAAATATTTTCAAATCTCTTTTAAACGTTGTACTTTTTCCTTGAGATATTCCAGCAGCTACAACAGCTCCCGAATGAATCATTGGTCCTTCCTGAATAATTGCGAATTTTATTTTACTAAACAATTTATTTCCAAAAAAGAATTTCATTTTTCTCTGTAAGTATGGGAGAATTAAATTTATACCTTGCCACCAGCTAGACCTCCAACAACTGTTGTTATAACTCCTATAATTTTTACAGCTAATGTCTTTATTCTTACGACCCGTGGGACTTTGACTCCATTTAAATAACATTTTACTTGTGGAATGCCACTTCCAGCTGCCACTGGTTCTACATATGCCACTAGAATAGCTCCTATTAGAACTACAAATAAATTTATAACTAGCCAAATTATATATGGTACTATTAAACAATTTGACATTGCGCATATATCCACATCTGTGATAATCAAATTAAGGAAAATTTAATACATAATATAGAATTTTCGTTTTGTTTTTTAAATAATTAAAAAAAAGGATACATTTTTTTACCAATCCATACTTTAAACTAGATAATTCTTCTATTGAAATGTCTACAAAACATGCAATTAGAGCCGTACATATTCCTATTAATAAGAAAATAAACCATCTTGCAAGTTTTTTCTTTATAACAAATTTGTAACCCTTTTTTCTCTCTTCATCCAGAAGTAAATTATTTTCACAGGGATCATAATCCAGACTCTTAAAAATAAAAACAAATAAAACTAGAATGTAAATTCTCGATAAAGTATAATAATTATAATTATATAGAATAAATTGATTTAAATAGTAAAAATGTTTAAAAAGGAAATACCTCATAATTTGTAGAAAGGAAATTTGTTGCACCTGGAGTTAATTCTCCAGCATTGAGTCTTCTCGATTGCCGATTGGAAACACTTTCCATAATACTGTTAAATCCATAATTTTCTTCTGCATTTACGTTCTGAAATAAAAGTATTCTATTATTAATAATTATTGATAAAAAAATAAACTTTATAAACAAAGTTTATTTTATATAAAAAATAAAATGATGCAACTTCTAATAAATTTGTGTTTTAGCTTTTTAATATAAAAAATGGTTATTTAAAAAAATTCCTCATATGAATTTTTAATTAAAAACAAAATAACATTTGATAATTAGTTATTATTATTTTCTTATCTTGCATGGTGGTTCATTGTTTTTGTTTTGATTTTTTGAGGTTATGTTTAAAAATATCCATATAGGGTTAGGGAAATAAAAAGAAATTTCAATTATAATAAATAATTCTTACCCTGAATCTGACATTAATATCATCATTTGAATATGAAATAAAATTATTTCGTGGAGTATCTCTAGGTTTAAGAAGTTTTTCTTTGTCATCACGACTGTCATTGAGACTGTTTTCACTGACAACGTCATTTATTAAAATAGCAGACGACGAAGGTGTAGGAGATGTCATTTTACTAAATCACTATAATATACTGTTTTAATTACTTATCATTTTTTTTTTTTTTTGGCAAACAAAAAAAATACGTTTTATTATTTCGAATTTATCACTGACCGAGTTTGAATCATTCCGTTGTTTTCTTGATAATAGAGAGCAACATGTCTGATGATAAAGTAGTGTAGTTTTATGGTCACGTGACATTTTCATGAATCATCATTGGTATTCCCCTGCTCCGTATAGCGGATGTTGAATAAATTGAAAAATCTCTTTATGTACAAATGTCTAGCATATAAAAATGTGTAATATGCAGATTAGATAAATTATTATTACATTCGTTTGGTGCGAAAGTCAATTATTAATTATACAATTCAATGTAATTTAAAGATTACAAGTCTCTCTTTTTATAATAAAAAATATGTCCCTCGCTTTCTCTTATAGCAATAATAAAATCTTAATTTCGATTTAATTATTAAATTTTTGTTTTATTTATTTATTTCTGGATTTTTTTCTGCAACGGAAAAATTTTAAATAATTAAGATTCGTAAAAAAAAAATTTACTTATAATAAAATTTTCAATTATAATAATTATTATTACAATCAAAAATTTATACATCAAACTTATTTTTTACATATCGAGAATATTATTTATAAATAATCATATAAATATTTTTAAAAATACTTTACACAATAATTATTAGTTACACTGCAATTCTTTGATATTATTTACAATTTCACATTTTACATATACATATATAATAATTAATATTATAATTATTATTAAATGAATTAAATTAAAAATAATTGGCGTGTTTATTTTTTTCAAAAATTAAAATCGTTGTTCCTTTAAATTTCTAACTTCCAAAAATAATGAAAATAGAGAATGAAGTGATTCAAGTCGTGCATTTTCGTAAATTGGTATATCCACAAGATTACAAACTAAATCCACGAGTGTTGAAATATCACAATCCAATTTTGAAATATCAATTGGAGTATCATTCAATTTTTCTTCAACTTCAGTTGGCCATTGTTGAAGTAATGTATCAATATCGGGAAATTTTTTTGTCAAATTAATAGTTAATGGATGTTTTCTACTGTGCAATAAATTCATATCCTCAATCCATTTGTCAATTGCTTTGCCATTTTTCTCAGCATTTTCCACACGTTTTACCACCGAATATCTTATTTTAGTTGCACTTTTACTTTGACTGCGTAATTGTAAATGCAAAACAGCTGGATCCGATTGATTTGTACATGGCTCATCCAATACAACAATACCCACTTTATCTGACACTCCATCGGGTCTGGGAATTTTTATAAAAGCATCTATATCGCCCACTGCTGGAATATAATCCGGGATAAATGGTATTAACTTGTAATTTAAATCAATTTTTTGCGGCACATATCTGAAATGAATTTTTTTTTTTTTTTAAATTAAGTTTTAATAATAATAATAATTAAAAATTACCTTTGTATATTTTGAAAAAGTTCCCTAACTTCTGACGACACTTGTAAATCCTCAAATTGTTTAGGATCATAGATTTCAATAATTTTTGCTGTCGATGCTTGAATATCATCTTCGTCAGTTTCATCTGTGTCTGAGAGATCGCTTCCAACATTTATTGGTTTTGTAAAATTGAATTCCTGTTCTGAATTTCTAGTAAAAATATTTATAATTGAATTCTTTTTTTGGATTTTGATTTTTATTTATTTTCAATTAAATGACAATAATTTAAAAATATAATTTTGATAGAAAAATATTATATAATATACCTTTTGTTAAAATTGTTTTTCGTTTTGGGAGAAATTATATCATTTCCCGATGTGTCACTAGAGAAATTTCGCGAATTTCTTCTTTTGGCAGAAGGCCTTCGCGAAATAGGACTCTTAACTTCTTCGGCATTTCGAACTTGGATAGTTTCATCAAATTTTGTAAATGCTGAAATATTATGAGTGTCTTCTTCCTCACTACTGTCTCTAAAATTCATAGTTTATATCTAATATATATATATAAATTCCGAAATATTGATTTTCTTTAAAAATTCTCTAATAATATAAATTTTATTCGTCACATTACGATAATACTTTTTTTTTTAAATTATTATTAATAATTAAATTTCAATTTTTTATGGATTTGAAACATAATGTTTTTGGTTAGCAATAGTTAACACTCAGCAGAATGTGACATTTCACTTGCGATTGTTTGCCTGGAAGGTCTCCTTGGAAACGATTCACTTCGTTGAACTCAGCTGTTTTTAAATTAGTTCATCATTATAAAGTTAACTTTTTTTTTTATTTTCCTATTGTTAAAAACAATTATACAAAAATTATTTATAAAAATGGAAATATAAATATTTTATATATATAAAAGAGGTCATTGAGTATAATTATTTATTTTTTTTAGATATTCATGATGGATATTGAGGTAATTTTCTGCTTCTTTTTTTAAAAGCAGAATAGGTTTTTTTTTTTTTTTTTGCTTTGGTGTGCATTTTTATTGCCTCTGATTTTTAATGCTTCTTAAACTAATTTTTTTTTAAATTCTAATTTTTTTATACACATATTTTTGTATATTCATAAATTTTTATTTGGTACAAAAAAATTCGTCCATCGAAAATTGATTACAAAAGTTATAAATAAAATGACATAAAAATTTCCTTATGAGATCATCATGCGATAAGGAAAATTGTAAAAAAATGATTCCATAAAAAAAAATTCACACAAATAAAAATTTTTTTTTTCACTATTTACCCCAAAAATTAACGTTATCGGATTTTTAAATATTTTTAAATAAAAAGGCATAAATATTTTTTTGTACGTAAAATGGACTTATTTCCTCGCAGTATTTTCATTTTTATAAAGCACTTTAGAAATGTAAAAATCTTTATAAAATTCAATTCTTTTTTTCATTATTTTTAGAAAAAATATATGATTTGACAAAAAGTTCATCTTTCGTTTTTTTTCAATTCATAAATAAAAATCACTTTTCTTTGATTCTCATATATGACTTTTACGAAATCAAAAGTTGATCGATTTTTTCAAATATTTTAAATAGGATATTTTCCATAAATATGACCACTTCGTGTTTTTCGAATTAGCCAATGTTGTCTGCTCAATTTATTTTTAACATTTTCTGTTCTTTGTGTAAATTGTGAAGAACTACTATCAATATAGTCGCCATAAATTGAAGGTGTATTAGAATTTTTTCTCGATTTGTATTTTTTCTTACGTATCTCCTTTCTTGGACTTTCTTCACCTTCAGAGAAATATTCATCTCCACGATCTCTGTTATATTTAGTTTCTGATTTCCAATTTTTTGGAAATTGATAAATTGAATCTTCTGGTAAATCAATAAAAATTCTGATGGAGAGAGAAATTCAATATATTTTAAACGAGATTTTAATTAAATTTTAATTTTTTTTTTTTTTTTAAATTAAAAGCATTGTATTCACCTATTTATTGATGATTTGTCAATAAAATCATCGCCACCTTCATCTTTATTGCCTTTTATTGAAAGTATAATTACTACCATTATAAATGAGCAGAGAATAAAAAAAGCTGCTAAATCAACAAAATTATTTTCGATTGAGGATGTTAATAAATTTTTTAATTGTTCCATTTCACACATTGTTCCATTCAATTCATTCGTTGAAAATATTTTTGGAAATTCATAAATAACCAAATCCTTAAAAAAAAAGGATAAAATTAATTTTAAATAAAAAAAAAGTATTTTAAGAATTTATTTTTATATAAACTTACTCGTAGGTAGGCTAATATTTTTTGAATTACAATTTGAAGCTGGTGGTACATATTTTCAAAATTCTCCATTTTTAAAATTATTCTTAAATTAATAAATTTTTTAAAATATTAAATTAAAATCTTGGAGTTTTTCCACGTATTTTTTGAATTAAATACTCTTTAAATTTATTATTTGTTGCCAAAAAAAAAAAAAAAATTGTGTTTGCAAACTGACGAAAATTTGGCAAAGACTTCAAGTTTTTTTATAAATGTCATATTCGCGATATAGCTCCCATATAAATATTATAACTTTGAATATAGCAACTTAAAAGACAAAGATTTGTTTTTTTTTTAGTTTTGTAAATTTATCTTTTATTGTATATAAATTCAAAAGTAACACGCTATTAGGAATATATGAGTAAGTGTTTCGATCAATCATTAATTAATTTCTGGATATGAAAGGTGATAAATCAAAGATACTTAAAAAATTATTAACACCCATTTCATTATGTTATATTTCTTCTTATTTATTATTATTATTATTATTTTTATTGTCCTCATTATTATTAATTCTTAAGTTTTTGATAATATTATCAAACTTAAAAATTAATAACATTTCTAATTAAAATTTCTAATCTCCAATGAAAAGAGATTTTCGATAAATTTGTAAAACATAAATATTGATTAATTGCAAAAATTTGTTCAACTTAACGTATCACGAAAGATAAGAATGGTTCTTTTTATCTGCGAATACTTATTACGTCAAAAAAAAGCGTTTTATGATTTTATGAACATCTAATCTTTTTATTGCTTGTGAATACTTTTTCACTAAATTAAACGTGTAAAAAAAGCAATAATTTATAGAAAATATTTAAATAATACATAAATAATTAATATCTTTTTTCAATTAATTAATTACTATAAATTCTTTTATAATATAATTGATTTATTTTTTTAAAAATTTTTTTACGTAGAACGCATATTTTAGAATCTGTAAAAAATATCGGGGAAATTTTAGGTTTAATTTTTGAATAATTTTTTTTCTGAGTATTAAATGTTAAGACGATGAGCTTTTATGAATGATATTTAAGATATGAAGTTTTCATAAAAGCCATACATATACAGGTACGAATGTAAAATCCAAAATGAGCATGAGTAGTTGATGTGTAATCATCCAAGTGAAGAGTTGCACTCTACATTTTCTTATTAGTTGATTATTTCGAAGTGTTACCAATTTTTTTTTTTTTTTTATTTAAATCACAAAAATTTAATTTATAATATTCAAAAAAAAAAAAATGTAATAAAACATGTGAAGATAATTTTATTTGCATAAACATTAACAATATAGTCGCTTTAAGGAAACATGGATGTTAATTTTAAATTTCAAAGAATTTTTAAAGAAAATCTTCCATAAGTTAAAATTGTTTTTATTTACTAAAGAAATACTTAATTTTTATTAATAATTTGTTTTTTAAACAATAAACATATATTTCTTTTCAATAAAAAAATAAAAAACAGTGCAAATTAAAAAGTCATACTCTGTATATGAATTCTGGTTATGGGTGATCACGAAATTGAAAACTCAGTTGTAAGCAGTTAAAAAAAAATTCAAACCATTATTTATTATTTTCATTAAATTAAATTAAAATCCTTATAACGAATTAATTATAAATCGTTTATAATTTAGAGTCAAAATGGATATGCAAATGAAGCTTTTAATTATGGTGAAACACTTTCAAATAGACAATGTAATGAAAAATTGGATACTAATGAATCGAGAATTAAATCACGTGGAAAAATTACACCCTCGTCCAAAACTTTGGTAATTAATATTTGTAATTTGATTTTGAAAAAAAATGGATAATTATTAATTAATAATTTTGCATTTATTTTTAAGATGCATAATAAAAAAATTTATGTCATATTTGCTGAGATATGTATCTAAATCCAAGAACATAAGATCATAAAGTGTTCGGAGAAATAAAAGATTTTTCAGAAAAGTAGATTTTATATCTTTATGTAGGAATTTAAAATGAATTGTTTTGAAATATAAAAATAATGTTCTATAGGACAATTCTTAAATAATTTTTTTAAGTTATATTTTTTAATAAATTATAATTTATTGTCATAGACATCAAATGAAATTGAAAAGGAACAATGGGGTGGAGGTTTTGAATTTTTAATGGCATGTATAGCAACGTCAGTTGGATTAGGAAATATTTGGAGATTTCCATTTACTGCATTGGAAAATGGAGGTGGTGCTTTTTTAATTCCTTACGTTATTATTCTTCTATTTGTTGGAAAACCATTTTATTATTTGGAAGCTATATTAGGACAATTTACTAGTCGATCGTGTGGAAAAACATGGGCAATGGTACCTGCTATGAGAGGTATATTAAAAATAGTAAAATATTATTTAATATTTACTAATTAGATTAATAATCATAATGATTTTGTAACTTTATAGGTTTAGGTTATGGACAAGTATTGACTGCATTTTGTGTTGTGACTTACTATTGTAGTTTGATGGCATTAACAATTTATTATTTAGTATCAAGTTTTGATTCTGTTCTTCCTTGGTCATATTGTCGTGAAAATTGGAATAATTGTCTTGATGCTTCATCGAATATTTCAAATGGAGCAATTATTTCTGATAATGTGTCTGTTAGCAGCTCTGCAGAATTATATTTTCGGTTTGTTGAATTAATATTTTATTCTGTAATCCGAAATTATTATATAATTTCAGATTTATACCAGAATTAGTTTTAAGTTTTAAGAATTTAGTGGAATAAATTATTTTTACAGAAAAATAGTATTGAATGAATTAGATTCCATTGAGGATGGTATTGGTGTACCATCATGGTCATTGAGCCTTTGTCTGCTATTCAGTTGGGTGTGTTTATTTGCAATCATGTGTCGTGGAGTTAAAAGTTCGGGAAAGGTAGTTTATTTTCTAGCGATATTCCCTTATATTGTGATGATTATTCTTTTAATTAGAGCAGTGACATTAGAGGGAGCAGTGAATGGGATTTTATTTTTTTTTGAACCCAAATGGGATGCTCTTCTTAAACCTAATGTTTGGTATGCTGCAATAACACAATGTTTTTTCTCTCTGTCCGTGTGCTTTGGACCTATTATCACTTATTCTTCACATAACAACTTCAATCATCGTCTGAGCAGGTAATAAAACTTAAAAAATAACATAAAATTTGCTCACTTTACAATTTCATTAAGAAACATGATATTTTAAGGGACGTAATTATTGTAACGACACTGGATACATTTACAAGTTTGATGGCAGGAATGACAATATTTGGAATTTTGGGTAATTTAGCACATGAAATGGGTACAGATGACATCTCAAAAGTTGTTCGAGGAGGCACTGGATTGGCATTTATATCATATCCAGATGCATTATCTCGATTTTCATTTGTACCACAATTTTTTTCGGCTCTCTTTTTCTTTATGATGTTTGTCTTGGGAGCTGGTAGTGCAATGGCTCTCTATAATGTTGTTGTTGCCGTTTTATGTGATCATTTTCCAAATGTAAAAAGATGGAAAATTGCTCTTGCCATGGCTATTGTTGGCTTTCTTTTTGGCTTGATTTACGTTACACCTGTAAGAATTAGACAATTTTCTTTTTTTCAAAAATATTTCTAGAAAAAAAGAAATGTAATTATATTTCTTATTTTTTTTAGGGTGGACAATGGTTTGTGACATTAATAGATTATTTCGGTGGTAATTGTGTGGCTATTATTGTTGGTGTTGCAGAAGTTATAACTATTTTTTGGATTTATGGACTTGTGAATTTTTTAAATGATACGGAATTTATGTTGGGTATTAGGCCTGGATTTTATTGGAAAATTTGTTGGTTTATAATTACTCCCACGTTAATGATCATTATTCTTTTTTATACATTTGTTACATACGTGCCACCAACTTATAATGAAATAAATTTTCCCGATTATGCTTACGGTAAAATTAATTAATTTAATATTTTAGATTATTTTTATAAATAAATTGATGTTGATAAATTATTTTTATATTCAATTTAGGAATTGGTTGGTTTATTTTTGCCATAGGAATTTTTCAAATAATAGGATTTATTGTCAGTGAAGTTATGAGACAGAAAAAATTATCATTTTTTGAAGTAAGTTTTCAGTCGCTTTTTTAATTTGCATAGTTTATAGTTTAATTTTTTGTGTATAAAATTAGAGATTATTTTTTAATAAAACTTTTATAAAATTCTTAGGCTATAAAAGCTGCCTTCAGCCCATCGGAGAAAAATTGGGGACCTTTTAATAGTGAAACTCGAATTAAATGGAAGGAATTTATTTTAGAAAAAAAAGTCAAGCACAAGAGTGGCTTTAAGGAATTATTTTTTAAATAATGTTAAAGAAAATAACGGCAATATAAAAAAGCACAAAAGTATTTTTCAATAATATTTCATAAGTAAATAGATATAATTTAGTTTATAATTATTTTTTTACCATTATTATACAACATTTAGTAAATATTGTCCTAAAAGTTAAATAGTATTACTAAATTTTCTTTGTTATTTCCTACTTGCTTAGTTCTTTTTTTAAATTGCTTATAAATCGACGTTAAAGAAAAAACATAAAGAAAATATGACAAATAAGTTTTTAAAAAAATTTAATTTGACTTGATGCATTACTTGTGTCATTTTTCTTTATATAGAGATGTTCAATTGTTTAAAATAATTAATTATATTACTAATATTATTTGTTATCTTATCGAAAATACAAATAATTGATTTATTATTAAAGATGTTATTAAATTAAAATATTAATGATTTTATAAATGGTTTTATAATTACAAAAAAATATATAAGATAGTGCGTGATCTGGAAAGAGCAGTTATACCTATAATTATTATTTTTTTATATATATTATGCTTTTCGTGGAAATAATTAAAGTTATTTCATTTATTATGAAAAATATTCCTTCTATGCATTTTTGTGATTAGAATAGTTGAAGTATATACGACAAAAGTATAATGTTGCAATCAATATTTGAAAGAATTATTACTTTTTTTATTTTTTTATGTTCGTTTTTGCATAAAGCAGAGATTATTTGAAATAAAAAAAAAACTCGGTAGGAGGTACGTTTCGTTTTGCAAAAAAAAAATGTCACGTGATTATGAACAAGAATAATTGTTCTTAACGTGGATGCCATTCAGTCAATGGCAGTTGAGCCACAACAATAGGAAACATATTATACAAAAGTACCTAATAAAATAAAAAAAAAAAAATTCCTTTTTGTGCTTAGTTATATAAAATACGTGATAGATAAAAAAATAAATATATATACATTTCTCTAATTAAATTTACGAAATTAATTCAAATAAATCGTCCGCAGTGATGAAGGTGAATTTTTAATTTTTAACTATAAAAATAAAAACAATAATAATATTAATAAAATTTTCTTATCTTTTATATAAAATTTTAGAAAAGTTCTACATATACAAATAAGGCTTTCAGTCAGGAAAATGTTCAAAATGAATTATCGAATTCTGATAAAAATTTACAAGATACAGTAGTTAATAATTCTATTAATTTGGAAATAAAAAAAAGAAATTCAATTTCTTCAGTAACATCGGTAAATATATATAGTGTGCTGTGCATATTCAAAAAATAATAAATTAGGTTACTTTTTTTATTATCATAAAATTAATAAATAATAAATATTAATTAATTGAGGTGAATAAAGAAGAATGGGGTGGAAGACTCGAATTTCTTATGGCGTGTATATCAAATTCCGTAGGACTTGGAAATATTTGGCGATTTCCTTTTACTGCTCTTGAAAATGGAGGTGGAGCTTTTCTTATTCCATATATTATTATTCTTTTTTTAGTAGGAAAACCTTTTTATTATCTCGAGGGTATTTTAGGGCAATTTACAAGTCAATCTTGTACAAAAACTTGGAATATGTCCCCAGCTATGAAAGGTATTTCAAATGAAATGGAAAACAAGAAAATAATGAATATTGTTAATTATGTTGGCAAAATAAAACAGAAATTGAAAGAAAAATTTGTAAAAAGATACCTACTTTTGGTAAATTTTGCAATTTTTTGTTTTATATAAAGATGAAAAGAAAGTAAAATGAAACAGAGAAGTTATTTTATGATTTGTGATTATAAAAGATAAGATATGATAATTTCATTCATTTCTTGTTTTTTGTTCTATATTTAGTAGTTATAATATTCGCGTCCATTTTATTCTTTTTTTTTATAATTTATTTTTTTTATATTAACTTATAAATAAATATTGAAGAAAAATAAATATTTACTTATAGGTTTGGGATACGGACAAGTATTTATTGCATTTTGCATAGTCTCATACTATTGCAGTTTAATGGCATTAACAGTTTATTATTTAATAGCAAGTTTTCAAAGTGTTCTTCCCTGGTCATACTGTCGAGATGAATGGAAAGGACTTTGTATAGATGCTTCTTCAAATATTACCAATTTTGGAAATAAAACTTTTAGCAGTTCTGCCGAATTATATTTTCGGTTGGTTATAAATAAATATGAAATTTTTTCTTTTGTTCTCATTATTATTACTATATTGAATGGAAATTTTTTTAAACTTTACAGGAAAATTGTATTAAATGAAATTAATTCGATTGATGAAGGTCTAGGCATTCCATCTTGGACATTGTTGCTTTGTTTGTTTTTTAGTTGGTCTTGTATATTTGGAATAATGTCTCGAGGAGTAAAAACTTCAGGAAAAGCAGTTTATTTCCTTGCAATGTTTCCCTATGTTGTGATGTTAATTTTATTAATTAGAGCTGTTACATTGAGAGGAGCTATCGATGGAATTAAATATTTTGTGAATCCAAAATGGGAGGAACTTTTAAAACCCAAAGTATGGTATGCGGCAATTACTCAATGCTTCTTCTCTTTGGGAGTTTGTCTCAGTCCAATTATATCTTATTCTTCGCATAACAATTTTAATCATCCTATAAGTAGGTATGTTTATCATTTAAAATATATATAAAAGTACAATTTTCTTTTATCTTTATAAAAACAGTAAATTATTTTAATTAAGGGATATTATGGTTATTACGACACTGGATACCTTCACCAGTTTGCTGGCAGGCTGTACAATTTTTGGAATTTTGGGCAATTTAGCACATGAGATGGGTACAGATGACATTTCAAAAGTTGTTCAAGGAGGTTCTGCACTTGCATTTATTTCATATCCTGATGCATTATCTCGATTTTCGGTTGTTCCGCAATTTTTCTCTGCTCTTTTTTTTATTATGATGTTCACACTTGGTACTGGTAGTGCAATTGCTTTACACACATCAATTACTGATGTTGCTGTTCATTTTTGTTCCAAGCAAAAAAGATGGTTCATTATTTTGATAACATGTGTCATTGGATTTTTATCTGGCATAATTTACACCACTCCAGTGAGTTAATTATACAATTTGTTTGGATATTATTTAATTATTGTAATTTTAATTACTGTATATTGTTTAGGGCGGTCAATGGTTTGTGACATTAGTGGATTATTATGGAGGAACATGTATTGCAATTATTATTGGATTTATTGAAATTATTACAATTTTTTGGATTTATGGTCTTTATAATTTTTTGAATGATGCAGAATTTATGTTGGGCTTGAGGCCAGGATTTTATTGGAGAATTTGTTGGTGTATTTTAACTCCTTTTCTTATGATTGTCATTTTATTTTACACATTTATGACTTATGAACCGGTCAAGTACAATGGATTAAGTTTTCCATCTTATGCATATGGTAAAAATAATTGATGTAAATTTAAATATTGTTATTTAATTTAAAAAAATATTTATTATAATTTTGTGTCTTTTAGCCATTGGCTGGTGTATTTTTACCGTAGGAGTTATTCTAATAGTTTATTTTATTATTCGAGAGATTTGGAAGTATAAAAACGTTTCACTATTTGAAGTGAGTAAGATAAAGAATTAAAATAAAAAATTATTTCTTTACTTAAAATAAAAATTAAATTTTTTTCTTACTGCAGGCTATTAAAATTGCATTCATGCCGAAAAATTGGGGACCTTTAAACAGTAAAAATAGAGGTAATTGGGAAGAGTTCACAGCACAGCGGAAAATTAATCGTAAAGGGGGTTTATTAGAATTATTTTTTAGGTAATACTAATTTTTAGTTTTAAAATACAAGTATTATTATTATTATTATTATTATTATTATTATTATTATTATTATTATTATTATTATTATTATTATTATTATTATTATTATTATTATTATTATAAGGAGCAATAATAAGGATACAAACTCTATTGTTATAATAATATCACAATTTATTAAAATATTTTTAAGGTCAACAATATTTTTATATATTAATTTTTTTTACAATATTTTTACTAACATTTTTGTGACTTTAATTTTGCATATACACAACAAATATTTTTTTCGAAAATAATTAAATATTCTATACGTATAAATACTTTTATCAACAATTTACAAAAATCAATTTTTTTTCAATTTTAAAGTTAGTAATAATGCTTACGTTATATATATGGCAGTGTAAAACAAAATTTGTTCCTTTCTTTTAAAAAAATAAATATCAGTAACTCACTAACAAGTAACTAACTTTTTGGTTATATCATTATTAACAAATATTAAATTAAAAACTTAAAGTTAAACTTAAAACTACTATTTACAAATTTTAATTAACATTTTTTTTTTTTGTCGAAATTTGTTCATTATTAGTTTGTTTTTCTTTTAAATAGAATATGAATAGTTTGCATAATTCGAGATTCTGTCCTCATTGATCTCAATTTTGCTTTATCCTCTTTGAATATTAACCATTGTTGACGATCCTTTTCTTCCCTTGGTCCCCAATCGGAAGATGGTGCAAATGCTTTGTGAATCATCTAAAAATAATAATTTATTTACATACATTTTTTTTTTTTAAAGAATAAAAAAAAATCATTTAAAAATTATTATTTTACCTGTAAAGTTGGTAATCTTCTGTTTTTAATTAACGCCACCAACATCCATAATGGTATTTGTAAAACACCAAAAGCTAATAATATAGAACCAGCTACATGTGCTGAAGTAGGATATGGAATACCACCATAAGTTAATGGTTGCATCATTATCACAGTGTATAAAAATATTGTAATTAAAGTAAACGGTGTTATTATAAACCAACATAATCTCCAATAAATACTGGGCTCTTGATTTAACATAAATTCAATATCATCCAAGAAATTCTCCAAACCTATATGCAAAAATACAAATTTTTGAGAAAAATTCAATAAAAAAAAAAAATTATTTTGTTTAAATTATAAAAAATTTTAATGCTTACCATAGACCCAAATTACACCCATCATTTCAAAACTTGCCAATATAAAAACGACAAATGATGTACCATAATGATCGACTAAATTTAATATAAATTGCCCTCCCTGTAATCAAAAATTATAATCAAATCTTTTGATAAACATGAATATACTATAATAGCAAATGTTTGATTATATCATTATATGTATATATGTATATGACAAACAGAAATTCCTATTCGTATATAATCATATTGACAAGTAGCAATTATATTCTATGTCAATTTCATATACTTGAAGTAAAGTTACGTCATATAATTTTGATGAATGTCACGATATGAGTTCAATTAAATTTTTCAGCCTGATTTTACATCAAAAATTGTTTCTTTTTTTTTTTTAATCAAATGATGATAAATCTTATCATTATAATAGGAAAAACGTGTATATAAATTTCAAAATATCAACACTTATATTTTTAAATACTCATCTTTATCAATTTTCAATTATATTGCGATAATTTTTATAATGGTATGGAAAAGTATTTATCAACTTACCGGTGTTACATACACGAGGCCAACAAGAAATCCAAATGTACAAAATGGATACAAAATTTGCCAAAATTTTAATTTTGGATATTGTTCCGTAATAGCGTTTATGATACTTGTCGTCATACCAACACAACTTCCAACTCCCAATACGAACATCATTACAAAAAATAGAACCGAAAATACCTGAAATTTAATAATTATTCTATTATATATAAAAATTAAATTCTAAATTGTAATAAACTTTTTGACAAATGAAAATAATACCTGTGGTACAAATGAAAATTTGGCAATTGCATCAGGATATGAGACAAAGGCTAATCCCGTGCCAGCACGAACAACTGATTTTATATCATCAGTTCCCATCTCATATGCGAGATTTCCCAAAATTCCAAAAATAGTACATCCTGCAATCATGCTCGTTATTGTATCCAGAGTAGTGATAATGATAACATCCCTTGAATTTAAAAAATATGATGTCATTTTCAATTAGAAAATTATTGAATTGCGTATAATTGTTAAATTAACGAAATCGTTGAATTATTTAATAGAAGAATTAATAGTAGTTACACAATAATTAATCATAAAAAAAACCGGATTCATTATTCTGATAAACATGTTGAATAACAATAAATAAAAAAATATATATACCTGTATATATTGTGCCTGAAGGAATTATGTGACGAGTATGTTATAATAGCACCAAAACAAACCGAAAGTGAAAAGAAACATTGTGTTACGGCTGCGTACCAAACTTTTGGTTCCAAAAGTTTACTCCATTCGGGTTTAATGAAAAATAAAATTCCTTTTAATGCATTTTTCAATGTTACGGCTCGTACAAGTAAAGCAATTAAAATCACATAGGGAAATATTGCTAAAAAATATGAAGCTCTTCCTGAACTTTTTAGTCCTTTTGATAGAACCAAACAAATAGTCATCCAACTGCCAAGTAGACAAAGTACTAATTTCCAATTTGGAACTCCAATTCCATCGTCAATTGAATCTTTTTCTTTTAATACTTCTTTTCTGTTTTTGAAAATACAAATTTATTAATTTTCAAATTTATTTTTCATTAATAATTTCTTTCCTCTTTTTACTTAATATAAATTATACATACGAAAAATAAAGTTCGGCAGAGCTTCTTATTTCTTCGTTAGAAAATACGAAAACGTTATTTGAATGTCTCGTTGCACCGGAATCAATGCAATTATCTCCCCATTCTTTTTGACATTTAGACCAAGGCAATTCCGAAGAAAAGGAAACGATTAAATAAAAAAGTGTTATTGCCATAAGAGAGCAGTAATATGTTGATAACGCTATATTTGAACTCAATTGTGCCCAACCAACACCTAAAATTACATTCTTCATTAGTATTTATTAATAATAGAAGTAATTATTAATTTAAATATTTTTATATTATTGTATTTTGACTGTAAGAATAAAATGATATTCTTATATTAGAATACATTTCAAATTGCACTCAAATTTATCTTCAACAAATAATGAGATAATTATAAATTAATTATGTACAATTTTATTATGATTTTTATGTTAAGCAAGTCCGATTTTAAGTTTCTTTTAGATAAATTTATCTACATCAAGATATTTAAATGCGTTTATAATTAAAATAGTATAATTAATATAATGATAAAGATATAATTTAATGACTTGATTTTCTTCTTAAAACTTCTTCTTCTCTTTTTCTCTCACACTCTATCTCTAGAAATTATCTATAAAAATTGTGTCATCACATTGACAATTATAATAAATTTTGTTAAAATCATTTAAATATCATTAATATACACAACAATGCTATTTATATGTTATTAATTTTAATTTATTTTCTATTGTGTTTAGTGACGTTTTAACAGAAAATGTTGGCGTTAAAATTCCTTCATTAATATATTTATAACTTCATGCAATCAATTTAATTATTTTTTTGTTATTCATTTTTAAGAACTTTTTTTTCTTCCATAAAATTTGTAAAATTTATTGCAATTCAATTTGAATTTGAAATTACAAAAGTACAAGACAGTAATTATTTTTAAATTGCAAAGAAATATGTCATTTTGTGTTTATAAAATTGAAATAACTCAGATATGAAATAAAAACAATGACTTGAAAGAGAATTATCATTGTATATATGTATACAATTCAGAAAATTCTAGACAGTCAAAACTATAATGAAAAAAAAAATTATAAACTGATATATTAATTTTAATTATTTATTAAATAATGAATTTATTATTAAATAAAAAATTTAATTTTAATTTAAAATTAATTTTATTTTTTGTCACTTAATAATATATGAATTTCTAACTAAAATATATTTTACCTGCAAATCCTGGCGATATTTTCCAAACTTTGATAGATGATTTTCCTGAGAATTGACCAATTATCATTTCGAGATAATAAAAAGGTTTTCCCACGAGGATTAATAAAATAACATACGGTATCAAAAATGCTCCTCCTCCATTTTCATAAGCAGTAAAGGGAAATCGCCAAATATTTCCAAAACCAACGGATAAAGCAACACATGACATTAAAAATTCAATGCTATTATTCCAGCTTGCTTTTTTTGGTTCCTCAATTTTTTTGTTAGAATTTTCTTCTTTTTCATTTTCCAAATTTATGTTTGATTGTATTTTTGTTACATTATTGCCTAAAATCTCTGGCTCGAAAGTCAAATTATCAAAGGCAAGAGGTGTCTTGTTTTCCTGTAAAATTATTTTTTATTTATAATAAATATTTATACTAATATATTTACATAATATATTATCTTCTATTATTTTTATTTCATTATTTAATGTAATTACTTTTTTTTTTAAATTTTATTAATTCTGCATAAAATATTCGGTGGAAAAATTTTATAATTTAGTTTGATTTAATAATAATCCATTTGTGTTTAATTTGCCAATCTGTCAATATTTATATCAACCTTCAAAGAGGATCATTGCATCAAAAGAATTAAAGGATATAATGCAATCTTTATCAAGTAAATAAAAGATAAATTGATGTTATTTTCCTATATACTACTCTAATTACTTTGATAAATAAAAGTAAAAAATGCATTTATCTTTTATTTTGCAATTCGATTTTACAATTAAATTGTGCAGTAGAAAAAAATTATTAATAATATAATTTTTTATTATTCAAGAGAAAAAAATTAATTAAATTGAAAATTTTATTTTTAATTTTTCACTTTAGGAAAAAAAATCATAAAAACTTTATAAACAATGAATTATTATAAAATCTTGAGTGAATTGTGCAGTATTAATTAGATTAGAATTTTAAATTATAAATTAATTAAAAATAAATTTCATTTTTATTAAAACTCACATTGTTTGTCCGCATTTTAAAAAAAAACAGTGTCACTTTTAATACAATAACAATATTGATAGTTGAAAAAGGTGATTATAATGAGTTTATAGTTGTTTCGAGGTTCACTTCTCTAACCAAACTGATGACAATTGTCTCTCTTACAACTGAAGTTATAACGATCTTTACCTATACTAAAACTTGTTATCTTTAATGAAGAATTTTCACGTTAAAATACCTTTGCAGGAGATGTGACTTATTGTTGAGTTCCCCTTCTTTTCTTTACCAACAATTTACACGTTAAAAGCCACGTATACTCATACATACAAAGATAATAAAAATGATAACCTCATATTCAATTTATACATTGTTACCTATCTTAATTAGTTTCAAAAATCTTAATCATTTAACAATAGGTGAGCAATTTTTCAAAAACTTGCATCATAAAATTTGGACAAAAAAAATGTAATAAACATTTTCAGCAATTTTTTGAAAACTTACATCATGACATATTTTTTTTTTTTAAGGATATAATTAATTTTATTAGCAATTTGTTTTAAACCTTACATCATGAAAATCAAAGAAATTATAACAATATTTATTTAATTATATTCATTTCCTGAGATTTATTAACATTATCTCATCGTATTTGTATATTAATATAAACTTTTGCTAATATATATGACAATTTCTCAAACCTTTAATTTTGATTCATTTTTTTTCACTATTTTTCTAAATACGTACAATAAAAAAAAAATAGAATTTTATTTTGTTAATTAAAATTAAATTTAATCCTAATTTAAAAGGAAAAATTAAAAGATTTAATTTGCAATTAACTTCAGATGAATAAATTTTTTAAAAAAATTGAATTACATATACTAACCTGAAATTATAAATTATGAATTTTTAATATTAAATTAAAAAACATATATATAATGAGTGAGAATAATAATCCAAGAGAAAATATGAAGCATGATGAAGTAGTTTTAGAGAAAACTGGTCATCATGTAAAAATTTTTGGTCCATACACAAAGAAAGATCTTCGAAGATTATTACTTTCATCTATGTCACTTTATCCTGACACCGACAATGAACAGGCAACATTTATATTTAAATAAAATAAAAATCTTTTTTTATCACGAAATTTAAAAAAAAATCTTGTTAATTATGATTAATTAATTTTATATTAAGAAAATTTTTTGTTTGTTACAAATATTATTAAATTCAGGAAGCATTGGAATTTATTGGAATAAGCGAACAAGAATTGAGAAATATTAAAAATGGCGAAAATATTAGTGAAAACACTCATAAGAAATTGCAATATCTTGATATAACTGAAGATATGATTAAGGATGTTGGAAAAAAAATAAACAAAAAAAGTGATACTTTTAGTAAACAAAATAATAATAATAATAATATTATTATTAATGAAGAAGAGTTTCAAAACAAAAATTACAATTTTGAAAATAATCAAAAAACGGAAAAATCATATGAAAATAATAATTTTATTAATTGTGAACTTCCTATTGAAAAGAATTTTAGTAAAGATATGAAAAATCATTTATTGCGAAATGATATTATAGAAGATAAAGTGAGGTATTAAAATACAATAAAACTACATAAGAAAAATATATTTTTTTAATCTTGAAAGAGGATCAATTATATTATCAAATTATTGATACTGGTCTTTTGTTCTTCATTCATAAATAATTCATTTTGAAAAGATTTTAAAATGAGTTCATGAATAAGAGAAATTAAGAATCAGTATTATTTTTATAATTTCAAAATTATGTTTCTAATAATGGTATTTATATATTCGCAAACAGTTCGTTAGAAAATTTGAAATTTTCCACTGAAGGCAAAAAAAGTTTACAAAATTTTGCTCAAGTAAATATAAATTCATCTAAAGAAAATAATTTCATGTCCATTAATAATTTGTATTTAAAAAGCAATATTTTTGAACCAATTAAAAAAGCTATTTGTGAGATTATTTTACGAAAACCAAATGATCCTGTTGAATTTTTAGGACAGTGGCTTTTACACTATAAGGTTTCATTTTCTATTTTTGTTTGAATTTGTCCTTTTTTTAAAATATAATTCTAAAAAATAATTAACATTATTAAAAATTATAATTATTATTTGTTTCAGATTTGTGTGGAAAGAGAAAAGGAACGAAACGAATGCGATGCAGAATTATCAACAGAACGTGAAAATTCAAAGATAAAACAGGTATGAATATAAAAAAGAATTATTAATTTTAATATAGTTTTTTTTAATAAGACTGAAGTTAAAAAATCCATTAATTTCTGTTTTAGCAAATATCTGGAAAAAAAGTTTATTCTTTAAATGACAATAAAAATAAAAATGATAGTGAAAATGAATCAGAAAATTCATCTGATTTTTTGGAAGAAAATATAATATATAATTGACTTTTTTAAAAATTTTTTATTTATTGTATTTTAACAAATCTTAACGGATTAACGGATAATTTTTGCATATACATTTTTTATATTAATTTTCTGGTATATTTCATTTTGCCAAAATATAAATATACCTTTATTTTTTTTATTTTTATTTAACATTTTTTCGCTTTTTTTGAATATTTAAAAGTAACTTAAATATTATTTCGGATGTTTCAATAATAAATCTGTGTATTTACAAAATTGCACAAATTATTTTTTTTGAAGAAGAAGAAGATAAATGAGCAAAATGAGTATTTACATTTTTTTTTAATTTTGGAAGTAAATTAAAAAAAAAATTAATTAAAATTAAATTATCGGAATTTAAATTTCATATTAAATATTGTCATTATTAGATAAATTCTAGTGATATATAAATTTTATGAAAATATATTACCTATATCTTCATTTTTTTTAAAATTCCAATAAAACGTTCAAAAAAAAAAATTTCTAATATTTTTCTTCTATTGTTTCAACTTTTACGATTACGACCTAATGATGTGTAAACTTTATATAAAAAGCTGATACAATTAATTACTGTTCTTTCATATTATAGTTTGAAAAACATATTTTTTTACAAATTAAAATATCAATTATTTGATGCTAGAACTTTGGTACTTTAATAATTTTATAAAATTATTTTCAATTGTAATATATGTATATTATAATTATTATAATATTTATTTATAAATTACAATATACATATTTTATTGTTAAAAATTATTATTATTATTATTAAAAATTGTTGTTTCAAAAAACATGAATAATATAGAAAGAAATCGATAATAATGCACAATAAAATTGCAAAAATTACCTTAAAAAAAACTGTTCTGGCACATAATTCAAAATTATTGCTAAAATTTAATTACGTAAATAAATTCTAAAGTCAATATTATAATATTAATTATTAAAAGATTGTTTTTTGATTAGTTAAAATTTGAACTTAAAATATTCATTTTCTTCATTATTATATAATTATAAGTACAATGATCATTAAATTAATCAGGCTAAAATATACATATATATATTAATAATTATAATTATGCGCATAAATTTCTTATTAATTATCATTGTCTTGTTTCTTTGTGCATCACAGTGAAAATATATTAAATATCTACACTTTTCTAATACTGTAATATTATATTCTCATTTTATTATTAAGGAAAATCGGTTTGAAATGTTTCAGTTTAAAAAAATTGTCAATTCTTTTGAAAAAAGGAAAATTAAAATTTGTAATTCCTCTTTTTAAACTATTCTTATATTTAAATAATAATTTAAATAATAATAATAATAGTTGACTAATATTTTAATTTAAAACCCGCACTTAATTATTTAATAAAAAAAAAAAATCATTAAGAACACAGACCCATTTTCTTTAAATGTGCTTCTAAAGGTTTATAAAATAGGTTTCTACTTTATACTTTTATAAAATTATGTCACTGGTATATTTAATTCTATTTTTTATATTATTTAAAAGGACGGAAATTGTTTCTTTTGTACTAAAATTTTGGGAAAATTTCAAAAAAAAATTCTCATGATATGTTTCTTCTTGTAAAATATGCTTAAAAATCTTAATAACTATATAAATTGTCTCTAGAAGGCTCTTTTATAGATATTTCGAAAATGAATCATCTTTGTTTTATATTCTCTAGCCTCCATAGTGTATTTTGGATATTATATTCAGTTATCGCAATAATGAAATAGGTCTATTATGATAGTCTATTCTCCAATCCAATGAGAACATAAAAGAATTGTTTAAGTTTTGAAGATATTCTTTTTTCTCGTTTTTGTTTCTTGAGGTCTTTGAAAGCTCGCCAATCAGCCATGTCCGATGCCTTAAATGGTCCCCAATCCTTTGATGGTTTAAATGCCTTTATGATCATCTAAAATTTATTTTTAACTCATTAGTTAAAATTAGTTGTCTGATTAAAAAAAAAAAATTATTCCACTGCGTTATTAAAAAATTTTTTACTAACCTGTGGTATCCCTAATTTTCGCTTTTTTACAATTGTGTATATCAACCAAAGAGGTATTTGCAATACCCCAAATGATAGAAGTGACCATCCTGCAGCTGTAAAAAAAAGTGTGATATATTTCTATTTAATATTACAATGAAAAATAATAATATTTACCATAAGCACTAGAAGGATAATAAACGCCTCTGTAAGTAAGAGGTGTGAGAGTTGCAATGTTGTAAACTAAAATAATTGCTAATAAAACAGGTGTAAATAGACCCCAACAAAGTCTCCAATAAATTGATGGTCTTCTATTTAACATAAATTCCACATCGTCCAATAAATTTTCCAATCCATAGACCCAAAAAACTCCCGTCACTTCCAATGTTGCAAGAATAAAAACAACAAACGAGGCACCGTAATAATCCACTAAGCTCAATATAAATTGTCCTCCCTATTTTTATTAAAAATTAAAATATTTAAAATGTCTCGAAATTGCAATAATTGTTTTAAATATTTAAATAAAAATAATAATAATAAAATTTAATAATACTCACTGGAGTACAATAAATGGTACCAACAAGAAATCCAAATAAAGATGTTGCTAAAACAATATGCCAATTTTTCCATGATGGAAATTGATCACTAACCACACTTACAATACCACCAACAATGGCAATTGCACTTCCAATTCCTAATACGAAAAGCATAAGGAAAAATAGTACTGAAAATAGCTGCAAAGAAATATATAAATTGTATAAATTAAAATGTTCAGATCAATAAAAGAAAAATCTTTTTCTTCAGCTAAAATGATAATTAAAACGGGTAATGAATGAGAAAAAAAAACAGAATTAAAATAATCTCGATAGTAAATTTAACACTTCTGATTACTTGTAACAGTAAAGTGTTTTTAAATTCTGGTTATTAAAATTTAATAAGTTAATTACTGTCTTATCATCTTTTTCAAAAGTTTGGAGACAATGCATTTAACATTCACGTGAAAACTCTTTTCTAATTATTATTTTTATTACTTAAAAATTGTATAATAATTTGTTTCCGGAGCTCTATTTTCCATACATCTTTGGATAGTTATTATTTTTCAACGTAAGAAAGAAAAATAAAATCTATTTTTGATTTTTTAATAATTTTACACACACACACACACTATGCAATTTTATTTTATAATTTGAATAATTTAAAAATTAATTTTTATATTAATATATATATATAATAATTTTGAAAATAGTCAAATCATATTAAAGGTAGAAAACAAAAATATTTACGTATATTCTAAGAAGTGAAATATCACATATTAGAATCATTTGCATACACACAATATATAATTTACAAGATAAAAAATGAACTTGAAAAAAAAAATTATTCTCACCTGTGGTAAAACAGTAAACTTAGCAATAGCGTCTGGATATGATATAAAAGCAAGACCAGTTCCTCCACGAACAACTTTTGTGATATCATCTGTTCCAAGTTCATGAGCAAGATTTCCAAGTATACCAAATATTGTACATCCAGCAATGAGACTTGTAATTGTATCCAAACTCGTCACAACAATAACATCTCTATAAAAAATAGAATTTTAATTTTTCTCTAATTCTTTGTCCTATAAATAGACATCAAAATATTATTGACATTAGTTAATTTACATCTATTGGGCAATATCAATTTTGAATATATTAATTTTCTTACGTCGCATATTTAATATATTATAATTGAAAAAAAAAAACAAGTATATGACAAAGAAGTCTAAAAATATTCATGTCAAAAAGATTCCCTAAAATTTTAATAAGTACCTGTAAATATTATGACGAAATGAATTATAAGATGAATACATGACAACACCTCCAAAGCATACGGAAAGTGAAAAAAAACATTGTGTTACTGCAGCATACCACACCTGAGGATCAAAAAGTTTATCCCATTGTGGTTTTATGAAAAATATAATTCCATTCATTGCACCTTTTAATGTAACAGCCCTTATCAATAATGCTATCATTATCACATAGGGAAAAAGTGCTAAAAAATAAGCAGCCTTTCCTGAACTTTTCACTCCACGTGCTAAAACTCCAAATATACATAGCCAAGCAATAAATAAACAAAATGATAATTTCCAATCAGGCATTCCAACTCCATCATCAATATTTAATTTCTCCTTTAACACAGTCTTTCTGTAAGAAATACAAAAGGTATTTTTTTATCTTTGTAAGACTTTTTTTTTTTTTTTTAAAGTAAAACTTACGTAAAATAAAGTTCGGCAGAACTCATCATATTGCTCATATTTTTTGACACGTGTTGTGTTATATTTTCATCGGTTCTTCCTGAATTGACACAAACATCGCCCCATTCAAATAAACATTTTGACCATGGTAATTGTGATTGAAAACTATTAATTAGATAGTAAAGTGTCACGGACATTAATGAACAATAATATGTTGCAACGGCAATCATTGAAAACATTTGTGCCCAACCAACACCTCGAAATGCTGGATTACATGACCACATTTTAACAGACGATCTACTTGTAAATTGGCCCATTATCATTTCCAAATAATAAAATGGTTTTCCCACGAGAAATAGAACAATAATATAAGGTATCAAGAAGGCACCTCCACCATTTTCAAAAGCTGTAAATGGAAATCTCCATACGTTGCCGAGTCCAATTGACATTGCAATGCAAGACATTAAAAATTCCAAACCATTTCCCCATGTGGCTCTTTCATTTTGTTCCTCTATTGATGTCTATATGACAAATAACAGATTTAGCATTTTTAATTCAATTATTTCTAAACTGGTTTTAATAAAACAATTTTCTTTTTAATATTAAGACATTTTTTATATAGTTACTAATTCCAAAAAAATGCAGCATCAAAAAAAAAAAAAAAATTTAGCAAACAGAAAAAATTTTTACTTCGTTTCTCTACTATAAATTTTCTTTAATTAATTATCCTTTATGAATACATTAAAATTAAATCCTATTCGTCAAGGTAATCTCCAAGCCTTGATAGTAATTAATGTAAAATGTCAATAAAATAGAGAAAATCAAATGGGAAAAGCTTCTTTATATTTATTATAATTGACATCTCGAGGAAAGAAATAATTTATTCAAAAAATATATATTATCGTCTTTAATGAGTCATAATGAATATTATCAAATTGCATATATACTCACCATCTGTTCCGGCAGCGAAAGTGAAATTTTCTTCTTATCGTGAATCCCATAATCAAGATTGAAGTTTGTATTTTTGTGCTGTAAAAGTAAGTTTTTATAGTATAAAAAAGAGGAAAAAAAAACCACAACAAAAATTGCATAATAAATGCGAGTCAGTTCTAAATTTTTACTACCATGAATAATTTTGATAAATGAGGAATATACAAATGTTGCAAAAGATCTTGAAGAGTTCTATAACCCACCTTTCCATCGTCCTTGGGCGACTTTCCGAGTTCCACATTATGAATGCCTTCGTCTGGGATGAATCCAGGATTATACCTTCCACCCTGTAATTTAGATAATTTTTTTTCACATAAATCAATCATTTTTGCATAATTTAGGAATTTCCTTGTTCAATATAATAATTAAATAAATTTTATGTATAAAGAAAATCAATTCTTTTGCGTAAAATTTCTCTACATTATTTTCGGGGCGCATGAATTTCCTCAAATAATTAATTCGAATTTTTATTTTAATATAGTATTTTATTAGAATTTTTTTTTTTTTTGAACGAATTTTCAATTTTTGAATTAGCTGAACTTTTATTTTACAATCATTTATATGACTTTTTATTCAAAAGAATTTTAATTTAACAGAATTCTCATTTATAATCGAATTTTATCTGATTCGAATTTTTAAACGACAGAAATTTTTATTTACTAAATTTTAATTTGTACGAATTTTTAAGACGCCGAATTTTCATTTTTTCGAAAATACAAATGACCGAATAAATAATCGAGAGAAAGATTTCGGTGCAATTATTATTATTAAAATTGACCAAAATTAGAAATTATCAAGAAAATCGTGATTGGTCAATTTGAAAAATTGCGCCGAAATCTTTTAATCGATTATGTTTGTTCGGTCACATTTGTAATTTCAGACAAATGAAAATCCGGTGTCTTAAAAATTCGTATACAAAATAAAAATACGGACAAATTAGAATTCGGTGAATTGGAATTTTGGTCATTTAAAAAAGGGGAATCACATAAAATTCGATTGAAAATGAGAATTTTGCTAAACAAAAATGTTATACCTATTTGATATAGAATTCTATTTGTTTCAAAAAATTAAAATCAATTTGAACATTGAAAAAATTTATTTGATGCAAATAATTTGATTATACTTGACTATTATTAAATAAATATATACTTGAACCAAATGATTTTTAACACAGAAAATTAAAAGGCATTAAAATAAGCTGCAACGCTTATTATTTTAATTCAATTTTGCTTATTATAATCCATTTTGGTATTAAAATAAGCAAAATTGGATTAAAATATAATAAGCGTTGCAGCTTATTTTAATGCCTTTTAATTTTCTGTGAAATTATTTTAACCAATAATTTCTGTATTTGAAACAAAAGAAAAAAAAAAAAAAATTTAATTGACACAAAAATTATTTAGTTCAGGAAAATATTTGATAATTGTCGATTATTTGAATGAAATAAATTTTTTTTCGCTAAAGAAATTTGTTGAGAGTTTAGCGAGAGCGAAAGTATATAGTAATTTTTTCCTTCCCATAAGTTCATGACCAGTAGTTTTATTAAGTATTTCGTGTGTGACAACATAAATGGTATTTGTCCTTTATTTCCTACTATTTATATAGGTATATATGTATTATAAATTTTGCCATTCTCGTTGGCGATATATAAAATTTTCTCTAATTTAATTGGTGATTCAGATGTCATTCATCTTATATTTAGCGATTGAGGTGGATTAATGAACTGGGACATTGTTGTCACTTTCCATAAATTGACAACGATGATTTTCAAATATATATATATATATACAATCTATAGTCACATTGCGGTTTATTGCTAATCCGTTAGTGAGAACTTTTTAGAAGGACACTTTCTATTACTATGAAGCGCGCGCGCGAGAATTCTAAAACATTATTGCACGAGTATCAATATATAAATAAATATTACATTTTCTAGAAACGATATTATAATGCAAAATATATTTTGCACATTTAAATACTTTAAATTATTAGAGAATATAGGAAATGTTATTATGAAGGGATATTATAAAGATCACGTGTCTGATAATGATATCTTTTCCCTCAATTTTAGGTTTATTTGTTTGACATTTAATGAAGTGGATTTAATTTATTGTTTAACTAAAGATCATCTTAAAATTTTTTGAAGTCGTAAAAAAAAAATTGTCATTTATATACATAAATGTTTGGAATAAATTGAGGTCTAGGTGACGTTGTCGGAATTTCATGCAATCGGTTATACCTCTGTAATATACACATGAGATTATAAGGTTTGCAATGCATTATGGGAACCTCATTCTTCACGCACATAATTACGATTAAAGGCACGCTTATCCCTGACATATAAATTATTACCAAAGTTCCATTATATATGTATATATATATATATATCGGAAGACAAAAGATGATAAAAATTATTAGATATTTTTCACATTTTTATTATTAACACACCGCCACTTGTTTAATTATTGTTAATGTTTTCAATTATTATTAATATTTATTGAATTTAATTTTTTGTTTTAATTTTTAAAAAAATTTTCTAAATAAAAGAAAGGAGAAACAAAATTGATACAAAAAAAAAACGGAATTTTAAATGAATGGACGTCATTATACAGGCTATTACGTCTGTTAATGCAAATTTTTTGATAATAATTAATCGCTTAAAATGAATAAAATTTTTAATTAGATTTTCTCAATTTGAAATTTATGCGATTTTTTTTTTCTTTTCCTGTTTTGGGATTTTTAAACATTCGATAAATGTCAAGGCAACGTGATTGACATTGAATTATTAACAAACATTAATATAATCATTGATTAAAATTTTATCATAGAGAATCGTATAAAAATAATTATAATTTATTATATTAATATACATTGAAAAAAAAATGTATATTTGATTCAAATATACTCGATTACTTAACTATTATCAAATAAATATTTACTTGAACCAAATAATTTTTATTTGCATTAAATAAATTGTATTTAAATCAATAATTTCTGTATTTTAAACAAATACCATATCTTAATTAATAATTATTTGATAATAAATAAATATTTATTTGATAATAGTCAAGTAATCGAGTATTTCTGAATCTAATAATTTTTTTTTCAGTGTAATATATAATTTAATAATTATATTTAATTAAATAATTTTTAATTTTTTGAAAATTTTAAATTTAAATTACGTTTACTTTTTAATAAGTACATATTTTTTTTATTATAATATATGCGTGAATGACTTGGATATATTTAGAGAGTAATTAAGAGAATTTGATGAGTAAACATTGATCAGGAAATACTTTCATTGTATGTATTTTCTGTAAATGGGAAGAAATTTCACTATACGCGACAGAAGCACCTTCAGAGAGTGAAGAGGAGAATGTTTTAGAGCATTACCTTCCCACAAGTTGTCTTGATAAAGTTTAACGAGAATTAGTGAAAGAAGCGCATAACGCTCACGAACGTAAACGTAATGTTACGTATATTTTTCTATATTACGTTTTATTCATTCATGATTCGATCTAAAGAGAAAAAAAGAAAATTAATTTTAATTATAATACTCAACAATTTTTTTTTTCTCTATATATATTAGAAAATTAAAAAATTAATATTAATTATAAAAATAATTATTTAAAAAATCATTTTTATCCTTTCAAAAAATTTGTTTCTATTTTTTTTCGTTTTTTGTAAAATTAATTATAAAACTTGAAGATAGGGATAAATGATTAGGATATTTATCGAACAAAAGCAATTTCAAGTATACAATGCGCCAAGACTAGTTGCCCTTGTAGGTCTTCCGGGTGTTACCTCGAATTCAATGTTTCCCTTTCCTTCATTATAATTTTTATTTCTTAATTCTCCTTTTACAATTCTGGAAGCGATTCTAATAAACTTTTATATTGGTCTATCAAGTTCATGATGTCCTCGAAAGATTTTCAAATTTTTATTCATCTCGCCTGACAATTATTTTTTATCATTACAGTGCGCGAAAAAAAGAATTTTAATAGTAAAAAAAAATTTTAATTAATTAAATTAAATAAAAAAAATTTTATTAGTACTAAATTAAAATTAAAGAAATTAAAATTATTCAAATGAAATAAAATTAAATAAAAAAAATTAATTATATTAATTGTTATTAAAAATACATTAAAATTTAAATAAAATAATATTAAAAAAATACTTCCCCTATATGAGCAATCGGTAAATAAAAATCGAGATAAAAATTGTCGTTAAAAAAGCCATAAAGAAAAAAATAACAAAACATAAAAAACAAATTAATAACTAATATAACAAAAGTATTAATTACCGCATTAAAAAAATTATTATCCTTAATAATAAATACCCTTTAAAATATTTTATTAAACAATTTATTATTTAATTTATTATTTAAATTATAATTTAAACCACAACTTTAATTTGTAATTTATGTTTTTTTTTACTATTTGTGAATTTTTTTTTTTTTTTTTTTTTTTCATAAAATAACAAATTCTGAAAGATATTTTATAAAACTTATCTGATTATACTTTTTAAATGCAACCTTCTTGTGATTTCAAACACGATACACTGAAAGTTATTAATCACTATACATAATTCTATTTTTTTTTTATGAAGGAATAATTACACTTCAGTTTTATTATGACCTCCAATTTTGAATTTTTTTCATAAGCTTCCTTTTCAAACAAACAAAAAAAAACTATGTTAAGCAATAAATGTCGTAATAGGTTTTTAAATGTTTTTTTATTAAGTCAATTTGAATTTTACTAGTTTTTTTTTATATCGTGATGAATGTAAATTAGACTAATATTCTGTTGAAATATTTTTTCATTGAATAGAGATTTTTTTTCTTTTTGTGTGAACCTTTTTCATTTTTAATTAAAATTGATGATTGACTCATAAAAGAAAAGAATTAGGACTGCATTGATTTTGATGGTAGAGATGAAAAGAAGAAAGAAACTTTCGCTCAAGTTTTGATGAGTATTATATATATATATATATATATATATATACAATGTTGTTAGATCTTAAAAGTTTTTTTTTCTGTGATATTCAACGAAAATCGAAAGTGTATCATTCGGGAAGAAAGTTTTCAGTGGCGTCATTCAGGTGCCCCCCTCCATTTTCAGATTCCAATACATCACGAGTTCTACATACTTGAAAAGAATAATTGTGCAATCAAAAATTTTTTTTATATATATACCCATAGAGAGAATGCCCAAATTAACAATCGTGAAGGAATCTAGACCAACCTGTTATTCGATTATACACACAAGTTTAATTTGATATTAATTATATCTTTATATAAAAATTATTACTATGAAAAATCTAATTAAATATTCTTTCAAAGAATCTGTTTTTTCTGTTTTTAAAAATTCTGACATTTAATTTCAAAATTTATAAAAAAAAAGGAATTTGCGGCTCGAATTTAAAAGAAAAATTAAAAATTGCAAAAAAAAACTTCGGAATAGTATATATATATTCTTACTATAAGACTTTTTTTTAAATTTAAAGAAATAATTTCAATCGCAAATAAATAACAGTTCCATTTGTAATTGATTGATAAACGGTAGATTTTTATGATTTTTTTTTTTTTGTAAAAATTTCTCTTTCAATGATCGCGATACTTTTTAATAGGAAATCAAAGTTTGTTAACAAAATCCAATATAATATAAGAAAGAATGGATAAAATTAATTGAAGCGAGACGGGAATTGCAAAAAATTTCTTCGCCAAGGAAACGTGATCTTGTTCATAGAAGGCTCGTAGAAGGCATTCTATAAAATTATTGTATATATATTTGTAGAAGGCGTGAAGTATTAAACTTTATATATATATATATCTCAAAGTTCAAAGTACATTTTTTTGAATATAAAACACACGTTTCTTTTATTTTTTAATTTAAACAATTATGTGAGCATTATGAAATCTTCAATTATATAGAATCTTTTATATGTATATCAAAGGTTGACAAATTTTTAATAACCTGACTTATAAAAGTTATTTAACAATATAATGTTTACATAATTAATATTGAAGTATTAAGAAAAATTATACAAAAGTCAACAATAGTACGCGTTTGAGATAATTTGATGATACAATTTTTTTTTTTTAAAGTATGCAGAAATTATTCCTTTTTTTAAATATATTATTCATGAGGGTCACATAACAACAATAACAATAATAATAATAATAATAATAATAATAATAATAATAATAATAATAATAATAATAATAATAATAATAATAATAATAATAATAATAATAAATAATAATAATAATAAAAATAATATAATAATAATAAATAATTATTAATACAATAATTAATATTATTATAATTATTGTAATAACAAATTCTAATTACATAATTGTAAATTTTATAATTTTATGAAAATTGAAGAAATTGAAATATTAATATAAAAAATTAAATGTACTAATTGTTATTAAACAATTTTTTGTTAAAATATAAATAACTTTAAACTAATTAAAAGTGAACAAAAGGTTTTTTGATTTAAAAAAAAAAATATTGTTTTCATTAAAAGACAAGTGTGTCTTTGTTACAATTACATTAATTTTCTATAGAATCAATGGAATTTCTTTTTTATATGTAATTACAAAGAAATTAATTTTTATTAAACAAAATTTTTTTTCATTCATATAAAATGTTGATTATAATGAAATATTTTTGTATACAAAAAGTGTACTTATTAAAATAATTTTTTAGTTTTATTTTTTTTTTCTCTAGTGCGAAAATTGTTTAAATTAAAAAATTCGAATCCAATTTACATATTTTTTATATTGTATGTTTATACTTTATGTTTGATAATAAGTAGTAAATAATTGGCAAAATAATAATAATCGTATATATATATATATATTGGAAATTGTACGGTAGCAAATGAAGGAAAGTGAAGACGCGACATTTAAATAAATATATAGTTGATTCAATGGAATGCTATATATACAACATTATATTACATGTTGTTTTTGCAACTAGAAATTCTTTTAGAAAGAAAATAATGATTACATAAATAAATTTTAGCGAGATGAAGACAATAATTATTATATATGAATAATAATAATTAAATTGATATAATAAAAAATTGATTTTACATAAGATGATTTTTCATATTTTATTTTTAAGTAAAAAAGATGTAAAATATGTTTAAAAAAATTACGATCATAAAATAATAAAATTAATAAATAAAAAAATCAAATTTTTTATGATTGTCATTATCAATATAGGAAAATTAATCTAAATTTTTCTTGTTTATCATTGTTTACAAAATGCAAAGGAAATAAAAATAGTAATCATAATAACAAAATACAGAAATTTATTTTTTTAGTGCGACAATTTGAATAAAACTTTTCAATACTTGTTTGTTCTATTGAATCTAATAGGAATAATTTTTTTTTTTTTTTTTTGCCTTAGATAATTAATTTCTTGTATATGCTCACTGAAATGGTAATTCTTTATAGAATACCTGCATTCATTATAGATACATAAGAATTTTTCTGATTTAATTTTAAATACAGATGAAAAACTGTTGTCATTAGTGACTTATTATTTTATTTTAATCTTGTCTTCGATGCCGCGAGAAAATATAGCTGCAAAGTTCCGTTATTTCTTTTTTTTTTTTTATTTTTAAATATATTAATAATTTTCCAATTATTGAATTTTCAATTTAATTTAAATTAAATTTCTTTTATTGAAAGTATTAAAATTGTATACATACATATAAATTATAAATTATAAAAATTAACTAAAATAGGGATGAAAAATAATCAAAAAAAAAAAATTTCATCTGATAAATAATTTAATATCTTAAATAATCATTTGCGTCAATTGTGATTTTTTTAAAAAATATTTTTATCTCTTTTTTTTAAATTTGTAAAAAAAAAGAAATTTTTAACCTTGAGTAACTCGCATCCTTCTTGACTTTTTTTTTATTATAATAATTTAATTTTTTTTTTACGATTTACAAAGTACTCCAAATATCTATTGAAATGATGAATAAATATTTATTTTATAAAATCCTAATGATTGCTTTCAGTGCAAAAATTTTAAGATGAAATTAAGTTGTGTAACTAATTACCATACAGGATTTTATAATAAATAACCTTTACCATAGACTGAAGCAGTGTCCTTCATATATAAAGTGTGGCAAGCCCACATGCCGTAAAGAAAATTAGACTGCTTTTTAAAGGTTATAATATTTTTTAAATTTATCAATGGAAAATTAGTAGCAATCTTTTTTTTTGCTTATAATAATCCAACAAAATTCGATACAGGTAATAACAAAATTTCCAAAATTTTAAAAAATTTCTTATTATTGTGTTTATTTTATATTTATTATTTTTAATAATATGTATTTTATTTATTATTTATCTATATTTATTTACATAAATATTTTTTTTATTATACAAAAAAAATTATAATTTTATTATTTATAAAATATATATCCATTTCGTGTTTATTTTCATATGATTATTTTATTTTTGTTTAAAATTTCGCGAACACTTTATGAGTTTTTTTTCATCACGTAAGACGTAAAAATCTTTTTTTTTTTTTTTTTATAAACGACTTTAAGAAATAAAACCGTCTATGATTATTGGAATGACAATAATTCACTCCGCGAATTTGCTGTTGCGAAAATAAATGTCGTTCCCGCAAATGGATATTCGCAAGAGATAAAAATGTACATTGTTTCAGTTTCTTGAGTTTGCAAATCTTAACAAGTGTCTTTGAATTATTAAAAAAAAAATAAATAAAACAAACATTTATTTCTTTTTACAAATGAAAAAAAGAAGCGTTTTTTTATTTGCAAAGTGAAAAATGTCTCATAATATAATAAATAATTGGTATTAATATTAAAATTGATTAGTTAAAAAACAATCGTATAATTAACGTTTAATTTAATTAAATATACTAATATTAATTGACATATAAAATTAACAATATTATATAAATACAATATTAATAATAATAAATTTTTAAAAGTAATAATAAAAATAAAATATTATATATTATTATATTGTATTATAAAATATTTATATTAAATATTAATGTTTTATAATTAAATAATTTATCATTTTTTTATTATCGATAATTAATTAATATTTCATTTAATATGTTTTTTAAAAATTTAATTTATTAATGTTAATTAATTTAACTAATGCATTTGTTATTTAAAAATATATATTATATACAAACCTCGTTCATTCTCGTGATCTAGATTTTTTTTCCAAATCCCCAAAAAAAATAAAAATTAAGGTAAAAGATCCTTAAATTAAAATTGAATAACACATATGCACACATAAACACACACGGGAACTTTTTTTTTTATTTATAAAAATATTATTATAACTTGAGTAGCGTTGTAACCACGTGTGTGTACGGGGTTGAGATCGCGGGAAAATTGAAATTCCTGTCGGAGGGACATCTAGGGCACAAGATCCGGACGTCCTCAGGTACAACCTCTTACTGGCACCAAGCACTCCAATCGACATTACAAACACTATCACCAATCCTTACCACTCTATGCGAGGGGATATAAGGCCCTGAAGATCTTTCGATGATCTTTAAGCCTTTAACATATATTATAATATGTATATGAAGTGAGGTGGGGGATCATGTCATAGATTTTCTTAATAAAAATCAATTTTTAATTACCAAGAACTTTTTTTTTTCAAAAAAAAAGTTTTTAAATCAAAAATAAAATTTTAATTAATATAACTTAATTAATAACAATTTATATGTTACAAAATTTGTTTGTTTATTATCATTTTTATGTTTTACAATTTTTTTTTTTTTTTTTGCTTTTAGCTGAAAACTGATCCACTTTGGAGGTTTCTGGATTTTTTAAAAAAGGTAAGATTTTGAAATATATTTACCTGGTTTATTTATCCATAAATTATTTAAATTATGATTATTAAATTATATATAAAATCACAGAAAATTAATAGGTATTAAAATAAGCTGCAACGCTTCTTATTTTAATCCAATTTTGCTTATTTTAATACCAAAATGGATTAAAATAAGCAAAATTGGATTAAAATAATAAGCGTTGCAGCTTATTTTAATGCCTTTTAATTATCTGTGATTAAATTAATTGAATTATAAATTAATAAAGTATGTAGCTGAGGGTTGAAAAGATAAAAAATAACTTTTTTTAATTAAAATATAATTATTTTGTTAATGAAAGTTTTTTCAATTTTTTTTTTTAAATAATTAAATTTTGAGATAAGAAACGCGAGTAGGAAACATACATATATATATATATATATATATATATATATATATATATATATATATATATATATATATATATATATATATATATAGTGTCATTTCCTTTAATTGTGAAAATGTAGGCAAAATCCTTCCGGACATATTTATCTTGAATCTGATTAAATTTATAGGATTCCCACATCCATTCATCAATTTCTGTAATCTTGTTCACAAATGTTTCTCTATAATTGGCATTTTATTGATAAACTTTAATATATATTGAGCTCATCTTTTGAAATTCAATATAAATTGTGGTGAATTAAAATAAGCTAATTTAACGAACTTATTTTAATTCAATTTTAATTTAATCCAGTAGCAGAACTTATTTTAATAAAATTTTTTTGTGAAATCATGACTATTATATTTTTACTTTCTACATTATTTTTTATTTTATTTATTTATATTTTTTTAAAATTATTTTTATAAAAATACTTATAGTATTTTTTTTTAATTTTTAAATATTCATATTCGATTGTTGTGGCCAGCATTTTAAAAAATCATAAAAACTTGCTTATTTGCATTTTTACATTACATTAATATTGTAGATTTCTCAGTAAAAAAAAAGAAAGTAAAAATGCGTTATATAAATCAATTTTGCCAACAATAATTTAATTTGAAAAACATTTTTAATATAATTAATATGCAAAGAAATTAATTTAAAACTTTAAATATTTAATAATTACTAATTTGAATAATATAATAAAAATAAAAATAAATAATTAATAATAAATTAAATATTTACTAAAATGTATGCGATACATATGTTATAATTTTAATAATTGCAGATGTATTATTATCACGTAATGTTTCGTAGAAACTATTCCATTTTCCCCCTAACGTAATTATTTGTTTGTCTTATTAACGTCATTTACCTTCGTTAATGCGTAAAATAAACCACGTCAGGTTTAAAAGAAAAATCATTTTTCTTTGAGAAAGTATGAATCGTCTTTATTTTATAGAAATTAAATTGGAAAGTGCATATGTATTTTTAATATTATAATAATATTAATAACAATAAAATAATAATAATAATAAATAATAATAATTTTTAATTATCTATTGCGTATTTTAATAAACAAAAAATCTATTGCTCAAGTTATTAGTCATCTGAAACAAAAAAAAAAAAAGAATTTTAAATTACAATTATGTTTCTGTGACGATTAATTCATTTTCCTGAAAAAGAAACATTTAAACTTAAAAAAATTGTTAGCTGTAGTTCCCCTTTTATATATACGTTTTTAACATTTTGATCACGAGCCTTCTTATATTATGAATTACAAAAGAATGTAAATATAACTTTACAACAATAATTATCATATATTCAGTGTGTAAAAAAAAATATCCACAATTTTGTTTGTTGATACATTTTTTTTATTCCTTATTTTTTATTATTTATTTATTTATTTAAACATACGGGATCATATTTACTCGTTTTCTTCTTCTTTTTTTTTAAATAATATATAAAATAATTTTTCTGATTTTTTTCTCTGCGATTGTCAATTCAATCGTTTTTCAAATTCTCAATTATATTCTTTTCCTGTTCCTGAAATTAAAAAACAATATATATATATATATATATATATATATATATATATATACATGGTCTCGTCCTTTATATTTCCTTATAAAATTCATATTGTATAAAAATCAGGGTCAACTGTCCTGCAACCTACATTCTAAATTTGAATTATATACAAATTTTCACTATATTTTGAATTAATTAGTTTTTACTATAATGAATTAAATTTTAGTATATAAAATTAAGTAAAAAAAAAAAAAAAATTTCCACTAATAAATAGAATATTTGTTAAAATAATTCTATATTCGATTACAAAATTCATTTATATTTTTATTATCTCATATATATATGATTGCGTTCATGTTTGATGACAATAATAATTTGTCTATGACACATCCGGGATTTAACAGTGAATGCATGTAAATACTGTAAAAAATAATAACCTTCATTTTTCTATATGCATGCGGGTATAACTTAACAATAAAAAAAAAATTACAATAATGCCCCGTATTATTAATATAATTACATCTATTATCGATAACAAAATTTTAAGTTTAGAGAGAGATTTATTATTTTCAATTATAATAAAGACATTTTTTTTCTTATAAATAAAAATAAACATACAATTAATAAATATGTAATTTTTTTTAAAAAAAATATATACAAAAAATTTTATACAATCTTTTTTGCGCAATATTTTTTTTTTTTAAATTATTATAATGTACGTGTGTTTGATAAAATGGAGCAAATTCTATAATAAAAATTCACCGCGGATGTAATTAAAGGAATGTTTTATTTTGTTGTGAAATATTTCGACATTCTTGTATAAGATAAACTGGATCAATTTACCGTCACTATTGAATATTTATTTACATTTTTTTTTTTCTAATTAATTGTCTCACATAGAACGCGAATTATCTAAATATAGAATTTAAAGACTTTAAAATATATTCAAAAAATATTTTCAAAATATTGCCTCTTTTTTATTAAAATATTCTTAAAGAAAATAATATTTTTATTATTAATAAAACAATTTATCAATTTTATATTAAATTTTTCTTTTAATTTAATTAATTAAATTATATTATATATACAAACGCCTCTGTAACATTGATCAAAGTAATTTGCCAAGTTTACTTTTATCCAGTTTTAACTGGTTGTGATTTTACTTTCACCAGATAAATCCCCTTAACCCTTTGCAAAAAATTAGTATTCGTGGGTATACAGATTTAGACTGTTTCTATGAAAATTAAATTAAATATTTAATATAATTATAAAGATTTAAATAAAAAAATTATTAAAATTGTTTATTTATATATTAATAAATAATAGTTTTTAATTAATTTAATGAAAGACAAGTAATTAATTTTAACGTTTTTAGTGTAATTTACCTCATTATTATTTAATCTATTTATTTAATACTATAAAATAATTATTATTTCTTTTTTTTATATTCTTTGATCTTTAATTCTTTTATTATTTTATTATCAATATTACAGCGGCGTTTATGGAAAAAAAATTAATTAATTGAGTAATTAACAGAAAAATCTAATATAAAATTTATTAAAAATAATCATTGATATTATTAATAATAATTATTATTTTTATTATTATTATTTACATCTATTTTTAAAGCAATATTAAAGAATAAATAAAATAGCGCCTGTCATTAGGCAACTTTCTTTACTTATATGAAATCGTCAGAAAATAATTTTTAATTTACTTTAAATATAAAGTTTTAATCTACTTATATATAATATAAAATTTTTATTTTATTAATAAATATGAACATTTTGGAAAAACTAATCAATAAAAAATAAAAATTAGGCTTCTGTGAAAAGAAAATTTTTCTTATATTGCGGTAGAAGTGTACTCCAGGCGTAATCTATCGGGGAAACTTGGAATCTTCTACACAACACGTACACATGATAATTCTCAACTATGATCAAGTATAACATAGAGAGTAAACTCATATGCAAAAAAAATTCGTTAATTCTACTCTATTATTTACATATATATTTAGTTATCATTTTATTTAATATATAATTTTATTAATAACATTTGATCCTTATTCTATTAATTGAAAGTTACAATTTGAATCTTCGCGCTAATTTAAAGTAAATATTCGAGACCAATCAGAATGCTTGTTTCATTCGTTGAACAAAATGGCCGATTCTACTGTTGCCCCGCCAATCAGAGTTCAGTAGAAAATTTTTAATTTCTAACGAACTTTATATTTTTGCAGTGATAAGTGTTAAAAGTGTATTTATTTTCATAAATTCTTGTTGATTTTTGTAAATAATTAACTTAATGTCTACTTATTTATTATATTTTGCTGAAAATAGATGCGGATGCGCATAAATGAATAATAAAAATCACCTTCAAGAGTGTTTAGTGATTATTGTTTTTCGGCACACGTGTGATTGGGTTTTTGTTTTTTGTAAGCCAAAAATCTTTCTAATTTAATATAATTTTTTATAAATTTCAATCAGGTAATGTTAATTGTCTAGTGTTAGTGATTTCGGTAATGTTTTTTGTGGAAATATGTTTTAAATATGTGTCAGCGTGTATTTTGTTTACACTAATTGATTCATTTAGAGGTTATGTTTATTAAAAATATGTATTTCATCAAAATTTTTAGTTTCAGTATAAAAGAAGAAGTCAACCGGGAAAACAATGCGATTCTTTTCTGGACGACGGTGAATTGATGATAATTGAAAAGATGATATTTTGTAACGGAGCTAGAAAGAGAGAGCGAAAAAAAGTTGGATTATAATTGTGACACCTGAAGAGAGTCGATTGTATTACTTGGACTAAAGGAATTTCTTCAACTGTCCAAATTCTCCTTTTTCACCTGCGTCATGTCTGAAGTCATCACTATACAGTAAGTCAATATTTACCGATATTTTTATTATTACAAAATTAGACTATATAAATGAAAATATACGATCAAATGCAAATAATTCAAATAAATTGATAAAATAAATTTAGCTATGTTTTTTTTTTAGACAGTAGATATAATTAATATATAGGGAAACGAATTCGAATTGATTTTAATTAATTTCTTATTGTACAAATAAAATTAGTATTGTACTTTGTCAAAAATTCGCTCATAAATGAATTGAACTTCCTCTTAATTTTTTATATATAATATCGACAAAATGCATTTCACGCGGTTACGTTTTAACATCCGGCACGTGATTTGAATAAATAATTTAAATCCCCATTGCTACTGTCCACATGACATCCTGCGAACGCGACACAACGAGGTTTTGTACCTGGAACCCAAAGATCTCTCTCTTCTTTCTTCTATTTATTGAAACATGACCTGTTCATTGCTCAGGGAAAAGTCAGGAAAATCTTTAACATCATAAAACGAGAAAAAAAAATACTTTTTCCTTTTTAAAAAAAGTCTCTTTTTTTTAAATAAAATAAATTTCTGCAATTTAATTGTTACAGTATAAATTTTGCTGTTTATTCAAAAATTTTAGAAATTCTTATAGAATAAGCAAACAATTTTTGAATTAGTTATTAATTTAGGAGATTATTCATTTAAATAAATAATTAGAAATCAAGTACTCTGATTATTTGACAGGGAAAGTTGGTAAATTATCAGGGAAATGTTGTTTTATTGTTTTTTGATTGCTTTTTAGCGGTCACCCTGTGAAAGACCTTTGAGATCAAGTTAGAGCAAGTTACCATTACCAAGTTATATGAAGTCAGAACATGTTCGAAACGTGCTTGATTCGTGACAGTTCGGTAATTGTGACGAATATTCCCGAGGTTTATTGTAGGATTTTCTGCGCAGGCTTAAAGACAGGTGTATAAGCGTCGCGCGACAAACATGCAACAGGTAGACATTCGCTCCTTTTGCCTTCCTTTCAAAATTTTTCAAAGAAACTTCAACTTTTGCTCACAGTTTTATTTTATTTATATATATATATATATATATATATATATATAAATGCGTATGGATCTCGGTTAGTGATTGTTGATATTTTAAAAAAAGGAATATTATAAAAATAATTGGAAAAAATTTTTTGATTTAATAAAATTCAATAACAATAGAGAATTTCTGTATTTTGTATATAACAGAATAGATTTGTGGCTTGACGAGACTTGATATATATATATATAAAGAATGACGGATGAAAAAGAGAGAAAGAGAGAGCAAGAGATAGATGAACAAAAGAAAAGTTGATAAAAATGTAAACAACCTTTGGAAGATCTTTCAGTTTTGGAAAGGTGTGTCAGGTGGAATTCAAGTGATAAAATATAATTATTTCATTATTATTAAAGGAATTATTTTGTATTTTTATATTTCAAGTGTTAAGGTAAAAAAAAATTTTTTTTTCTTTTTTTTTGAAAAGAAAATCTTTTTATGTGACGTGGTTTATGTTCAGTGCCGTCTTTAACATCTTTCATTGGTATAATTTGTTTTCTAATAATGCGAAAAATATTGCTAATTAATAGTGGTTTTTAGTGTGTTCATTAGCTGTGTGAATAGAGTTATAAATGACAAAATTATAACTTGTTTCTTCTGATTTTTTAGAATTGTGACATTATTTTCTTTCTACAGTTGGTAAATTAACAATTTTTAGTAACATTTCGTAAATAAATATTTGAATTTGTTTATTATTTACACATTTTTGGTATTCTTTTTATCTAATTTTTTTATATTCCATTGTTTAATAAAAAAAATTTCAGTTATTGTATGATTTTGAAACGTAGGCAGAATATTATAATTATATATATTTATTTAGTTGTTGGGGTAATTAGTATTGGTTTCAAATATATAAAAATAATTAGGATTGTGGAATTTCAATAATCTTATCCGTTTTGAAATCAAAATTTGTCATTAAGAGGCTTTTACCTTAATCTTTGTCTTTACCTCGTTTTCTATTTTTTCAACTTTTTTTTCGTTTCTTTCTTTTTAACTCTTGTGTTTTTCTCGTAGCGGAGTATTGTATTATATTTTTCATTTTATAAATTTACTAGTTCCTTTGATTTTTAAATTACTTTCATCAATTTTTAAAACATATTTCTAATTTTCAGTATTTCAATGGATTATTTTACAAATACTTCGGAGAATATTTCAGGATATTTTATGATAAATTATATTTACGAGTTGTTTACCTCTCGATAATTATGGTTATTTAAATTTAGGAGAAAATTCATACTCTTTTTCTTTAGAGAAATGTGAATATAAAATTTCTCCTTTCATAGAATTTAGAGAGTAATAGTGTTATTAAATATATAGATTGATATCTAATTCTAATAAATATTTATATGGAATATCAAAGATTTCAGGAAGAGTTTGGGCCTCACGGTACCCAGCCGATGGTGCGTAAAGACGGCACTGAAGCAGGTAAAGCTCGTGCATGGTAATAGGAAGAGAACAGGAACGACAGGCAGGGGTGCGGCGAGGTTCTTTTGGTCCACGAAGCCGCGAAGGTGCACATAGTGAAGTTTAGCGCGCTACCGTGTAACTCACGAGAGACAAACTTGAAAAGTGTTGATGATCTTCGCGCGCGATGTCGTTGCTTGAGAGAAAGAAAATAAATATATTGTTATGTTATATTTGAGGTTTGTTTTATGTTAAAAACGCGGGTTTAAAAAATCAACAACGAAGGGGATATATCTCTTGAGGAGAAAGGATAACGTCGTCTGCAAGACCATGCAGCACACACACCTGAGAGAATATTCGACTCGAGAGAGGCGCTCGGCTTTTGACCGTGTCGTGAACGCTTTAGCCTTGACTGGCGCCAACTAGCCTGCCTGATCAACCACGTACAACTTATCTCTTTTAATACTTTCCTGCCTGGCAAAACTCGCTCGTATTCTCTCAAAGGAATCTAGGCAAGCATATAATACCGAGTTGGTACATATATACTTCATTTTCAGGTACCAATCCGCCTCCTCTGTCTATATATATATATATTACACAGTAATATTTACCATTTTCTTATATTCTCAATTTGCACTACATCTTCGTGAGAGATTTACACACGTGCGTGTCTCTCTCTCGCAAAATTCTCAGAGTTGAAATTATTTATTTATTAATAGATGCCTTTGGTTAGAGAGATATTTTTTTCTTTATTAAGATTCTGGTAAATAGAGATATTTTTTTCAATAACTGGATGAAATGAAATTTTTTTTTTCTAGGGTATTTGTGAATTTGATATGATACATAACTGCAAACTCCTGTCAGGTTAACGGATTTTTAATATTATATTCTTGTGAAAGGGAAATTACCAACGGTTTATCGAAGAATATTTCAAATATTCACTTTAAATGGTTTTTTTTTTCTAATGAGAAGAATTTGATTTTCTTTGCTAATTTCAATCATAGTTTTCCTGTCGTGATTTTTATCTTATTATTATTTATGTTGGTCCTGCAGTTGATATTTGTTTTGGTTTCGTTTTGATATTAATTTTTTTTAAAAATAATTTCAGTCTAGTTTTGTTGGTTGCGAAAAATATTTTTGTTCCGATTGATATTTATGTTATGATTTATATTGTCACTGGTTCTGGTTGATATTTTTTTTAGTCTTTTGTCTTTTTTGTTATATAGGTGGAATTTTTTATCACATTCTCAACAAAAATGAAGATAATTTTTTATTTTAAAAATTCGTTTTAATAAATTGAAATTAGAAAGAATTTTTACTAATTGATATTTGAATTTTACTAATGTGAATTAGTTGAAGTCTTTTTTTACTATTTATATTGTTTACTATTAACATTGTTTTGCAAATTTGTACAAAATTTTGTAATCTTTTTATTAAAAATATTTTTAATAGCTTATACTTTATTTAAAGTAAAATTGTCTTTATATGGAAAAATATTTTATAAAATCAGTTTTTCTTCTGGCTCTACACTTTATATCAATCAACTTTAATTTAATTAAAACTTTTTTTTTAATTAATAATTTCCTTCTATATTAATGTTTTTTTAAATACTTTTCTAACTTTATTACTTATTAAATTTTTCTAGATAATATTAATATGTAACATTATCAATATAATGAGAATTATTTAACTCATAGCATCATTAATTAAAGATCAGTTCAATATTTATATAAATAGATGTGAGTTAAAATTTTTTTTTTGATTTATTATTGTTAAATTGAATTCTTCTCTACGAGTCATGGTTAATATGAGTGAAAGGCTACAATTTTTGTTATACACATGCTTTTGATAACTTCCTGGTTTCAAGACAATAATTGTGTCATGTGTACCTGTTTTTGTTTTGTATTTTATTTAACATCAATCGCGATGAAAAACAATTATAATAATTCAAAAATTGTTGAGATACTCTTAGTTGTTTATATATGTTTACAATTTTATTGACATTATTATCTATCTACTTGTCAGTATTTTGATCGAATAATTGTATAAAAAATAAATTTCTGTAACCATGAGTAAATTTTTTAATGTCTATTGAGTGAATTTAAAATTTTAGTAAATATAATTTTACTTTTTCAGGTCTCTCAAAATCGAGAAAAACGAAATCATGAGAAGTCAAAGGGAAACTAGAATTTGTGGCTAAAAATTTGTTCTTAACGTTCCAAGATGTCGACGGAAGCTGTTCGCATCTCTCCCGAGGAAGAACAGGGGTAAATACATATAATTTTTTTTTTCAATCTTTATTCTCCCTATATATTGTTTTTTTTTTTTTTTTTTTTTTTTTATATAATCATTTATTACATCGTATTTTTTGTAACTAAAAAAAATCTCGAGCGTTTCTTACAGAAATATTCCATAAATCGCTTCACATTTGCGATACATGTTCGGTAGCCACATTTCATACACTAATATCATTTCAATATCGGTAATTGAAATTTTTTTTTTTTTTTATAAAACTTTAATAAGTACAATATCAAAATTGATTATTATAACTTTGTGAAAGTTGCCCCTGGGGACACTATAATTTGCATTTAAGGACGAGATATACGTATATTATATTCGTGAATTGCATCGGAGTATTATATTATTTCCCTTTTGCGGTTTGTGTCTTTCAATCTTCTTGATGTAAAAAAAATGCAAGCACATATATATATATATATATGCTTAGATTTTACAATATATATATAGATATATATCGCGGATATTTTATACATACATCCGTGTGAAAGCGCCAGTTTGCGACGCCAAGAGACGAACCTGGTTCGCACGAGGGTCAGCCTGGGGGGAAGGCAGTCATTGACATTGAGAAAAGACCGTCGTGAATGTGACTAATCGACGCGCTTAGCCTACACTTGTGTTCATAATTCGCATATATACATTAAATAATAATTTCAAATTTAATTAGGACCGGAAAATTGTCTATAGTCAGGAAAATTATGTAGTCGTTAATTTTTAATTCTTCTCGCCAATAGTTTTTTTTTCTAATAGTAAAATTCTTAAATAATATGCTCTTATAAAGTAGTTATAGTAAAAATGAGACGCGTATTAGTAGATAAAGTCCTTTTGAGTAGGACATTTTAATTCGATTGATTTTACAAGAATAAATATCAAGTATAGATCATTTTATTCTATTTTTATTTCAAAAATTTTTTTTTCATTTTTATATTGAAAATTATAAGTTTAAAAATGTATTTATCGTTTTAATTTTAAAATTCTTTTTTTTTTATTTGTACTTTTAGTGGAAAATTTTTAAATTTAATTTCATTTACTTCGTTTTTTATTTTTTTAATGATACATGAAACTTTTTATCTTAATTAGTTAATGACACCTGGAAATTTTTTGTATTTTTTTAAATAGGGGTGGAAAATCAAAAATAACTGGATTATATAATTTAAATATATATATATATATATATTTTATGTACACAATTCGATTATACTTGAATCATTATTTACAATAGATTTTATTAAATATTATTGAACATGGACAAAGTGGTACGTACAATTACGAATTAGCCAGAGGCACTTGGTGAAATAAACCTTAAACCTTAAGGTTAAATAACGGTTCTTTCACTGGTACATGACTACAGTCTGTTTGCAATTCCTTGCCCTAGCGACTGATACTTGTATATATCTGAATCCTAACCTGGGCCCCGATTATGCATTGAAAAATACGAAACCTGTCTCAAGTTCGAAAGTAGATTAGAGATCAACTTCCACACAGCATCTCTTTATATCCGTTTATCTTCTTGAACTCTTTGTTTCTAAATCTATAATTTCCTTGTTCATGAAATTATTTTTTTTACTTCAACAACATTAATGTATAATTTTATTTAAAAAAATATATAAAATAATTATTAAAATTATTTTGATATTTTTTTTTAATAAAGTAGTAAAAATGTAATTTTAATTCTTCTTATAATTAATAAAAGTTGTTTAGAAGTTTAGTTGGAAAAGTTAAGTTTTTTTTAAAAAAATGATATCTGAGATTTTGCATATAATTAACGGTCTTCATCGTATTGTATTCTTGGTTTGAATATGGAGGCATAAAACGATAATGATCCGTATAGCTTTTCGGTCTTTTCCTCTCGCTTTCTCCTTCCTCTGGAGTCTCCATCAACAATCACCTTTGCGTGTTAGCGATATAGCGTTCCGGGTACTTTAGATCGTTTAATTCAATTCACAATGAAATGTTTTTCATTTTAAAAAATTATTCTATTCTTTCATCAAGACATTAACGAGCAATAACATTTTTTTTTACTCTTCCTGTGGATTAAATTTGTTTCTTATTAATTAATATTTAAGTATATTTTTTTAATTTTTCTGAAAAATTTCCTTATTTTTCATAAGGAAAAATTGAATTTCAATTATTTTCTTCTTTTACTTTCTTCCCACATTAAGAATAACTTTATAAATACATATATAGAGAATGTAAGGAACTAGAATTGTCACATCAGTGAAACCAGTTTTGATTAATAATTTAAAAGAGCGTAGGAAGAATAATCGATTGATAAATATTTAATGGTGAAAATACTTTGTGTTCGCGTTTTCAAAAGTCATTGTCACATGTAATGTTAATTTCTATTTTCGATAATTTACTTTAAAATTGATGAAATTTTGACAAGAATATTTCTCCATTTCAGAGATTCAAAATTATGTATCATTAAAATTTATTATTTATTTATCTATATATATGTTAAAGGTATAAAAAGATTTTTTTTTAAATAATTAAATACAAGTAGATTTAATTGACAGGTGTTAGATTGATAGATATGTCATTACGTGTCAAGAATTCAAACTAATATAATGGTAATAATTGTCAAGTTTTGTTCGATCATTTAATTTTCACTTTAAAAATTGACACTTATTGTCTTGAAATATCTATTGATATATAAAAGATTCCATTTTTTTTTTATTAATTAATTAATAATGAGATTTTTCTAAATGAAAGTTAGAAATTTAATTTAAATTCAAATGAAATTTAAAAATTTAATTAACTAAGATTTGGAAATTGAATTGTAAAAATATTTTATATAGAAAAATTCCGCAAAAAAAATTCCCCGCTAAAAACAAATTGCAATCTAATAAAATAGTTTTATGAAAAAAAAAAATGGTTAATTGGTTTTTGAAGGGCGCGGCATTAATCTTAAATGGGATTTTAATATAGCGCTTAAACTAGCACACAATGTTAAAGTAGTGCAAAATTGTTTATGTTCTGCTTGTGAAACTTTGTTATTAATTCAATAATGTTTTACACTTTTACCATAAAATTTTCACGTTGAAATGACTAGAAAACATTGTAAAATTGAGAACTTACTATGCGAAAGTAGGTTTTTTTAAATTAAAAAAAATTTTTTCTTCATTCAATTCAATTTTGTTTCTTAATTGCAAGAACAAAATGAATAATTATAATTCGTACCATTTTTATATTCCAAATTTCGTTTATTTAAATTTTACTTTTGTTTCTTCATTTTACTGTCTTAAGTGCAAGAAACGCGACTAAAGAGTTTCGTTTAGCGAAGCATTATATTACGCGCATGCATGTGGCTTAATGAGCCAATATATATATATTATTGTGCACGATATATTACGCAACTAACTATTTTGTAATTATAGACAAGAGGTATAAAAGGTGACAGAAGTGGAGGTACATATAAATGTATATGTTGCGGAAGAAAGAAAAAACATACAATCTTATGAGAGTAAGTGAAAGAGAAGGAGAGTATAGTTCGGAAACAGAAAATACTGGAATATGTACCTACGCTACTATACCTCGATAATACCTTGAAGTGTTTGAGTCATGGAACGCCCCCGCTAGTCGTACTAAACCGAACCGGAGGAACGAGCGAATCAAGGAACAAGAGATCGAGAGGAGCTCTCAGTACAAGATTGGTACCACGTCCCGCAGATCGTACCGTTTCTTTGCCTATATATATATATTATTATCGAAAATCATAAATATTTATCTCTGGTTTAGTTTCTTTCTTTTCTTCAAGTAACTGAAAGTTTAAGGTTTGTTTGCTTGTTTTCATACAAAAACTCTCGATTAATGATCATCATTTATTGTTGTTTATTTATAACAACTTTGTGTGTGAATTAATTTGATTTCCAATAATTATATGTGATTCGGATTTTCGCGTCTCGGTAGAAGTTTAGGAAGAAAGCAGGATCTTATACAACGATCTCTTTGCATCGTTTACAATTACCTTTTGCCTGGAACTTTTACTCGTATACTCGAATCTTTTGTTGAGGAGACGATAGTGCATGTGATGAGATACATATATATATAAATATTTGCAAATATTTTGCAAAATAATTTTCATTCTTGGTTATTGTTTTTAACTGAAAGTTATACAATGTTTTCTAGGTGTTGAGTGGAATTTTTTTAATTGAAGAAAAAAAAAACTACAATCAACATCCTTGTGGGATTACTTTAAAATTGATTGCTTGCAGTTAATTCAGAAAATTAATTCATTAAAATTGATTTAAGTGAGAGGCATAATATAATAATAATAATAATAATAATAATAATTGGATAGTAAAAAGAGTTACAGATTTTTAAAATTAGTAATTTAGAAAAATAAATAATATAATGACGACTATTTGGACAATAACAATGAAAGTTTTCATAAATTCACAATATTTTAACAATGATATATAATTTACGAAACAAAAAAAAATTATCAATTTTTAAAATCTTCGAGTTTTTCAAAAAAAAAAAAAAAAAATTGTATTTAAATAAAGCAACTGTAATTTTGGGTAACTCGAATTAGACCTAAAAGATTTTAACATTTTTATTTTTTATTGCATTACATGAATAAAAATATTCGAGAAGACGTATTATGAAAAAGTTGGAAATATTCATTTTATATTAATAATTATAGATGAATTAAACTTATCAAAGGTCTTTACTCCTCCAGAAAGTGAATATTTGATTTTCAATTAGGTATATGAGAAATTTGCATCTTAAATGTGGTTCTAAGCACAGCTCCAAGTCAGCATTGGAGAAAGATCTTTAATTCCCCTCCCTTCACACGATTAATGTTAGTCGTGTTTTACCTTCGTTTTACTGCCCACTTTTTGACCTCTTTTAATAGTTTAGGAACAATACACTATAATACATATATTTCATTTTAAATTCAGGTTCCAATACTGAAAATCGACAATTATTTATTACAATGAATACTATTTTTAAAGAGGCATTATTCGAACATAATAAATATTCAAATAATATAAGAGAAAAATAATTAACTGAATGAATTTTTAATTACTCTGAAGAAGTTTTTTTCTTTTTATAATATTAATTAAATTATAATTAATTTCAATTATCTTTTCTAATAGTAGACGAAAAAGGGAATTAATTTACATGTTTTTTGTTTGCAGAAAATTGAAAACCGATTTTCAGTATTTGAGACGACGTGGCGCATTCAAGGCTTCGGGGGAAAATTTTTATCAGGGCCGTAAGTGCGCCAGATGTGGAGTATCGTTTGGTAGATTTTACAATACCGGCGCCGTGTGTCCACGTTGTAAACATCGAGTATGTAGACAATGTCGAGAAATACAAAACGTCAACGAGAACAATAAGGGAACAATCGGTATCGATTGGCTGTGTGCAGTATGTCATAAACTTGCGTAAGTTTAGATATCATCATTAAATTTTATCACCACTTAGAAAATAAGTGCATGTAATATATATTTCAATATTCATTAAGCCATTTATTCCGTATAGTTAAAAAAAAATAAAATCCCTACAATTTAGAATTTATGATTTTTTTTTTGTTTTGCAGAAAATTGCACGCGGACACTGGCGAATGGACATTTGAGAACTCGATCGTGAAGCACACTGCCGGAAGGGAGAATTCTCTGTCGCCTCTTGATATCCTCAAATACAGTATCCGTCGTGCCTGGACCATAAATGGTAATTTCCTGCTACTATAAAGGAAAAAAGAACCGTTTCCCGTTTAATAAAAATTTCCATATGTTTAAATTTAACTTTTTCTTGAATTCAGATTGAAATTTTTATTTTTAATCTTTCTTGATATTTACGATCTGAAATGAATTTCTTTTTTGCAGGACCACCAGCACAATGGCCAGGAGCGAGAAAGTCACCTGAGTTTAGAATTTATCGAAGTCTGCCAATTCGTTGTCCAAACTTTTACCACGATCACGAGGATCAATATAGCGTAGAAGCGTCGACTATTGAAGAATTAAAAAACTGTGAAAATGAAATAATTTCCAACAATGATGATGATAATGATGAAATTAAGAAGAATTTTCATTTCACGGACAATGAGAGTGGCAATAAATCATTATTATTGAACAATGATTCTAATGTGACTTTAAAACGTAACGAAAAGTCAAATAAATGTTCAATCAAGGGGAAAAATCAAAATTTGAGTGTAAAATCGAGAATAATTGATGAAGTAATTTCTCCTGATCAAATTTCTTCTTCTTCAACTTCTTCATCTCCTCGGGTCTCATTGTTAAAACCACCACGATTGTTCGCTAAATTTACTACAAATCCTGAGGTGAAATCATCTGGTAAGCATGGCGAGAAAAAATCCAATATTCCAATTTTTCGAAGAAGTTCCAAGGAGTTTGAGGATATCAAAAGTCCACAAGAGTCACCGAAACGCTCGCTGATTCCACAGAGGTAAAATTAAAAAGAGGGGATTTTTTTTTGAAATAATTTTTATATTATTAAAATTTCAGGTACAGAGGAAGCACTGACGATTTAAGGAGAAGCAGGGAGGATATCAGTGTTCCGAGTTTTATTCCAAAATTATTGTCACCGAGGAATAAGGAGGAAAAATTGAAACGTCAAGATAGCAAGGACGATATTCGTCATATCGGTGGATCAAATCGACGGCAGAAGGAAGCAACAAAAGATGAAATAGCAACAATCAAGTCGTTGCCTTGTCAGAGTTCATTGCGAGATGATGTTAAAGGAGTGAGATTTTTTCGACGAGAAAGCAAAGAGGACGTAGGCAGGGAGAGCGCCACCACTATTACGAACAGCTGCGTGACCAAAGAAAGGCCGTTGTGTAAGAAAGAGTTATGGACCGAGGAATGCGTGGGTGATACGACGACTTGGTCAAAATCGACTTTAACTGAATCCGAATGCAAAAAAGAAGAAAACGCAGAATTGTCAGTTACGACAAGTTATGAATTAAACGAGAATAATACTCGTGACGAGGATAATAATTGTGTTTCCATGATAATGGCCAATGAATTGAAAACGGAAGATCGAGTCGATGAGGAAAATGCTGTGAAATCAAATAAAAGTGAAGAAAGTGCGGGAAAAAATACTGAGCACGATGATGAGAAAATTAAAGAGAAGAAAATTCTTGTTGAGAAGGAATTTGATGAGGAGAAAAATGAAGATTTCAAGAGTTTCGAACAGATTCAAGAAGAATTAATTGCTGGCAATTATGCTAATCCGGTGACTTTAGGGGAAATGAAAATTGTGCCTGATGTCACGAGTCCTGGGAAAAAATGCGAAGACTTCCAAGTGGTTAGTTTTGTTTTTTTTTCAGATTTTTGTTTATGATATTTTTGGTTATATTTATAATTTCTTTTAAATAATAATAATTGATTGAAAAGAAAATTATTTTTTCGCAGATAAGAAGAAAATTTTCTAAAGAAGAGTTTTCGAATCCTGATGATACTGACGACATTCCTAACAGACGTTGCTCAAGTGTAAGATTAATATAGTTTTCTTCAATTTTTTTTTTTTAAATTGATTTTCATAAACTTTATCTTTTTTCAAATATTTTTCCAAATTTTTAAATGATTTTTAATTATTTATTTTCAATTTGCAAATACTAATTTGCTTTGTTGTGTATTTAAAATCTGTAATTGATTAAAAATTGAAATTAAATTTACAATATTGAAATTATTTTATCTAGAATAGTATTGAAAATAAAGTGTTTTGAATGTTAATTTACAGCATCTTTCGCCAGAGGCAAGTCCTTTAAGTACGAGATCATCAAAGTATAGTCCAAGAGAAAGTGAGAGTGAACCAACTCCTGCATTACCGAGGAAAACTGGAGGCGGTGATTCTTCTTCTGCATCACAAAGAATACGTGACACTATCACGAGAACGAGAAGAGAATCTAATAGTAGTGCAAGATACGAGAGCAGTGGAAGCGAAAGTGTTAGGTAATATCGATTTATTCAATATACATATATAATTTTTTATTTTTTTTTTATTTCCATGCAATATTTCTTATATTTTAAAGATTAATAAGATTTCAAATCTTGTTGAATCATGATTATAAATTAAGATATAATTGAATAAATACATCTTTTTTAAGATCATATTTGATAAATTCAACATTAGCGAATACATAATTTATATTATATATATTTTTGCAAAAAGAATATAAAAATACTTGATTTTAATAATTTAATATTTTTATAGTAATAATTATTATATAATATTATTATTTATTATTAGTATTATTAATACGTATTTGTGTAGTGAATTTATTTATACGAATGTTTTCGTTTTTTTTTTATAAATTATATATTAAATGTAACATTAATTTTTATTTTAAATGCAGATTAGGAGAATCTAGTTTGCACGGATATGCTGACATTGCTAGAAGAGTCAAGTTCTTCAGCGGAAATGGACTTGGACCGTCTGCAGGAAGTTGTGATGAAGTCGTACAACGAGACAGTGCGACGAGTGCAGGTGAAGATGAACCACACGAAGATGGTCCAAGTAGGACAGTTCAGGGTTCTTCACAAAGTAGAGCAATGCTCCGACGACGAAGACAATTTGACGCGCAAGGTACATTTTTAAATATCTAAATTTAACTATACTTTTTTTTGTTCAATTATTTTTTACGAGAAAAAATAATTACAGTCAAAATTTTTATTACAGATAAAATCTAGTTCTTTTTTTTTAAGGGAAAAAAAATTTTTTTTGTGTAAATAAAAATTTTGTCTGTAAATTATATTTTAAATTAATATGAATTTATTCAAGTTAATAATTAATTTATAAACAAATTATCTTTATTTCAAGTAAAGGAAATTATATTTATTTTATTTGAACATAAATATAAAAAGAATTATGCCAATTGATAAGAGATAGCCTACCTGCTATAGTGATCGTTTATCTAGAAAGATTTTATATATATATTAACAATTATCGTGGTTGAAATATATCCAGTTAAAAAGATATTGTCGTTCGCTTTTAGGTGCACATATATTGATTATAGAAACCATTCTTTGACGACTCTAGGAACTTTTTGCAGTCTTTAGTTATTTAGTATTGTTGTGAACCGGTAAGAGATTTCAATTTCTCGCTGAATATTTAAATAATATAGGCAATTTTGTGTTATGTTTCATTTATATAACAATAGGAACATTGAAAAATAAAATGGATGGATTTAGAATTTTACAACTGGGCACAACGCTTATTGTTGCTTTTTATTTTTTATTGTTCTATACGGGAATCTGTGTTGTTTTCTACTTTTTATGGACAAATTGATAACGTGATAGTGACATTACGATAATAATCATTATGACTCAGGTAGATATTAATAATTAGCTTTTTGTGTATAGTATTTTTTTATTTTTGTCTACTTTGATATTTTCATTCTTTATAATCCATTTTTGTCACTATTTAATAATTTTACTTTTTGATTTTTGTTGCATTAAATTTTTATTTCAATTTTTTATCTTTTCTAAATTTAAATTTTAAATAAAACGAAATTTAAAAGTTTCAATTGAGGTTTAATATTAGAGTCACGTGATGAAATGAAATATTCTGTTTACTGAATCCTCGAATTTTATGAGAAACTTGTGGCTTTATTCTTCATATATGGAAAATATATATATAGGTGTATATGTATAAGGGTAGATTGTTTGTAGTGCAGTGAAGTTAAAGCAAAGGTATACATATATATATACGTATAGGTACATATAATATGTAGTACAACAAACGTTCTCTGTTTCGTTCTACAGTCCGCTCACCTGCAAAGTATACTAGGTGGCAAGATAAGAATGAAAAGAACACTTGTCGTAAAAAAGATAACGAGTAATTCTGAAACGAAAAAAAAGGTTCTAAAAAAGAATATATCTCTGACTGAAAATACTAATGTAATTGATTAATTTATAAAATTAATGATTTGTTAAACAATTTTTAAAAAATATTTTTATTCACGTCATTTATGTAACATTACATAATTTATGACAAATTTTTTTAAAATTAATTTCTTATTTAAAAAATGGAAATTTTTAATTTACAATTTGAATTCTTATTAATGTTAATAATAAATTTAGCTTTATTATTAACTAAATTAAAAATAGTTAATAGTGTTTCTTTATTACTCGATTTTATATCGCTTTTTTCGAAATTGAATACACTTATTAAAATTTACTCCGTTTTGTGAGTGTTCTTTCTTGTCGTCGTTTGCTTTCCACGGAACATTTTCTCTTTTAGTACCGTCCTTCGCATCCTGAATAAATAGTTGAGTGCGTAGTGTAATTACGAACATTCCTTGAGGATGCTGGAATTCTATCGTGTAGAAACACCTTGTAAAATTCAGGGAGTCACATAAAAAAGATTATTGCTACATTTTCCTTCCTTCTCATTTTCTTTTATAATTAAAATTTGTATTTTTTCTATTAAAAAAAAAATTTATAGCATTATTAACTATTTGAATATTATAAATTAATTTTCAAAGGTTTTTTTTAAAATTAATAATTCAATTTTTTAATTTACTTGTTTATAATTTCATTTTTAATGACCTAGTTTATCATTAGAAAGAATTAATGATACTAATTGGCAACAGTAATTGATTCATTGACATTATTTTAGGTTGATTATTTTAAGCCGAATGATCTAATTGAACGTAATATTAGTTTAATTAATAAATGTTCGTTATTTTTTTTATTATTCTTTTTTGTTTGCAAATATCTCTAAAATTTCAAAATGAAACGAAAAATAAAATTGTTGATTTAATATTTTATATATAAAATGTATCGCGTGAGTTATAATAATCGTTAGTTTTTGGAATTTGATGAAAATGAAGGGAACTTGTAGCAATCTTTCGAATGAATTGCAAAAAAGGGAAAAATAAAATACGTAACGATTTTTTTCTTTTTACTCAATACTTTTTGTTAGGCAATACTGAGCCAAAATCGAAGTGGAACAGTTCCAAGTGGTCATATTCCGACTCGCTGCTATTCCCTCAGAGTTGCTTCATGCTTCGCTTCCCACTGGCCACCTTGTACGTGGTTTTAATGCACTATACCGCTTTGAAATACTATAGATTGTGTTTCGTCGTTTCATAGTAACAACAACGACGCTACAGGATTCAGGTGTGCCTCGTTGCATGAAGCAGAAACATCAGAGCGCTCTCGCAGTTTAACGTCAGTGTGTTATAGAGGCCCACGCGAATTCGCGACTATTGTGGGCAGTATATATATATATATACAATAGATCGCAGATTTGCCAAGAAGGGACAGTGGAAAAAAATTGCCATCTTGGTACATACAAGTCTTTTTAAGAGAATATAACGATAAACCGGCTTCTCAGTCTTGACGCGATTCAACGAGACGAGTATATTTTAAACTGAAACGAGAAAATTATTTTTTTCAATTAAATTTTCGCAAAAATTTCCAATTTGTTTGTTTGTTTTTTTTTTTTTTTGAGAGCTTTCAAATTAAATTTTTTCATTCAAATTTAATTTGATACATCAATTTAAAATTTACAGTACACAAATTTTTTGAAATTTGTTTTATTTAAAAATTTTGTTGTTTTGCCAAAATTAATTATTGTTTTTCGTATTAATTGAAATTATAGTTTATTTTATATAATAAATCGAAGATTATTTTATAATAAGCGATCGATTTATAAACTTTAAAATAGTGCTGACTAAAAGTGAAAATCTCGAAATAAGTTACAGTGATTTGAGGTAATGTGTATATGTGATAAAGTGCTGATTCATATATAATATTTGAAACTATTTTATTATTTCAATTTATCGATATCGGGTAATTGAATCTGTTCGAAAGAGGCGAGAGATAAAAATATCTATTTCAATTAATATTCTATATATAACTGGGAAATTTTTTTTTTTTTTTAAATATCGCTACGATAAAAGTAATGAATTTAATTTTTTTTATGCATCAACGTATTCTGAGAGTGGAAAGTAATTTTTAACGATTTTCACAAAACAAATCAATCTACCATGAAAATGTTTAAACACTTGACTGGGTGTGTTTTGCTTCTTTGTTCGCCCACATTTTTCAAGTTTCACTGAATATTTCAATTTTATGTTTCATTGAAGTTTTTTTTTTCATCAAAAGTCAAAAAAATTTTTTAAATATGTCTTACTAGTTTTTTTTCATGTCTTTAGACAAATTTAATAGAATTTCTATTGAATTTGAAATAACAATTTGTATATTAAATTTTAAAATGAATTAATATTTCGTAAAAGTTTAAAATGATTAATTTTTTTTTTGTATTTATTAAAAAATATAATTAAAAAAAGAAATATTGTGTATGTGTTATTATAAAGGGAATTTTAAAAGGAAATTAAACTATTGATACTGTAATTAATTTTTGTAGGAATTTTTTTTTTTAGATTCTTTTGTTAAAAAAAAGTATATGAGTCTCATAGTCTTTATATACTTGGCTCATGCCACTGACCAGATAATTCATTAGCGCGTAAAAACGAGTACCTGACGCGAAGCCCCTTTTTGAAACAGTTTCTTGTGTTTTATTTTTTCTTTAGTCGAATCTGTGATCATTCTGACTCCATAGAGTGAAAAATTCAATTTACTTTGAAAATATTGTTTAGTATTTTTTTATTTTTTGTTAGTTATTTTGTTAGAAAAATTATTTTTAAATTAATTATTATTTAGGTATTAGTAATTAATTACTGTTAATTAATAATTGAATAAAACAGTAATTACTAAATTAAATATTTTGTTAAAACTAATTAATTTTTCAGGATCACGACGCAGAGGACGATCACATGCGAGGAATTGTTGTGGTGATGAATTGCAGAATCTTCAAACATTACATGTGATTGGTCGGAGTGGGGGGCGACAAGTAAGCCCCCCCGGGCCAGGTTGCACCCAAGGACAAGCTCATTCTCAATCTCATGTTCAGGATTCACCAAATGTCGATTATAGACGTTTGGTTTTTATAAGTTCTGATTCTTCGTCTGGAAGAGAAGAAGATGATGCCGAGAGTAGTTGTTCTGGTTCGTCGTATTTAAATGGAATACCGCACGGCAGTCATGCACAAGGATTAGAAGACTGCGATTGGGATTATTTCGAGAGTGGCACACTTCCTTTGCCATCGGGGATTCCTCTAGCTATTAATATCAATAATTTAGAAACTGACACTACTGTCTCGAGTCACTGGAGCTGTTGTCCAGGTCGTGGATCGTCTTCTTGTCAGGTAATTTTCTTTTTCTTAAAAAGAACACTATTTTTTTTTTTAAACTGTGATTTTTTTAATAATTTGGTTGTTTTATCAGGCTTGTGGAGGAACGCGGGGAGCGAATGTTCTTCCAGTTCCAGTGCCAATTCCAGTTCCGGTACCGTATCCAGTTCCAGTGCCCGCGGCCCTTTGGAATAGTGATTTAGCGGCCGCTTCGTCAATGATAAATCGTGATTCAACATTTGAGGGAAGCTTACGATTAAGAGGTGATCCATCGGCTCCTTGGTTTGCTTGGCATCCACGATTTAATCAACCTCTTCACGGGAGTCGTTTAGAACCTCGATTAACTAACTTCGATCCAGTTGCATTTGGTTTTCAACCGGAACATGTATTTTTTGGTACAATCAACAGTGAATCATCGGTTCTTCCATTCCCGACAGTAATTGATGAATGCCAACAGCAAGATTCAAAAACCAGTGAATTAAAGGTTAGTGAACCCGAGCAGAAAATTGAAATTAAGGATAATAAAGGCACATTAACAAAAGTGGAAGAATCTGAGGAGTGTTCGAATGAGGAACAAGCGGAGGAGGATATTTCATTTAAAGAAGCGCGAAATCAAAGAATGTATCGACACTCGCGTGGTAATTCCGGAAGTTCTTCCGGTCGCTCATCGGCTGACAGTAGCGATCTTGAGGATTCTGCCTCGCATCGTTTCTCGCGTGTATTTGTGATTAATGACGATTCGTTGACAAGTGACAATGACATTGAAGATAATGATGATTCGGATTCGGCGCGAGAGGGTGGAATCACATTGAAAAAAGTCACTGCCCTCTCGGAAGAAGAAGAACCCGTTATTCTCCGTTGTGTTCGATTATTAAATGAAGATGCTGATAAAAATGATAAAGGCGATGAAAATGAAGATAAAATTGATTCCGATAATGTAATTGTTGATGATAATTATTGGCTTACGAAGGATTCGACAAAAACGGATATTTTTCACGATGTCAATGAAATTTATGTTGCCGATTCAAAAGACTCACTCGACTGTCGAATTGAATTGAAATCAATTAAAACGCTAGATCCAGAGAATTATGAAGTCAAAAATCAAGATCATTTAATGATTGGAGAACTCACAAGTGAAGATGATGAAATAGAGAAAAAAGACTCAATTCCTGATTCTCTTGAGATATCGGAAAAATTGGCTTCGACGCCCATCAATGATAACAGTCGAATAAAGGAAATCGAGAGTTCACGCGACGCGGCAACGAATCCGGGTCAGAAACCTCGAGAGGATTCGAGCGTGAGTTCAATAACGGATAGCTCAACGAGCGAGACCAACACCACAGGAAGTGAGGTGAGCAGCGATGAATTACACGAGTACGAAGTAACGCCAGTGCGTTTCGCATTTGGCGATAATAGCCGTTCAATTCGTTGTAACAATAAGCCGCCAATTCTTCGCAAAATCAATAATGATCAATTGAAATCAAAATTTGAATCTTATAAATTTGTTCCGAATGAAGAGGTAAAAATAGAAGAAGAGGAAGGAGAAATGAAGATAGAAGAAGAGAAAGAAGGGAGAAAATTAAAGGAAGAGGATCGAAAGATGAATGATATAATAAGCGGGAAGATTGAGGAAATATTTAAAAGTGTTGAGATGAGATCGAATGATGATGATGATGATGAGACAATAAACCCTGTCGCGATATCGGTGACGCATGACGAAAGCGAACAGCGAGTGAGAGGTAAGTTGGCAGGCGCACGGCAGGTGGGAGATGAGGATAGTGGGGGTGCAGCTGGAATCGAGCGGGGAACAGCGCGGTGTTATTCAGTTGAGCGACTCCCGCCCACTCGGACGAAGGAGAATGGCTTCCCTCCTGTTGTGTCAACAACAGCTCGTGATCTTCAAAACTTTCCCCAAAATAATAAATACAAGAGTCTCGTGATGATTACACAGGGGGCTTATCAACCTGTGAGTGTAATAACATCGGATACAACGACACTATTGCAACCGGATGATGTTGCACCTGCCACGGGCCAAGGATTGGCCGGCTATTTCCAGCTGGCGCTGGAAGCTGTGGCTGAGCCTCGACGTTCGAATGGCCAGGGACCACGAAAACCTCTTATGGTGAAACGTCTAATGTCACAACAGTCAGAGCTTGAAATTGATAGTGGTTTAAGTGTCGGTAGTGCAAGTGAGAACGAGGACGTGCAATCGGTGAAAAGTGTAATTGCAAAATCGCGAAATGTTGATGAAATGCAAAAGGAATCATCGAGAGTAAGAAGTGTTGTTAGTGGTGATGATTCTGTGACTGGTGTTGTTATACTCGAGGAAGGACTTGCTGATGATGACTCGTGGGTTGAAGAAGTGTCACATGATGAAGATGAGCAGAGTGCAACGACAGCAACTGAAGAAAGTTCCGAGGATGAATCAAATAATTTAGGTGATCGTGAAGAGGAATTGAGGGGTTATCATCGGCAGGCAATTGATTTTACATTGCATACAATTGTTGAAGAATCGTGTGAGGAGAGTGAGGCTGAACCAAATTTTGTTGCTAAACAAAAAAAACAAAGACCACCGTCTGCTTCGGAATTGGAGAAATATTTCTTTTTTGGTCTTGGTGGTGATGGGAATATAAGTTGTGGATCGAGAGAGGTTGATAGTTTATCCGAGACATCGTCTATTCATTCAGAAGGTCTTGAGTCATTGGGTCAAGAGGAGGCGTCTAATTCAGGCCAAGAAAAATCTGGAGAGTCATTGAATTCCTCGAGGCTTGAGAAATATTTTTTGTCCGAGTTTCTTGGATTTAATCAAGATCGTCGTGATTCTGATGGATCAGTTGGCAGTGATTCAGAGGGACGACCGAGTCCTGAAGCGCAACGAAGAAAAAGATTGGTACGAGCACGTGGAACTGGAAGATCTCACAGTTCATCGCTCGATAATCTTTTGGCATTGGCACAAAATCCAAGTTCACAAAATTCATTACAGGATTTGAGTTTGAATCAAGATGGACAAGATTCACAATCCGAGGGTTCATCAACCGAAACTGATGTGGCGGAGGAAAATCAAACACCAGCATTTGGAACTGATGGTCAATTTGACACTGTCAAGAGAAAGAAAAAGAAGCCAAGAAATCTTGGGACTCAAAGTCCAAGAGTTTCTGAGGATAGAAATAAAACTCCAGAACCGCGGGATATGATTGTCACGGAAGTTCCTGAAGGCGATGAGGAAGGGATTAATTCAGATGATGAACGAGCAAAGACACCGCAACCTGACAATGCTCATTTATCTTCTCATCTTGATAGTTCAAGGATTGCTCAATTAAATTCAATGGAATCGAGATCCAAGCAACAATCAAGAGATTCTGGATTTGTTGGAAGTTGTGATGATCTTTTGCAACATCAGAAATCGCCAACGGATGGTCAAGCGCCAGAAATTAATCAATCAGCTTCCAAAGATCGAAGAATGGATGAAAGTCATCGAATACATCGGGAGAAAATGAGTGTCGCGAAAGTTGATCAAACACTACCACCTGTGGCGAACGCTTCACTATCGCGGAAAGATAGCTTTAATAATTGGTCAAGTGATGAGGAAACGAATCTCATGATGTCGAAAATGCGTCAATTCTTCAAGACAATGGTTGCCAATTCAAATGGACCAAGTTCAACGGGTAGTAATGTTTCGAGTGGCGCATCACCGTCGCCGAGTCCACGATTGTCTGGTTATACGTCAAAAATTCGACACTGTTCACAAAATCGTACAAAACCACCGCAATTGGTTTATTTTGAGAATGAATTGACAAGACTGATGAAAACCGTGCCTGGAATCAGGGACGAGCAAGTGAGAGAGATTGTCGAGTATCTCAGCTCCGAGGACACGTGGTCTGATTCTTATGACAGTTCGGATTACACAAGTTCTGATTTGGAAGGCGCTGCCGGTGGACGTCGTTCGGCATTACAGGAACAAATTTCCCAGAGTTGTCAGCAGATTATTAGTAAATTTGATACAACATCGCGAGATCCATTTGAGAAGGAGAAAAGCGACAAAATGCCAACAAATCAACAATGTTTGGGTAGGGATACTGCTTTTGTTTATCAGAAACTTGTGCAAAGTTTCACAAAAATGGCCGGTGACACGAGTTCTGATGCGAGTTCAACACCACACAGTAGTCCGCCATTGATTGCAAAAGTGATGCATCACATTGGAAGTCGTTTGGTGGCTTTAATGCACGAGGTCTCGGAAGGTGGATCAACAGTACAACCGCATGCCTCATGGAGACGATATACGCAACATCATCGAACACCATCGTCGGCCTCGACAACGGAAGACGATGATTCAACATCAGATTCGACAAATCCATCGTCAACAACGCAATTGCCACGTTCCAAGTCACATGATCCATTATTGTTGATCAATGGACATCCTAATCCAAATGCTGGACAGGAGGGTGAGGAGAGGGAAGCCAGTGATTATGAGAGATTCTCGTGGAGGGGAAGTTTTGAATCGGCTTTGATGGCGGCGGATTCGCGGACAAAATTAAGTTTATTGGCATGTTCGGGTGATGTTAGCGCGAGTGCAAGTGCAAGTGCATTGGCAATGGCTGCAAAACGTCGAAGTGCTGGAGATTTATTGTTTAATCCAAAAAGTTTTTCAAGGGAGCAACTCGATAGAGTCAGAAGTTGTGGATCGATTGGTGGTGGTACTGGTGGAGTCGCGGGGGTTTGCAGCGGTTCCATCGAGGAGAAAATCTGGAGCAACAGGAGAAGATCGTCAGTACCGGATGCCAATACGAGAGGAGAATCTGGTACGTTTTTTTTTTTGGCATTTAATTAAATATTCTAATTAGTTTACTTAATTCAATTAACTAATTAAATATTAACATTTTTTCCACAAGGTCTCAATAATTGCCATTCTCTTATCCAATTTTGAATATATTTTAATTTATCTAGAATCATAATATATAATATTACTTCATTGTAGAATAATTAATTACCTTCTTTATTATAATTTTTAGAAAATTAACATAAAATTACGTAATCGACTTTTTTTTGTAAAATAATTACTCTACCTTTATTTCATTTGACAATTGATAAATAAACTTGGAAAATTAATAACAAATAAAGTTTGATTGTAATTATGACACTTGGAAAAATTGCACAGTCTGTTTAGTAATTAAACCTCGATTAAATTGAAATTGAACCTGTTTGAAAAAGAACAAGATGAATAATATGCTAATATAAGAATAATATGCAATATAATGAATTACTGAAAAAGTTTTATCAATTTTACAAGAGAAAAAATTGATAATACTAAACGTTTGTGTTTGAAATTTAATTACGCACATGAAAAATTCTCTCCTATACATATCATTAGAATGTATCTTATAATATTATGAATGAGTTTAATTACACTCCCATCTTGTTATTACCAATTATAAATTAGTTCTTTTTACACGTCCACTCACTTGTTTCTCAATTAATTTAAATATTCATATTGAATATTCATTTTAGAAATTCATATATAAAGAAAGTTGAGAATATATTCAAAATATTTTCTTGAAACCATTTTATATTGTACAGATTATAAAGAGTGAATAATAATTTGAAATTATTGATGGATTTTTAAAAATCTATAAAAAATTTATCCAATCAATTAAATATTGTTCGATGATTTTGTAGGAGCATCCGCTGGTGACGAGGATACCGAGGATGAATTGGAATACAGTGGCGATCCAAGAGCTACAACACTTCCCAGAGGAATGCAACCTGCGGCTGCGGCATCAGCTGCAGCAACCAATTCTCTGCCACGATTGCCAGCTTCAACAATATCTGTGGGACAAACGTCAAATTCACCGATGCATAAAGCACATAGCGTTTATCATTTTCTGCCGCAACATACGAGTGTCAAATCCGCGAGATATCGACCGCCTGGTTTTGCGAGAAACAGTGGTGCTTCTGGACCAAAAAGAGCAGTCAGTGCACCGGGACTTCAACTCACTGGCTCTCAGGCATCATCGGCAAAACGCGAGAATTCGCGATCGAGACGACAACAAGCCATCTCCATCAATAGTGGTGAGAAATATTTATTTTTATTATTCATCAAAATTTTTCACTAATTACGAAAATATAGCGAGAAAATTTTTTAAATTAAAAGAAGAAAAATATATTTTTTTTTTTTATTAAATTGTCTATATTGAAACCGTGAGAAAAATATGATGCAAAATTACATGCGGTACTAAATCCCACGCACGATTGATTGAACGGTTTCTTATAGAAAATTAAAAAAAAAAAAATGATTAGCGCGACAAGTGAGATCGGTCGCTGATATTCTTCCTTTGAGAGATTTTCATTTTCTCTTTTGTATTCTTCCAAGTAGAAAGTAAGTTGCATTTGAAAGCACAAGAGACTATCTTGTTTAATAGTAAATATCATTCTACTTAATTTATATCTTTCAGTAGTTTTATTCTTGAGAGAATTAATAAAACCGCGTATAACGATATCCATGAATCGTGAGCAACGCGTGCTTATACGGGTCTATTTCAATAAAAAATCTTCATTTCTCATTTGCTCAAAATTCCGGGAAATGTTTCTGTCGAATAGAATCCTTAAATTATTATTATCTTCTACTTAACAAATAATAAAAATTAAAAAGATAAATATAATTTTAAAAAATAATAATTCAAAATTAAAAGAAAATTATAGTTATTACCTAATTATTAGTAAATTAATTAAATTTTGAACTAAAGACGAAATTTCATCGTTTTTTCAAATAAGTCTTGTAACTAAAGAACACATGAATGTTGAGAAACGTTTATTGTTTCCAGAATTTCAATAGATTATTCGTAGTTGTAATATGTTAATCAAAGAAAACAGTTATGTCACATTCGAAAATGAATTTTTTTTTTCAATATTATCTCAGATTTTAATTTTTAAAAATAATTTGCTTTAAAATAAATAGTAACAATTAATAATTAATAATAAAATAATTAATTTAAAGTAAATTTTACACTATTTAACCAAGATAATTAAATTTTTCGTTAATTATTAATTAATGTTATGTAAAAAAAGTTAATTTTTCAAAATCTACTTGTATTTGCAATATATTTGTCATAGACCGTATAATAATTAGTATATTAATTAATCGCTTTCATAAAGCAATGCATGTTTTCTCTGATGAAAAATATTCTTGTTGCCAATCGAGTTTTACCAAGAGATTATCGATATTCTATATTTTATTTCGACTCTAGAATCTTGCTCAAGCAGAATTACTCTCGTTTAATGATTTATCGATCCAATTTACAGGATTAATACAGTGATTATAATTTCATCATCCCTCTAACTTAATAACGATTCAAATTGTCTTGTTACGTTAAAATTACAAGTTTTTATTATTATCCTTTTTAGATTGGGAAAATTTATTTAATTTTTTTCTTTATGGAAACAATAAATTCACACTTTTTTGTGTGGGTGTAAAATTTATTCCTTTTTTCATTTTATTGTGAGAAATAATATAAAGATATTTGACAGTTATAGAATGTTGACTTAGTGTGAATCATATTTTTTCAACCTAGACTCGAAAATGAAATTTTATCTCGGTAGGTCCTGAGACGATCAATAATCAGAGAAATGGGTGCGTCGTTTATGTGAAAAGTTATGGCATAAAGAAAGAAAAAAATTTGGAATTTCTTTATGAATGTGAAGTAAAATAGAAAAAATATTTTTGTGCTTAAAATAATCATTATCTAAGTTTATTTATTCGAATCATGAACAAATTATTTCATATGAATATTATTTTTTCAAATTCTGAAAAAAAAATGATTTAATGAAAAAAAAGAGATTGTTTCTAATTTTAATGTAAATGTTAGTTTTATGCATTCGTTAGTCACAGTCACGTAAGAACATCCGGATTATTTTTTTTCTCGAATCTCCTATTATATCCGCTAGCAAAAACAAATTTACTATCTCGTATTTCTAATTCAATAATTTTATAATATTTTGTAAAGAGAATTTTTTTTTTCTTATTTTTAGTTCAAAATAAATTTAAGGTAATTTTTATCTTCATCTTTCTCTGATATAAATTAAAAATTAACGAATTTTATGCGTAAATTGATAATTTAAAAAAAAAAATGTTGAATATAAATTAAATGTGTATGTAAATTTACTCTTTTAAGTTTAAATTGAATATGATTATAAAAGTACACTTGTACAATGAATTATCATTTAATGTACGTTCACTTTTGTGACGCATGGATAATTTTGCGTTTGGTGAAGAACTGTTTTCACTCGTGGGCACGTAAAGAAAAGTAAGAACAAAAGAATTAAAGAACTTCCCCACGCGATTTCGAACCTCTAGTGTGAAGTTGAAATTACAAGACGCAAATCTCTGGGAATAATTCGTGCACTGTAAATAATATGACATTAATCCATATTTATTTGCGAGATTTTATTCTATAGAGTTTTTAATGATATAATTGTGGGAAATGAATAAATAAAAAGTGGTATTATACATGACTGATAAATTCAAACTTTTTGCCATAACTTTTCATTTTACGACGAGAATTTTGTTTTAGACAAAAAGTAAATTTTATTTTTTATTTTAACGAAAAATTTTCTGATCTTTAGTATATTTTGTTATTTATTTATTATTTAATTTATTATTATTGTTTAATTCTTTATTATTTATTTTAATTACTGTTTATTTACAACTTTCCATATAGTAATAATTTATTTATTGTTTTGGTGATCAATTTGCTATTTATTTTTTGCTTTTATAATTTTTTTATTTATAATTTATTGTTTTTATGGTTTCAGTTCTTTTTTTTGTATTTTTTTGTATTTATAATTTTGTTAATTGTAACTTTTATTCCTCCATCAGTTGTATGACTTTTATGGATCATAAAATATTAAGCAATTCGCTTACAAAATATATATTGACACTTCATTTACTTCCGAGTCAGTTTACTTTGTTAAAACAGCTAAATAAACAATTTTTTCTTTTCATTTAGCAATACTATTGAACTCGTTGATTTTGCAATTAATAAACGCAAACAATATTTAGTTTCTTTTGCGGAAATATAAAGTCTTATTTTTATTCAATTCTTTTCTTTTAAGATTTTTTGAAATAATTATTTAAAAATATAGGATAGGTAAAGTGTAAATGGTACTAGAAATTGCAATTAATATATAATTAAATTAAACAAAGTAAATTGTACTTTGATTTAAAAAATTATTATTTTTTTTATTAATTATTATTTATTTATTGTTATTATTTGTATTCATAGTTTTTTGGTAATAATTTTTTTGTTTCACTGTTAATTTTTTGATGTTTCAAATTTTATTCGTTTAATTTAATGAATTTTTCTATTTTAATCTCAAATTCCTTTGATTTTATAGAAGAAGTTGTTTTTACCAAATTCGACAACTTGTCTTTACAAGATCGATTAAATTTCGTTGAAATGTTTTGTGTTTTTTTTTTTCGAATGCAATAAGGTTTAAATGATTCTCAGAGAATTGACAGTAATGCATTCCAATCGGGATACACTAGAAGGTAAACAAGAAAACGGGAACTTCTAATCGTTGTTGGTTGCTACACTGTTTCAGTGCCAATTAAAAGGAAAAGAAGTTCATATAAGACTTTCGCGACTGAGTCACTATATTTATATGTCCCGGATATGGTGTGCTATACATGTTTTACACATGTTTTTTTTTTTTTTTTTGTTTTTTTGTTTAGTCAATTTCTGCGTAAAAAAAAGAAACCAAAATTTTATTTCTTGTTTCTTTTTTTTTTAGAAGAAAATCTCATAATTTACGTTTTCATAGTATTCAAGAAAGTTTTACATAATGTACATTTATTATGCATTTACAAGTCACAGTTTCGTAAGATTTGCACTCCCGTTAGCGGAAGAAAATAAACTCTAATGCGAGAAAATATATATTTTTTTTAAAAAAAAGGATTTTTATAATAATTTTCGCTGTAGATTTCGTAATAAAATTTTATGAAGTGTTATGAATTTGTTTAACACAATTTCGCGTTTTTTTTTTTTTTTAATTTTTTAATAGGTTTGGAAAATTAGTTATTATTTTTTACTATTGTTTTAATTTTTTATTTTGTGAATTGCTTTTTTGGTGGTTACTTTTTTTGGGGGGGGGGTATTTATTTAAATAATAATATTTATATTTAATGTTTGCAATTGCGGTAAATTGAAAACTTGTTTCTTTGCACTATTGTTCTTAGAGAGTCGACTCACGTGAATAAATAGAGATTCCATAGGCTAATATCATCCTCAGAATTCTTATTTGAATCTTTTACACCTCTCACCTTGACATACATACTATAGTAGATGTTGCAGTATACATTCTCTAGAAGTAGAGTTAAAATTCTTCCATTTCTTATACACTGTCACTCATCTTTCAGGTACAAAAAGCTATGTGTCTAGAAAATGTGAAAGAGAAACTTTTCCACAAAAGAAGAATAAGAAATTTTTACTGTTAACTCGACAGTTTATGAAAATTAATTAAAAATAGATAATATTCAAATTGTGAAAAAAATTTAGGAAACTAATATAATTACTACGTTTTTTTTTAAACTAAATTTTTTTTTTTTTTTTTTTTTTAGTAATATTTTGGAAATATTTCCATTTTTTCAAGATTGATATAAATAATATTTTTCTGATTCTCCCACTTAAGTACTTTAATTAAAAAAAAAATGTTAATCAATTTTTTCTCACTTTTTTGCCACTTGAGTCAAGATGGTACTCATCGTTTATGAAGTGGATCCTCATGCGAGAGATGAATATGTGCGGAAAATGAAGCGAAAGAAGAATTTTTTATTTATTTTAATTTTTAAATTTAATATTATTTGATTATGCAAATTAATTATATATTCATTTTTTGTTATCCAAAATTTTTATCAAATATATGGGACCTTGAAACTGATAGATGTCGTCATCTCATTGAAAAGCGGAAACAAAAATGAGACTTATCGCAGCCCTCGTTCCGTCTCGTCGATTAGGAAATGGCATTTGAACACAAGAGCTCGTTAGTGTCAGAGAAAACGTTATACAATTATTTTTCACGTTGTCCTGTGTAAAAAAAATCGGCCAACCGTCTCTCTATCTCTCTCTTTTATTCTTTCTCTGTCGCGTACTTGGCAACCGAGAAAATCTTATAATAAAAACAACTATAGATACATATATATATAACTGGTGCAATGGAATTCCTTTCGTTTTAAAGTTAGTAGCAAAGAGATCTTCTTTTCTTTTTGACAGGAAGTCGACGGACGTGCTCTTTTTTCAAAAAAGAAATTACGAAATTTCTGACTCAACATAAAATATGTCAAGCAACTCGCGATATATGACATTTAATCCAATGGACCGTTTTTCTCAACCCACTGAAGAAGTGGCGCAACGCTTGACTTCCGTTTGGCTCCTGGAATCCTGTTGTGGAAGCTGTTGCTGTCCATGGAAACGTCGCACATCTCAAAAGCCAAACGACAAATTAAGTTCATCAATTCAAGACACAAGAAAAAATGAGGAGAAAAAATTCGATTCTCAAGTTCTTGATGATGACGACAATGATGATTTGGCACAGAACAATGAATTGAATTCCAATTCACTTCCTCTCAATTTGATTAACAAAAAGAATCAAGAGAAAAATTTCGCGAGTGATTCTAGTGACGATGAAGACAAAAATAATTATGATCATGATGATCAAAAGAATAATGAAGATCAATTCTCAAATGAAATCATGGAAAAGAAGAAAAGCGATTATTCTTTGGAGCAAAAAACAGAATCGAAAACTTTTGATTTTCTTTCTAAACGTAATAAACCATTTTTGAGAAAATTCTCTTTGGATATTACCAAGGAAAAGGAAAAGAATGTGCCAATTTTTCGAAAATATTCTCTAAGCGATTATGTCGAACCTGATGGTTCACCTGTTTTTAAAAGATGTGTTAGCTTCAAAAAGAAAAAAGAAAGTAGCGATAATAATGAGGAGATAAAAAATGGAGACGAAGAGATGAAAAATAAAAATGAAGTGATGAAAAATAAACAAGAAGAAGTGAATATTAAAGGAGAAGGAATTAAAAATATTGATGACGAATCAGAAGAAGAAAATAGTAGTGAAGATGAAGAGAAAAAAGGTTTATTTGATAGTGACACTGATGATAGTGAAGATTACGAAGATGTTCTTATATTTAATGACAATATAACTTCCGATGATTTAAAATATCAAAGAGATGATAAAAATTTGAAAATTGAAAAAAGAAATTCAAGAAGAATGAGACTTTTAACAAAAAATGGAATCCTACCCGTTTTGCCTAATGTTCAGGAAATTGATGAAGAAATTAATAATTCCAGTGGTATATTTATTTTACATTTCAGACATTCTGTAAATTATTCAAAATTATTCGAAAAAACTATACAAGAAATTATTTATAAATTCAATAAATGTAAATAATTTAATGGAACAAAATAAAAAAAGCGAGAAAATGATTTTTTTTTAAAATAAAATCTTTCGCCAGCAGGAAGCAGAGCGTAGATAATAAAAAAAAATTCTATCATTTAATTACATATCAAGTTTGAAATAGTTTTTTCAATATAAATATATATTAATTATTTATGTTATTTATAAAATGAATAGGTTTAGGTCTGGACTTAATAAGAGAGAGAAGAAAAAAAAATTGTAAAAAAAATAGTTTAATTGTATAAAATTACATTGAAATATGATAAAAATGATTAAATTTCTTTTTTTAATGCAATATAGAGATATTTATTAATCACTTTTCACTTTGATTACAGATGACGGCAGCAGTTTATCTGAAGCTTGCAGCACGCCTATTATTGGAGCAGGATCAAGAACAAAATCCAGCCATGCGGTTATGGACATGGATGATATCGATCGCAACTTACATTCTGGACATCTTGCTACTCGAGCTTCTCTTTCGAGCTTAGGGGTGAGTGTCCCTTACACTTTTTGTCGACAAAAAAAAAGAAGAGAGAAATTGTTTTAAAATGTCAATTTTTTTTATAAAATTCCATTCTGATAGGTTGAAAAATTTTTTTTTTATTCAATTAATTATGAATTATTAATTTAGTAATTTAATTATTGCACTTTAATGAATTATTTATTATTAATTTTAATTAAGCAAATTATTATATTACTTTTTAATAGAAGTTTAATTTTTTTTAAAAATTAAGTTAATAATGATGATTTTTATCTTTTTATGGAGACTTTACAATTTTGGATACAAAATAAAAGATACAGGGAAGCTTGTCGATACCTCGTGCACCATAAATGTTTTATGGTAAAATAATTCCTGAAACTTGGTAGAATCTCAATATCAAATTTTATATCGCTATTTAGTGTAATAAAATTACAATAGTGTATTTTGTATGCAGTAGCTTTTTAATAAAATGCTAATGATAAAAATGATTTCCAATTAAATAGAAAGTAATAATATTTATCAATTTAAAAATAATAATGATAAATATTTGAAGCAATAATTTTTCATATAATGTTAATAATTAGAAATTGATAAAATTAATTAAATTATAAAGCTTTTTACTTTCTCTTTTATGGATTCAAAAGAATATTATTTAAATTTAGTAAATAATAATAAACTTTTTTGTTATTAAAAATACTTAGGTCGAATACTAAGAGTAATAATATTTCAGGCGAGATCCGATTCCATGGCTTCGGTATATAGTGGAGCGGGTGAAGGAAGGTGGTGTGGTTCAGTGGCTGTTCGTGGAGAAGTCGAATTTTCTCTTCAATACGATTACAAGCAACTTACATTTGAGGTTCACGTGACTCAGTGTCGGGATTTAGCACCAGTTGACGTCAAACGTAATCGATCTGATCCGTAAGTTGAATTATTATTATTAAATTTATCAAATCCTAAAAAAATGTATTAAAAATATAAATTGTTTTTAGATACGTAAAAGTCTATCTTCTTCCTGACAAGTCCAAGAGTGGGAAACGTAAAACCAAAGTGAAAAAACACACTTTGAATCCCGTTTTCGACGAGACATTAAAGGTATAAATTTATACTTTTCATTTTCTGTTTTTTGGTGAATTGTAATAATATATTTATTTTCTTTTAATTTTCGTTTCAGTTCCACATGAGTCTGAATGGTCTGGAAACGAGGACTTTGTGGCTAACTGTTTGGCACTCGGATATGTTCGGTCGAAACGATTTTCTTGGCGAAGTTCGAATGCCCTTGGAGAATAAAATTTTCGATGATCCACGACCACAATGGTATCCACTCCAAGAGCGGGTTAGTTTTAGAAAAAAAATATCTCAATTTCAATAAAATTTAAAAATGTGATAAAATTTTATATTTATGTAAATTTTTACAGACTGAACCCTTCGACGACCCAATCGCTTACAAAGGCGAGGTTATTGTCGGATTGAAATTCGTTCCACCGGATCCCGCTCAACAGGAACGAGAACGTGAAATGGCAACCGATTACCGTGGCAAAATGAGAAAAAACTGGAGCCGAGGCGCTCTTCATGTCCTTGTGAAAGAAGCGAGAAATCTACAGACACGAGCAAAACATACCGGCTCCTGCGATCCATTTTGCAAGAGGTAAAATTTCTTTTTTCATTTTGAAAAATTAAATAAATAGTTTAGATATTTTTCTGTTTATTTATTTTGTATATTTATTTGTTCAGTTACCTTCTGCCAGACAAAGGTCGTTCGGGAAAACAAAAAACTGGCGTTGTACGACGATCAGGCGGCTCACCCGTTTGGAATCATACGTTTATTTATAAAGACGTGAGTCTTCAGGAGTTGGCAGAACGAGGCCTCGAACTCACTGTTTGGGACCACGATCGTATCGCGAGTAATGAGTTCTTAGGTGGCGTGCGATTTAATCTCGGCACTGGTAAGTTTTCTAGGGGGGGGAAACAATAACAGGATTTTTAATTAGTTTTGTATTATCGAACATCTAAATTTAACTTTAGAACACAGGAACCACAACTGTCAACAGCTGATAAGACATTGTTTTTATTTTTTTTAAAAAAGCTGTTGGAACTGATAATTCACACAAAAGTAATCTTTTCGAGTATATTAACTGCTGTTAAAAAAAAAAAAAAAAAAAAAAAAAAAAAAAACCCGCTTCCTGTTATAGAAATGCACTCGGCTGCTACAATTTTAAGTTTAAAATTTTTTATTGAAAATGTCAGGAATTTTTTTGAAATTTAATTTGTATTTTTGAAAAAAATGTAACATTTTACTGATTCTTATGTAGGAAAACATTATGGAAAACTAGTCGATTGGATGGATGCAACGGGACGAGAATTGTCCCTCTGGCAAAGTATGTTGGAGAGACCAAATTTTTGGGTGGAAGGAGCAGTCACATTGAGACCTAATCTTCATAATCACGGTAAAAGCGGCTCCTTCTAGACTGTATTCATTAAATATTTATCAACGAAATTTCCGGGCAAGAGTGCATTAATTATTAATTAGCTAAAAAGAATGAAAAAAAAACAATGTCAATGTCCTATTCACAAAAAATATGTTTTTTATATGAAAAATATTATTCTGCATTGCCGATAGAATTTTACATGGGAAACTAGTGCCTTCTGGATTATTCGACCAATGTTGCGCGATGCCCTAGAAATTTTGATATCTTCGATCTCCAGTGAAAAGAATTCACTTTCCTCTTCTCTATAATAAAGGTAAAATAATTAAATTTAGTAAATTCTGAGGAGTAAGCAAACAAAGTTTGATAAATCAATTTTATAAAAAATGATTTATCGTGTTTTGTTTGCTTACACCTCATTTAAATAACTATTTCAATAAATATTGAAATTTTACAAATTCAAAAAATTTATAAAGATAAATTTAATTTATCTATATTTTTTCGTTCCATGATGATAAAATTCTAAAAGGTAAATGGGTTTTTTTTTCACCGGGGAATAGACTTTGTTCTTTAAAAAGATAATTAAAGTAAACTTTAGGAGAATATTTACGTGAATAATGAAATAAAACATTTGTGATGTTTATTTTGATTTATTAACGATAATATAACTTCGGGCAATGCAATAAAATGCCACGTTTATATTAGATAAAGTAAAATTAAAAACAAAAAAATACTAGCCATTAGATAATTAATATACGTGTTTCGTATGCGATATGAAATTGAAATGAAATTTTCTAACAATGCACCAAGGGAATGGCAATTTTTGTAATCTTTATCTAATGAAATCATACATATATATATATATATAAAAAGAACAATTTTAGAAAGTTCTTCGTCTAGGAATTGTAAAAATGCTGTGTTAGTAACATGTGCCAATTGTATACTGAGAACCAAACTTTTTTGAATAATTACCAAAATTTCCATATAATAAGTGCATTGTTAGAGATATTTTGTTATTTAAAGTAGAAGAAAATTTCTTAAATTTCAATTTATCGAGAAAAAAAAGAATTGAATTTTTTTCAATCACATCCGCTTTTTATAGAAATTTTCTAATTGAGATATAAATGTGAATGTATGTTGAATATTTTGATTCATCGTGGCCAATGGGGAATTTATCTTCACAATGTGTGTGAAAAAATAAAACTGTTCTCGTTAGTTAATATAAAAAAAAAAAAAAAAAGTGGACAGTTTTCTCTCTAAATGAGAAAAAGACATGCTTCCATTTTATACGTTATATAGAAAATGAAAAAAAAACAATCTCTCTAAAATACATTTTTGTCTAAGAGACGTAAATCATTGTATTTAAAAACTATTTAAATACCCTGGATTTTCATTTAAAATAGATTTATTTATAATATAAAATAGATATACATATAAAATTATAAAAAATTATTATCCATATACAAAAATCGTTGTATACTTCTTAAAAGTAGTAAAAATATCGTCGTAATATTGATAATAATTCGTGAAAAAAAATAACAACAATTAAGTATTAAAATAAAAAAAAAATAAAAAATAGTACTTAAATTTGCAGAACAAACGAAAATGCAAGGCTGAGTCGATAAATTAGTACCTTAATTAAGAATATTGTACTTAATATTTCGTTGAGTCTCTCAGTTTAAGGAATGCAGTTATCAATTATATATATAAAATATTTGTATTTTAGAATTTAGATAGTTTCATTTATAAAGATAATTCTTTAATGAATTATTCGTGAGATAATATTATTATCGTTTTAAACAGGGTGGTTCGTTAAAAACGAAAAAGAAAACAACTGCCTTCGATGAATTTTTATGCGTATCAATTTTATTGATATTTCCAAGTTATTCTTTATTATTGCATGCTGTACGACTTTTATCGAATATATTATTAATTGAGAAAAAAAAATATACGTCGTACGCTCAATTGGAATTGTTGTTTGTTATCTGGTACCAAATCGTGAATGCTCACGGCTCTATAGTACTATACATTCCTTTATTATTGTATAAAAAAAAGGATGGAATAAGATTGTTTATTTATATTCCATTTTGTCGATGTACAATGAAAAAAATAAAATCTTTTGTACCTTCACACAGCGATGGACTTTTCAGTCTTTCAACAATTCATATATTATCAGTCTATTAATAATTCGGTTGGTAGTTTCATTTTCTAATTTTTCAATTGAATTTTTAATTCAATTTTTTTAAAATTTCGATTATTATTTTTTTTTTGTTAAATATAAATCTCTTAATAAATCAATTATAATATTATAGAAAACTTTTAGTAAATCTATATAGTTATTTGTTAGGAATATATTAATTGATCGTTTTTTATATTAAAATGCAAGTAAAATTATGCGTAATTATAAATACTTGCTACTTGAGATTAAAAAACAAATACAATTGTTTTTAAAATATTTTACAAATCACTGTTAGAAATGAATCGATTACCTTCGGAATTTTTACCTGAGTAACGATACCTACATTTTCCATATGCTCCTACAGCAAAAAAAAAAAAATTATATAAATATTTTATTAGTAAAATTAAATGAAAATGTTTTTATATTATATTATTAATTGTAAATAATTTTTTCGTTTTTTTCTTTTTTTTTTGCAGAAAATAAAAATATACCTTTGTGATCGTATGGACCACGTGTTGTACGTGGTAAGGGCGTGTAATTAACGTTAAAAGTAGCTTCATCAAATTCACCAACTGTTGGTGTTTCAAAACAATTTGGTGAATTCGATCGTTCTGGGACTTTGACGGTTTTTAAATACTGTCCCCGATTTTGAGCTTCAATTCTCTCCTGAAAAGACACGGATCGTGAATCCAAAAATCGAAGAGTCCGTGGCAATGTATAAATTGCATACAATCGATAACGTTCATAATCATCATCATCATTTAATGTTGGATCCGTCAATTGATCAGGACAACCAGGATTTCCAAGTAAGCTCACATATCCAATTTTTGGACAACAATCTCTTATTTTTTGCAAAACACTATAAATATCTGTAAACTTTAACAAACATTTTTTTTTCTTTTTTTTTTAAACAATTTTATTATTATTTTTATAAATCTTAAGTATTATTTATTTTAAAAAAATTTTAAATAATAGAAAATTACAAAGTTACAAAAATAAATAAAATGAAAAATTCAAGAAAGGTTTAAAAGATAAGATAAAAACGGGTATTGTAACGGTTTCAGGAGATACTATTTAATTTGGATATCACGTGCAGAATAATAATTATAGGAATATATTAAAACTCAAACAAAGGTAAATGTTCGAGTGACAATTTTTGAATCTTCTTTTTTTTATCTCTACATTTGATAAGCAACTGATAAAAAGAAATCATTCAAAAAACATTATACATTTTTACTACGTCTTTTGTTTTGTTTGTTTAAAATTTAAATTTTTCATTATTTCCCGCCAATATTAAATGTCAAAAAAAAAAAAAAATACCTTATTATTGTTTAAACTCAGTGTAGAAAGGTGAGGCATTGTTGGAAGTGATTTTAAATCCTTGAGATCATTATTATCCAATATTAGTTCTTCAAGTTGTATAAAATTCTTGACAGCTGAAACTGATTTCAATTCATTGTAGGATAAATCCAAACCAACACAATTACATCCAACAATTCCGAATAAACCACATGGAATTTTTTCAGCTCGTTGACCGGTGTACCAAACCTATATAGAAATATTAAAGTTTGAGATTATTTTTCAATTAGTTTTAAATTTTCTTATTAAAAAATTAATTAGCTATAAAAATAGAAACTTTTTTCCTAACTCTATCAGAGCGAATTGTTAAAGCACTTCGATTAAAATCCAAGTCTTTATGTTCAGCCATCTTGAAGTTTTCTACTCGTCGAACTTGTCTTTTATGTTGGTATTTGTCACTACTTATTTTTCTAGACTTTCTTTTGTAAATAAAATACACGATATCTTATCCCTACCAAAAAAAATAAGAGTTGAAAGTCGCTCTACCTTATAGTGACTACATTGAAACAGTCTCGTGTCTGCGGCTCGTTGGTCTAGGGGCATGATTCTCGCTTAGGGTGCGAGAGGTCCCGGGTTCGAATCCCGGACGAGCCCTTTTTTTGTATTGTTTTTCTTGAATTTTCTTTTTAATTTTCCTTTTTTTTTGATAACCGATTTTTTTTATTAATTTCTATATAGAAAGCAATATAAAACTTTGAAATTCAGAAAACATAACCTTGAATATGAAAATTCAAGAGTAATTCTAAATTATTTCAAGTTGGAAAGTTGTAAGGTATTTTTAGCAAGATAGGAATTAGTCATCTTAAAACTTGTATTTATCATATACGTATTTCCTTGTGAGTCACTCGATGCGGTCCAAGATTCTTGACGTGAGGTTAAGGTTATTTTTGACAGGTGAAATAATAAACAAAGTGTTTTTTGTTGTTAAAGTGAAAGTTTCGTAAATACCTTTTTTTGACTGGCTTTTTAATGTGTTTAAACTTTTTTTAATGTAAAGAACATTAAAAAATTATTAAGAATTTATTGAAAAATAAATACTTTTCTATATAGAAGAAATATAATTATAATTTATTAATAATAATTTCCTTCAGGGGGAATTTCTCTTTTTGAAATTTATATGATTTGGCGCTCTTTTGCAGCCAATCAGTGTTCAGCTTTGTCTTTTCGTTTCTAAAAAATTCAAAATGGCGTCAGTGACACATTCGAGGCTGTCAAATCAGCTTGGGATACGCCTAAAGTTTACTCTTTTTTAATTGATATTTATAAAGAAAATACAATAATATGAATACAGTGAGTGTAGAAAAAGTTTTTGATTACTAAACTATGTAAAGTAAATTAATGGTCTATATAAAAGTTTTATTTGACCTGTTTTTTACTTGCGCTTAGTGCTACTTAGCCTATATCTTGAGCATCATGACACAACTTGCTCGTTTTCTTTGTCAATACAAAATTAAATATTAATTATTAACGATATTGCATACATTTTTTAATTAACGTGCCTCATATCGAGGTAAACATGTGGAAAATAATTAACACGCTTTTTTTTACGGATTTGCAAATTTCTTTTTAATTGTAACACTTTCATTCTTATGTCTTTTTTATGACATTTATGCCCCTATTTATTTTTTTCGGAAAGTAATACTCAAAATTTGTAAATATAGATGATTTATTCTAAGATTTAATTTATAAGAATTTATATAGTTTATAATTTATAAATAATGTATTTTAAGTTTTGTCAGTTTATAAAAAATATCTATTCTTTTGTGAGTGACATGTGCAAATAGAAATCTGTGACTTTCATCAACGAATACATTTCGTGGGTGAACCACTTTTATCTCATTTGATTTCGCTAAAACGGTATAATAATTGTAACTGTACTTTTATTTGGAATTGTTATTTTTTTTCAAAATTGGGTCAATTTTTAAACTTACGTTTTTTGAATATTGCAATACATGATTTTTTTTTTTTACAAATGTACTGTAAGTAAATTTATTGGTACAGTAAAAATTTTCTATGCTTTTCAAAAATGTTATGAGAATTAAAAAAAAAAAAATTTGAATATTTTTTTTATAAATAAGTTATTGAGAGTGAAAATTCTTTTAAAATCTATAGATTTTTATATTAGTGAATAATTTATTATGATTGAGACTTTTTAATTTTATGTATAAAATCGTGAAACAATGACAATATATTTTTTAATAAAAAGTTCTATAAAAGAGATATATGGAACTTTGAAGAGAATGGAATGAATATAACAATGTATGATTGAAGTGTGTTCCAGTTTCGTTGAATCAATATCTGAAACAGAGTAATCAAAAACAACCAGACGTTGTATATTAATTTTAATATTTCGAGTTAATTGTTAATTTAATGAATGTTTATGCAAGTTAATTGAAACCTTTTTTTTTAAATTACACTTTTTTTCATTTACATAGTAATTTATAATAATTATAGGCTATTTTTGCTTCGTTTTTTTCTTTTCTCAGTTTATGAAATGAGTTGTTTCATTGTTTTGAAATTATTATTAATTATTGCAGTAATATAAAAAAATTATTTTATATTATAAAAATTTTAATTTATTGAAATATTTTTTATTTTTATTAGAAAACTTTTATTTTTAATTTAAATTGACATTTTTTTTTCAGGTACGAATTAACAATCTAATCACGAAGGCTGTAAACTAGATCATAGAGAATTAAAATGGAAGCAATAGTGGAATACAACTATGTGGCTCAAGAGCCTGATGAATTGACCCTGAAAAAAGGAGACGTCATTAAAGATATCAAAATGTCACATGGAGGTTGGTGGGAAGGAACATTGAAGGATAAACGCGGCATGTTTCCCGACAATTTTGTCAAGGTAGATGTCTATGTTTGCAAATAAGAAAAAAAAAGAACTATACAGTCCATTTTCAGTTTGATCGTCCTAGAATAATATTCATTTACCTCGATATAATAATGTTTAACCTGTTACAAGTTACTTATCTTATCTTAATAATGAACGCAAATTCGAGGCTACAAATGACACAAAAGACTTGTATTTTATTTTTTTTTTCAAATATTTTCAGTTCCTATTGTGACTACCATTAATATTAATATTTGCAAATTTTTAATTAAAATTTAAAATTCATTTTGTATGACGAAAAATTATTTTTATATTACATAATTATTTATTACATTAATATTATTATAATATTAATTTACTTGAAATAATTATTGAGTAATTCGTTGTAAAGTAATTTTAAAGTAATATAAAGTAATTTTTTAAATATAATTTTAGGTTTTGGAACCGTCGGTGGGATCAGCAACAGGAACGCTGGCTGGAAATCGAACAAATACAGGAATTGGTGAAGGTAGCTCGAGTTCGAAATGTAATGATGATGTGACACTACGTAATGGAGGATCGGGAAGACGTTATTGTCGTGTTTTATTTAGTTATGAACCATGTAATGGCGATGAATTGAAACTTGTACCCAATGATAATGTTGAATTTTTGGGTGAAGTTGAAGAAGGCTGGTGGCGTGGAAGACTTAATCGACGTGTTGGCGTTTTTCCCTCAAATTTCGTGAGTCCTCCATCTCATGAGGAAACGACAAAGACTAAAGAAAAGGATGCTGATGAATTATGTCGAGTTCTATTTCCCTACGAGTCAACGAACGAAGATGAATTGACAGTTGTAGAAGGCGATATAATTAAATTAATCTCACGAGACGCTCCCGATAAGGTACATTTTTTTAAAAAAATATATATTTAGACATTTTAATTTAAAAAAGAAATTGATTATTGAGATTAAAATTATTTGATTGATGTTTGCGTTAATCGTTGTTATTTTGATAAATGGATTATAATAATATGAATATATTTTTTCAGGGATGGTGGCAAGGTTCACTTAGAGGACAAATAGGATTATTTCCCGATAATTTTGTTGAAGTTATAAGTTCAAAAAATGACCAAGAACATGATCAATGTCAAGAGGCAAATCAAATCGGGTCAAAAATTAAGCACTCAATAAAACGAACTGAAAAAGCGCACAGAAAAAGTCTAGATTCTAAGACCGCTAAGACAGGTAAAAAAGAAACATTCTTTTTTTTTTAGTTGTAAATATAATGAATTTAAATATTTGAAATTTATTTTTGAATATAGATACAGTTGGTAAGAAAGTATCGTCACCATCTTCACCTCCAGGAAGCGGAAGTAGTGATAAAAAGTCTATTTTATCTAGTTTAAAACGCCTCGTAGGCGACAATGGCAGTAGTAATAATAATAATGGAAACGGAAGCGTAAGTATGGGTTTAGAGGAAGAATTGGACGGCGTTGAACGAGGAGAAGGTTTACCTCTTTCACATTTGACGGCCTCCAGAGCTAAAGCCCCACGAAGACGACCTCCTACTACTCAACATTTACGACACACGGCTGCATCTTCAATTACTTCATTAACTACTTCAGGAACTGCTGTCAACGTAGTCAGTATTTTTATATAATTATTAATATTTATTTTAATAGTAAATACTAAAATTACTAAATAAATTTATTCCCAAGTTTTTTGTGTAATTAATAATTTATATTTTTCTCTATTTTTTAAGGAGGATAATATGACGAATGGAAATTCTGAAAATTCGACCGAACCACTTAGAGAAGATGATGGCGATGGTCCAATAGGAAAACGAAAGCCACCATGGGTAATATATCTATTTTTCATTAATTTTTTTTTTTAATTATCGTGAGAAATAATTACAAAAAGAAATTCTCTATTTTTTTAGGTGGATGAGTTAAAGCAAAATCAATTGGAAAGAAAAAAGCATGGAATTGATCGAGTGGATAAAAGCGAAGTCAAAAAGGAAAGAATAATTACAAGGTAAATCAACAATAATTGAAATAGCAAGATTTTTTTTTTAATTTAATAAAAAAAAAAAAATTTCTTTCAGTTTTCAACGACTACGAACATCGACAAATGTGGCGGAAGTTGGCATAAAGCCGGAGACAGGTACTGAAGAGAAATCGAAAGAAAATGAAAAAGCAACTCCAACAGAATCGTCAAATCATATTTTGTCGACTACTGCAAATACCACACAACCAGCCTTTGTTCCGTATCATTTATATAGCCAACTTTTAGATAGGGTAAGTTGTACATTTAAATTAAAAATAATTAAATGATAGGAAATACAAATTTGAAAATAATTTATAAATCAACTCTAAAGAACAATATTTTATTGCTTTTGTCGAAAATCTTTGAATTACGTGGTGAAAACTGAAAGAAAAAGATGTAATTTTAAATATGAAAAATTTTGTTTGTCAAAAGGTCGGTGTAATGGAGGAAAAACAAATAATGCTACAAAGAACCGTAAATCAACTTTCTGAAAAGTTGTCTTCATTGATGTCCAACAGTTCAACAAATGAGGAATAATTTTAAAACGGATTGCTCTCCATTTTTATTCCCTCCCTTCATTTCGAATGACAAAATTGGTTGTCGCTGTAAGTAACCTAACGTTTAGTAATTGTTATATATTATACATATAAATATATATATATATTCATACATATATATATATTTATTAATATTGAAAGCAAATCGGGATGAAATTTTACTAATTGCATTTAAATCGAAGACTTATCTTAAACGCAACATTCCAAGTAACATTCTATTATTTCAAACATTTTTAATCAATATATATAATTGACGACTTTTTTTGCGTATAGAAAGAAAAAAACGAATATTTTTTAAAATTATGCATGGTGGTAATTGAAACAAAAGAAAACCGAATATTGAAACTACGCAAAAAAGAAAGAAATTCGGTTAGTGATTTGTAAGTACTTTGTAAGTAAATTAAAAAAAATTTATTGACCATAAGAAGCAATTTTAAGAAATTAGTACTGTAAGTTTCTTTGACTCGTTGTGCCAACACGTTCCGAGTTCTCAGTTTTTTTAACAGACAAATCACGAATATGTAATTAAAAAAGAAACAAATTAAATTACAATTCAACTTGAAAAAATGTGAAATTAATCAAATTTAGTAACAATTTCTTTTTTAAGAGAATGAATTTTAATTAACTTCTAGTCGTATTTAACGAAATTTTGATTGAAAATAATTTTATAGAAATAATTCTTGGAAGAAAATTTTTAACTTATTTCTAATACTATTAATTAAACTAATGAAAAAGAAATAATTGCATTTCGTTTTGTCCGGTGATTAGAGTAAGAAATTGTGATTTAGTAGATCTGAGCAAGAGTAATGTACAGAAAGAGAAAGAAAGAAAAAGGAAATAACCTTTTAAAAAAAATTAAATTCTCAGATCAACGTAAAAATAAAAATAAAATGACGAAAAGAGATTGATTTCACAAAGAATGATCATGATATAAAAGAAAATATCGTTGCGATGAAATTGCTTTATAAAAAAAAAAAAAAATGATATAAACATAATAATTTTTTTCTTATTTTATAATTCTGATCTGTATATATTTAAACACCGAGCCATTATTCCAAAAATCATGGAAAAAAAATATATATATATATTCCTGCGCTTTGTTATGGTTTTACATGGTGCTGTCAGAAAAAAAATATAGTTGTTAAAAATAATAATAATTATTATTAATAATAATTAATGAAACAAAACAAATATTAATAAATACATAATAAATAATGTGAAAAAAACATAATCGCAAAGAATACATAATCATAATGAAAAGCATCAATGTGCAATAAAAGCTTTTTATATCGCGAGCAGGTATTTTGCTATTCGACCAATACTTTTTTCAATAGACCAATTATCTTTCACCTGAAATCAATCATTTTGTACTTTTATAGAATGAGAATCGTATTTTCATTAAATCAGATTTAATTTATTTATGTAAGAACTAAACACTTTTTTATCAAAGTGATATGACAAATATCGTACAAATTTGTCTTGTTAAACTACAAAAAAAATTTTTTTGTCTAGATAAACTTAATAACAATTCGTCTTAACGTAATATAAATTTTATTTTAGAGTTGTTACATAAAAGTAAATCAACTCTTGATGTTGTGCATAATAATCTAATAACTAAATAAAAATAGAAAATATCCCACGAATACTATTTTTTATATTAAAATTTTCCTGTATAAATACTTGAATTAACAATTTTGGGTTTTATTAATTGTTTAAATATTTAAATTAAAATTTTTGAGTTTGATGGATTTTTAAAAATTATTATTTTCTATTTAAATAGATGTTCTTTTTTAATTTCGATAGTTTTAATGTTTTTATACAAATTTCTAAAATACAATATAAAATGAATTTCATTAACATTTTTAATACTCCAAATTATAATTTATGTTAAGTAAGAAAAACTTACATTTTAATGGTATTATTTAGTCTATAATATTATTTATTAAATTTTTATTTTTATTAAATATATAATCATTTTTTTTACAGTTGGTATAAAATGAGTAAATATTCTTTTTGTGTATTTTAAAAATGTGTATATAAACATTTTAGAAAAGTACAGATGAAGCTCGTTTATTTGAAAATCAATTGAATTTAAATTATCGAGGTTCTACTGTATTATGGAAATTAAAATTGGAATTTAAAAATAGTTCATTTTTAATTAACACTTCTTATTCAGGGAACAATACCGGCTATATTTTTTGCAAAAAAAAGCAATTTGTACAAATGTATCAAGAGTCGATTTAATTAAATATAGTATATTTACTGCTTGCTTCCGATAATTGCTGTGTAATTAATATTATACTGGGAATTCGGTCCCTTGCATTTTCGTGATATTCCATTAATACGAGTCTTAAAAATAAAATAAATAATGTTGGGTGCAGCTTACAAATCTACGTTAATATTATATATTATATTACCATAGTATAATATTATATAAGTTAATGTCTGAATTAACGTTTGTGAAAAATTCAGACATTACTGATTTAATCTTTTTTTTTTTAAAAAAAAAAAAAAAGGTTCTAGATTTTTAAGAGCAAACACTAAAAACAACGTTGAGGATTGTGGATTTAAGATAAAGAGAAAGAAAAAGAAAAGAAAATTGAAACCTATATGTATATAGCGTATATCTAGAAATAAAATGGATTTTATATTTTCTCTCGTTTCTCTCATCGAGTCAATGTTAGGCATATTGTGCCAAGACTTAAAACTCGTGTGTGCATTTGTATATATTTTATTTGAATATAAAAAATTTTTTTTTTCTTTACTCGAGTATTTAATTCAAATTACCTGCATTAATCTTCGTCCAGTTTTCTTTTTTTCAGAATTTGCTTTTTAGTGATTCTCTCTTATGTGCGACGACCATTGACGTTTTTATTTTTTGACTTTTTGTATTTTGCTGGCGGTATTTCACAGATGAAAGGACATTCGACATTACATGGCAAAACTTTCCAATATGGTGAGTCGTTTAAATTTGGACGATATAAAGCGACACAGCCTCGTGAATGAGACGGTTCTCTTTCACCCCATGCTCGATAATCGAAACATTCCAGTGGCTCGTCTTGTTACAAGAATATTGGTAATTAAACAAATTTTAGTTTAATTAAAAATATTAATATATTAGTCAATTATTTATTAATATAATTTAGTTAGTAAATTATTAAGCAATAATTAATTAGTAATTAGTATTGATTTGATTTTTGTTTATCATACCGAATTCATTTTTCCAAGATCTTTTCTCGCCCTGACTACTTAATCCAACGAATGTTGGAACATTGCCAATTATTCTCATCAAACCTTCAGTTCGTTCTTCACTAATAACATGTGCCAGGGTTGCATTTAATTTTCCACAAACGAGTTGTGCGGCAGGAAAATTAAAGGGCTCTTCAAAAAATAAAAATAATCCGACACGAGGAACACAGGATAAACTTCCATTGGTTGCTAAAGTGAGAAATTTATAAAATAAATAAATAAAATTCAAATTAATTTCTCATAAAAATTCAATTACTTACAATTGTCATTGCCCCATATCCAATAAGGATATGAACTATAGTATTTAATTCCTGTTGCATTTTGAAGAGCTGTGAAATTATGAACTTCAGGACAATCTAAAGCTACACAATTTGTTTTCGACAAATGATTGGCACTGAAATCTGAATTTAATTTAAAAGCATTTTTTTTTAAATTCAGATTTGAGAAAGTACTCACCACTTTTGAATTTCTCACGACCAAAATTGAAAGCCAGAGCTTTTTTTGATTCCGCAAATTCTTTACATTTCTCCACATTTAACACTTCTTTTCTTGCAATGATTGTTTTTAATGATTTTGCATTTGATTTTACTAAAATATAGCCGGGCGATTCTCGTAAACCAATTTGACAGCATTTATCGCAAAATATAATCGTACAATTTAGAATGAAAATAAAGTAATAAAATAAAATTAACATTATTAGAATGAATAATTTCTATATATGGAAACGAATCAGAATTACAGTGTCCTGGGAAATGATGTGTAGGCAAATTATAAATTTTATAATAACCGGATTTTAACGTCGGAAGTATTATAAAGATTCATCGGAAATGTTACGCAACAAAATGATGAACAATTTACGTTTTATTTTTCTGTATCACGAGCAAAACAAGAGAAGTAATGGAAAAAAGCAAATAAATAGCTTTTGTAAATATTTATTTTAACAATAAATATTACATTTCTTCTAGGCTTCTTTTTTCATCAAAAATATATTTTCTGTTATTTAAATTAATTTCTTTTTTTTTTTTTTTTTTTTTTGATTGAATATTTTGATTCAAGTGCAATTTCTTTTTTTTTTGGTAAAATCTCTTTAACAAAAAATTGCAATTGACTATATATAATACAATAGCTAGAAATTATTTGAGCAAGAAAAAATATTGTATTAATTAAAAAAAAAATACTTATAGGCCTTGTGCGAAACAATATTGTGACTATTATTAATACTGAAAATATTTCAGTTAAAATACTGTATAGCATATTTAAAATATTCATAAAATTCATGTAATTTGAAAATAAAATAAAAAAACAGTTTTCCGGCAACTGTTTCTTTTTTTTTTTTGTTCAATCATAAAAACGTAAAATTTATTTTATAAAAAAAAAATTAAGCTCCTAAAAGTTGGTCTAGAGCGTTTGTTACTTGTGCAAAAATTTCATCAACCGATCCTTCAGCATTTATCTAAAAATGTTAAAATAGTAATTTTAACAAATAATAATATATGATTAAAATAATTCATTATTATTAGAATGTTGTATTTATATTTACATTTGGTTTTATGGTAAATTTTTTTTATAATTTTTGCAAAAAATAGAAGAAATATGGAGAAACTTACTTGAACAACTTTGGGTTTAAAATGATTGACGATTTCTCCATTTTTTTCATTAAAAATTTCAATCCTCTTTTTTATAGTTTCTGCATTATCGTCGGCTCTCTGTGTAGCGGCAGCTGCTGCACGTCCCATTAATCGTTTCTGAAGAGTTTCATTAGCAACGTCGAAGAAAAAAATTAGGTCAACTGGACACACCTAAGTGACATAAACAAATGAATGATAACAAATTTCAATTACTTTAATTATAATTCCTAATTTTTACTATATTTTAATATTATTATTATTTTTTTTTTTAAATTATAAACATACGTCTTTTTCAAATTGAATTCCTTGATCTTTTTCACGAGGATAACCATCAATTAGAAAACCTTTTACTGAAGGATTTTCTTCTTGTTCTTTGGACATTCGATCCTTTATTAATTGTAGAACAATTTCCTATAATTATAATAAATAATTAACAAATAATTATTTCAGAAAATTTGTTTAAAATTAAATTTAATGAAACTGTTTTTAAAATATTATTATTAATTTAGTATTTTTTTTTTTTTTTTAGAACTTACAGTGGGAACGAAGAGACCTTTCGACATGAGATCCTGTAATTGTGCACCTCTTGAACTTCCACTGGCAACTTCTTCTCGCAAAAGATCACCACTGCTGAGATGAATAAATCCATATTTTTCAATTATTTTATCACATTGAGTTCCCTTTCCACAGCCTGGACCACCGATCACCCACAAGGTTTTCATATTAATTATTGATTTACTTTTGGTATCTTTATTTGAAAACGTAATTGGTTCCCACCAAGTTTTTAATTTGCAATCTGTTACAAATTCCCTTTTATCGATGCAATTATTCTGAAAACAAAAGAAATAAATTAAGTTTTTATAAAATTTATAAAAAAAATTTACTAAAGAAATTGAAATTAAATAAACAAATTAAACTATAATGAATTTTATTTTTGTTAATAAATAATTGAATAAATACAAAATAAGAGAAAAGTGAAATTAAATTTACAAAAAAAGGGAATCATTATTATTTCTGTAAATTTTTAACAATGTTCTCTGTATAACGTAATATTTTCTCACGTCCTTGTCATAGATCAGTCGTCATCAAATATTCTACTCGTCTTTTAATAGCTTAATATTTAGAATATATAGCTGCCTCAGTTATATTTTATTTTCAGCTCACGTAACTTTTTATCTAGGCTCTATTATTCATTAACTATAGAAACAATAAGATGTTTTTTTTTTTTTAATTTCAAAAATATACAATAGAGAATTAAATTTTCTTTTTTAAATAAACAAAACCTAATTAACTATAAATTAAAACAAATTGAAATTTAAAAATAAAAAATATAAATAAAAAAAAGAAGTCAATTTGAAAATTGAATTAAAAATAAAGTATAATTTTTTTTGTACCTGCTATAAATTTTTAAAATTATTTAAAACTCACCAAAAAATTGTTTTTAAAAATCAAAATTATTTCCGTTTATACACAGTTAAACAAAGTTAAATCACACATGTACAGAATGCAAATTCACTTTCAGGAATGCAGCAATAATTCACAAACTGTTATAATTTAGTTAAAATTTAATAATTAAAAAAATATTTATTTAAAATGAATGAAACGCGACCGTTTCTCTGCAATAAAATTTCGAATGAATCGATTCACCATTTGGATACAAGTCCGCGGCAGAAAATTAAACGATTGATAAAACTGCGCAATCGCGTATTATAGTTCAGGGTTAAATTCATGTTAAATTGCGGAAACCAAATCTAGAGCAGATTTTTCCTAAAAAAAAAAAAAAAATCACGATTCTATTCTTTTGCATTTGATTAACAAATTTAAAAAAAAATTAATTTCAATTTAAAGAAATATCCAATTATTTTTATTCATTATAGAAATTATTTTTAATTAATAGCAATAATTATCTATATTTTTATAATAGTCAAACTTAAATCTTTTTAATTTTCACTTAAACTTTATTATAAGTAAAAAAAAAATTAAATAATACATGAATCTTTTTAAATATTTTGTTTATTGTACTTACTTATTTTTATGAAATAAATTAATAACTTTAATTTTCAATTTTGATTTTATTCAAATTTACTCTAATTCAGTTAGTTGTCATTCAAGAAAAACAAATATTTTGTAAATTGTTATAGTATAAACAATCAAAATTTGCTTATATTGATGAATTAAACTTTTTATGAGAAAAGTGTTTTACTTTTTAAGAGAAAATTGTTTTTTCAAATATTTCCTTGTTTTATATTTAGTCAATTCACTTTACCTTTGCTTTTCTATTCTTGTCGCTCACTGTTGTCAATGAATTGGTTTCCCAAAAGATCTTACATAAAAGTAAGAGAACAAGTAGTTGCACATGTATAAGTTGTATAACATTATTATTATTACAATTGTGTTTGCGCCTGATCATGCGCGTTTATAATTATGGCGCCAATTTTGTGAGAAAAAAATAAAAACACGTGAGCACACAGAAATTGTAATTGTATAATCAAGAATAAAATTTAAACTAAACGATTTTCCGTTTTGCTCGATACACAAAAATAAAACACGCATTTCAATGTTACCGGAGCATTAAAAATAAATTTTCCGTTACAAAACATTGCATTACTTTTTTAAAAATAACTCCCTATTTCTGTTGCAAAAAAAAAAAAAAAAACCTTTTTTCTACGTTTATATCCACTGAATATTTGTATATAAAAATATTCATTTTAATTGGAAAATTCATGCATTTAATAATTATTTAATTGATTCGGTATTAAATCTTTTTACAGTTTAAATTTTTGAATCAAATTTTCCCGCGCAAGAATACCAACTGTCAAATGGAGCGGAAAAAACATTACTAGAAAAACTAAATCCCCTGTGTCAAATAACCAAAAATTGTAGTCGGCAATTTTGTGTGTGAACAATAACCGAATAAAAAGTTTTTTAATTAACTTATCAAGTGTTATTTTGTTTAAAAAATCATAAAAATGGTGAGTTTTAATCTTGAAAAAAGATATTTCAATTGTTTATCAAGTATAGTGAAAAATTCTGTTGTTTTTTTTTGAAAATTGACAAATGAATGCTGACAACACGCGGTTACACACCTATATTTTCGTTTTTAATAAATATTATTAGTGTTAATTGGTTAATTAATCATTTGCATTATTCTTATTATAATCAGAATGAAAGAAACATTTTTTAAATATTATTTTATTTACGCACCTGATCTGTTTTTAATATCTCCGATGTATCTTCGACGTTTCCTTAGCCTAACCTTATAAGGACATAAACTTGTATAACACGCTTTCTTCCTAGTGATGAATTATTTTGAAAATTATCCTGAAAGCATTAATTAAAAATCGATTATTAAAAAAAATACTATTTTTTATGTCACACAATTGATTTAAAAATACAGTAAATTAAAAATTTTGATTTGTCCCTGTTTTATATATTAATTTTGAAAATTTTCAACTGTTAAAAAAGAGTAGATTTTCACTTGTTTTTTTTTTATCTGAAATTATAACGTTAAACAAAAAATGTGTTTTTAACCAATAAAAAATAATTGTAAAGAGATTGTTCAAAAAGAAAGATATTTAACGAAAATAAAAATGGGAAGATATATGAAAGTAATTGAATAATTAATAATGAATTTATTTTAATTGTGTGACTAATTGCAAAATATTTCTTTTTTTCAGCAACCACAAATCATTTTATTGAAAGAAGGTACGGATTCGTCGCAAGGCAAACCGCAACTTATTTCAAATATAAATGCATGTCAATTGGTGGCGGATGCTGTTCACACAACTCTAGGTCCTCGTGGTATGGACAAACTTATTGTTGATCAAAATGGAAAAAGTACAATTTCCAATGACGGGGCTACCATTTTAAAGCTATTGGATATCATTCATCCTGCAGCAAAAACTTTAGTCGATATTGCCAAATCACAAGATGCGGAGGCAAGTTTTATTTATTAATTTCAATATTAATTATCTCTACCAATCAGATAATAATCTTTAGAGAAAAGATGAGTATTTTGATGAATAAAAATAAACGTAGAGTAAAAGAATATGAACTTTAGACTAACAATTTCTGTTAAGATTAGAAATTGTTTCACAAATGTTCGTACATTTATTTATACTAGAATTTTGTTTTTTAAATTAATAAAATTTATTTCGCTAATTTATTAAAAAAAAATTTTTGATTTAGATCGGCGATGGCACGACTAGTGTCGTACTTCTTGCGGCTGAATTTTTGAAACAAGTGAAACCATTTATCGAAGAGGGTGTCCATCCAAGAATTATAATTAAGGCCTTTCGTCAAGCAATTGATATGGCAATTGAAAAAATAAAATCACTAAGCATCAAAATTGAGAATTCTGATGTTCCAAAACAAAGATCTCTTCTCGAGGAATGCGCCGCAACAGCTATGAATTCAAAATTAATTCACCAACAGAAAGAATTTTTCAGTCGAATGGTAGTTGATGCTGTTCTTTTGCTTGATGATTTATTACCACTCAATATGATTGGAATCAAGAAGGTAATATTTTTCTTTTTAAATTAATTAATTAGTATTTTTAAAAACAAATTTAAAAATCAGGTTTCCGGCGGAGCCTTAGAAGAATCGCTCCTCGTTGCCGGTGTGGCGTTTAAGAAAACATTCTCCTACGCTGGATTTGAGATGCAACCGAAAAAATATTCTCCCTGTAAAATTGCCTTGCTAAACATTGAATTGGAATTGAAGGCGGAACGCGATAATGCTGAAGTTCGTGTTGATAATGTTACGGAATATCAAAAAATTGTCGACGCCGAATGGCAAATTCTCTATCAAAAATTGGAGAAAATTCATAAAAGTGGAGCCAATGTTGTCTTATCAAAATTGCCAATTGGCGATGTGGCCACTCAATATTTCGCCGATCGAAATATGTTCTGTGCAGGAAGAGTTGCCGATGAAGATCTCAAGAGAACAATGAAAGCCTGCGGTGGAGCAGTGATGACAACTGTTCACGATATCAGTGAAAATGCTCTTGGAAAGTGTGAATCCTTTGAGGAGAAGCAAATCGGTGGAGAAAGGTTTGAATAATAATTAACTAATTCGAAGAGAGGAAAAAAAAGAAAATTACGAAAAATAATTGTTTCTTTTTTCAGATTCAATTTTTTCGCAGGATGTCCTAATGCAAAAACTTGTACTTTTGTATTGAGAGGTGGCGCCGAACAATTTTTGGAGGAAACCGAAAGATCATTACACGATGCTATTATGATTGTCAGACGTATGATAAAAAATGATGCCGTTGTCGCTGGCGGTGGCGCAATTGAAATGGAACTTTCAAAAACTCTTCGAGATTATTCGCGTGTAATTGCAGGAAAGGAACAACTCATTATTGGAGCTATTGCCCGTGCCCTTGAAATTATACCAAGGTATGAAATTCGATATTTTCCCCCTTTTTTTTTTTTAAAGAAAATTGAATATGATTTAGACAATAATTTTATAAATAAATATTCTAGACAACTTTGTGATAACGCTGGCTTTGACGCGACAAATATTCTCAATAAACTCCGACAAAAGCATCATCAGGGAAAATGTTGGTACGGAGTAGATATTGTCAATGAGGACATTGCTGACAATATGGACGCTTGCGTTTGGGAACCAGCGATTGTAAAAATCAATGCATTGACCGCTGCATGTGAAGCCGCTTGTCTTATTCTGTCAGTTGACGAGACAATTAAAAATCCTTCGAGTCAACAACAACAACAGGGTGGAGGTCGTGGAATGGGCAGACCTATGTAATTAAGCTTAGGAAAAAAAAATCGATATACGATTCGAAATTTAAATTAACTTCTCTAAAAAAAATTGCTATTCACAAAAATTTGATTTTGTTTTTGTGAATCATCGAGTAAAATTATTATTATTATTATTATTTTTTTTTTGTTTACAACACTGACATTTTTTTCAAATATGTACCGTTAAGTAAAATACAAAATGCCTTTTTTTACCGAAGACTCATTTTTTCATTGTATTTATATTTCAATAATTCCAAAATTCTCTATAGTAGAATTTTCAATTAAACTAATCGAATAGAAATATATTTTCACGTTTGGTTTAATTTTTTCTTAAGAAGGATTAAATTTAGACGTTTTAATGTGTCATTCACCTAAAATTTTCAACAAAAAAAAAAAAAAATTACGTTTCAAAATCTTCAAACAGGTTCAAAATGGTTGGGGAGAAAAAAAATTGGCTAACTTCACGTGCGGCATGTTTAGATAAAGAGGAACTCTTCCGTATTTCAAAATTAACGCATATTTGTAAAAAATTCCGGTGATATCATACAAATGTTTTTGATTAGAATAATAAAGTGTCGATCCACCTTCTCCTTTCCTAATCAATCATTGAAATTGATGAGGTAAGTCGTTAAAATAATATATGATTATTTTTGAGGTTAGTTGACAATTTATAAAAAAAAAACAGCTGTGGTCTGTGTGTGTATTAAATTCAGCTTCTCTACTTTGAATATAAATAATACTTTGACAAAAATTATTACTTATTCAATTTCTTAATTTTGTGAAATTGGAGGAATTATATATATATGAAATTAATGTAAGTACATAAATTAATTTGTTTACATGACAGCACTTTTATAACCTCACCATCTTGGTTATTTGATAAAAAAAAATATTGTTCATTTTTATAAATACATATATTTTAAAACAATAATAATTTTTTTTTTCATTGCCTATAGGATTCTTCTTATTTGACAACATTTTGCAATTTATATTGATTGAATTTAAACAAAAAAATGACATCGTTTAGTGAAAATATTGACACTTCACTGACGGATTCATCTCCTTGCAAGTAAGAATTTTTGTCAAATTAAAAATTAATGATTCTCAATATTATAAACCATACTTAATTGCAATTATTACATTATTTTGTTAATAAAAAAAATTTTTTCAGACAAATGTCCTCGGAGAAGAAATCCTTTACATCAAAAGACTCATGTCAAGAAAATGTCAAATTTCGGAGTGATAAAATTGAAAAATCACCTAATGATAAAAAGGAATATAGAGGCCTTATATTATCGAATGAAATGAAAGTTTTGTTAATTAGCGATCCAACAACGGATAAAAGTGCTGCAGCACTTGATGTTCAAGTTGGTGAGTAATTTTTTGCATGTATGGAAAAAATTTTTTTTAAAAAAAAAAGAAGAAAAAATATAAACTAAATGATACAAAATTTCCTTTTTTTTAAGGTCATCTAAGTGATCCTAAAGAGATACAAGGATTAGCTCATTTTTGCGAACATATGTTATTCCTAGGAACGAAAAAATATCCCGAACAAAATGAATATCACACTTATCTTTCGCAAAACGGTGGTCACTCAAATGCCTTGACATATCCCGATAATACGTGCTATTATTTTGATATTAATACTGATAATCTTGAGGATGCGTTGGATCGTTTTGCACAATTTTTTCTCGAACCTCTATTTACAGAATCAAATACTGAACGTGAAATGAAAGCAGTTAATTCGGAGCATGAGAAAAATTTGGCAAATGATACATGGCGTTTAAATCAACTTGATAAATCATCGGCAAATTTAAATCATCCTTATTCACAATTTGGTTCTGGTAGTTTAGAGACTCTTGATATTATGCCAAAACAAAAAAATATTGACGTTCGTCAGGAATTACTTAATTTTCACAATAAATGGTATTCCTCAAATATTATGGCACTCAGCGTTCTTGGAAAAGGTTCATTTATGAATTTCATTTTTTATTAAAAAAAAAAAGTTTTCTATAATTTAAAAAAAAAAAAAAATGTTAATGATAATTTCAGAGAGTTTGGACGATTTGGAAAAAATGGTTGTAAAATTGTTCTCTAATATAGAAAATAAAAACATTGATGCTCCCAAATGGACGGAACATCCATTTAGTGAAGAACAATTTCAATGTAAATGGTACGTTGTACCAATCAAGGATGTAAGAAATTTGGGTATAACTTTCTATATTCCGGATTTACAGGAATATTATCGATCTTCTGTAAGTTTATCTATATATTTATAATAATCTAATTTGCCGGAAATGTAAATTAGTTTCTATTTTTCTAGCCTGCGAGTTATTTGTCACATTTATTGGGACACGAAGGAGAAGGATCATTGCTTTCGTTTTTGAAAGCCAAAGGCTGGTGTAATTCATTGGTATCTGGTGGAAAAGCAGGTGCTCGAGGTTTCTGTTTTTTTAACGTCTGCGTCGATCTCACGGAAGAAGGACTCAATCATATTGATGATATTATTAAATTAGTATTCCAATATATTAATATGATTAAAAAAGAGGGACCTTTGGAACGATTATATAATGTAATTATAATATATTTATTTTTTTTGTTATAAATAATATATAAAATAATTAAATTCATAGGAAAATAGAGACATCGCGCAAATGAATTTCCGTTTTAAAGAGAAATCATCACCTTGTAGCTATGTGCATTTTATAGCAAAAACATTGCCAGAGTATCCAATTGAAGAAATATTAACAGCTACATCATTATTTTTTGAATGGAAACCGGATCTTATTGAAATGGTTCTTGGTTATTTAATACCGGAAAATATTCGAGTTCACATAATAGCTCAAGCTTATGAGAATATTACAACGGACGTTGAGCCATGGTATAAGACAAAATATAAAAAAGAAAAAATACCCGCAAATATTATTAAAGAATGGAAAAATGCTGGTTTTAATTCCGATTTGAAATTGCCAGCTAACAATGAATTTATTCCAACAAAATTTGATTTAAAACTTGAGAATTCTGTCGTAAGTTGCATTTTTTCATTGTTATAAATTATAAATTTTAGTTCTACTTTTAAAGTAAATTTAATTTTTAATTTTGTAAAATAATTTAATTATAAAATATGATTAAAATTTTCAGATAGATAAATATCCAAAAATAATTGAAGATACTCCGTTAATGAGAGTATGGTTTAAACAAGATGATGAATATCGTTTACCAAAAGCAAATATAACATTTGACTTTGTCAGGTAATATTTTATTATTAATTTTTTAAATTGAATTTCATTTTAATTTGATTAATTAATTTTCATTTATAGTCCACTCGCTTATATCGATCCAGGAAGTTGCAATAATACCTATATGTTTGTGCAATTATTTCGTGATGCATTAAACGAATATACCTATTCTGCCGAATTGGCTGGTTTAAAATACGAGCTCAATAATAGTAAATATGGAATAAACGTAAGTGATAAATAAAAATTATTTTGCAAAAGTTTCTTTTTTTGAAAACTCATTTTTTTTATATTTTAGCTCTCCATTGGTGGATACGATCATAAACAACTTGTTTTATTGGAAAAAGTAATGGATAAAATGATGAATTTCAAAATTGATGAAAAAAGATTTGAAATCTTGAAAGAAAACGTTAGTAATTACATTTAATTTCTTTATATTAACAAAAACGAAAAATTATTCAATACAATAAATAGGATGTTGATTGAACAAAAAAATTATTTTAATTAATTGATTTTAGTATATCAGAGGTTTAAAAAATTTCGATGCTGAACAACCGTATCAACATGCAGTTTACTATCTCTCAGTATTATTATTGGAACAAGTTTGGGTTACACATGATTTACTAGACGCATGTGCTCGTAAGTTTATATATAATTTATATTCATTAGAATAGTTTGAAAATATTTATATTATAAATTATTATTTAAATTTGTTTCGATTTTTCAGAATTAACGGTTGAAAGCGTACGCGATTTTATACCACAGCTACTTTCGAAAATACATGTAGAAAGTTTGATTCATGGAAATATTACTAAAGATGAAGCACTGAAAATTGCGTCCTTTGTAGAATCAAAATTAACCAGCCCTAATGATTCTAATAATGGAAATATCATACCATTGTTGCCTATGCAATTAGTTCTGTTTCGTGAAGTTAGTTTAGAGCGAGGTACATTTTCCATTTATTTAAACTTGTTAATTTTTTTTTCCATTGTATCATCTATTTTCAATTTTTACCATTAAATTTCAATTTACAGGCTCACATTTTTTGTATGAAACGGAAAATAAATTACACAAACCATCATGCACGGAAATTTACTATCAAACTGGATTACAATCGACTGAATCAAATATGCTTCTTGAATTATTTTCACAAATAATTTCGGAACCTTGTTTCACAGTTTTGAGAACTGATGAACAATTGGGATACATTGTGTGGAGTGGATTGCGAAGAACGAATGGCACCCAAGGTTTAAGATTGATTGTACAAAGCGATAAACATCCTGAATACGTTGAAGAACGAATGGACATATTTATGAAATCGATGCAGGTTTGAAGATAAAAAAAAAAATATTTTTTCAAAAAAAAAAAAAATTCATTTGTGTTTATATAATAAATTTATTTTTGTTTTAAAAATAGGATCATATTAAAAACATGTCAGATGAAGAATTCAACAAACATAAAGAATCACTCGCTGTTAATCGACTCGAAAAGCCAAAGATAATGTCAACATTGTCCTCTATTTTCTGGCATGAAATTTCATCTCAGTTGTACAATTTCGATCGAGTAAATATCGAAGTTGCATATTTGCGAACAATAACGAAGGAACAGATACTTAAATTTTACGAGGTAATTTAATAAATAATTAAAAACAAAAAGTATTCAATTTTTGAATCAAAAGTATAAAGAACGAAAAATCATTTAAAATAAAATTTTAATTTCAGGATTACATAAACGATAATTCACAGTTTAGACAAAAATTATCGGTTCATGTTATTTCAATGGCAGAAGGTGGCAGTGGATTGCAAGAGGAAACTGGAGCAACAAAGAAAAATGAAGATCAACAACCAATTCGAATTACTGATATTGTTGCTTTCAAAGCAAATCATTCGCTATATCCACTTGCGCAACCATTTGACAATATTCCAAGAAAAGGGACACGATCGAAATTATAAAGTTTTTTTTAATGCAAGTATTCTAAAAAAAAAACTAAATTAGCAGCATTTACAAAAATTAATCAATTTTTAACGAGATTTTTCAATATCTTTTTAGATTTATATTTGCACGAAATCGTTTATATTTTCCCGATTTTTTTTACACGAACAAAAATTACATATTGCGGTTCAATTTTTTTAAAATTTTTATTTAAGTAAAACAAAAATCTTGTTGAGATGAAAAGAAACATGTTATTTTTTTTAATTTCTCAATTGCAGGATAAAAAATTTTTTCATAATTTATGCATAATATTAACATAATTATTTTAAATAGCAAAATGTTAGTAATTCCCTAGTTTTTATTAAAAAATTAAATTCAATTTAATACTAAATTGTAAACAATTATTTTTTTCTTAATCAAATTATTTTTTTAGAGAAATGAATTAATTTGCAATATTTTTCTTGCACTTATATATTATTGCTATATTTAATTTGAAATTGTATACAATGAAAATGAATTTTTGCAATTTTTTTTTTTAAAATGTATTTATTGATTACCTAAAGAAATGTTAATTTTTAAATAGCTACTTGTTTTTGTTTTAAATGAAAAATCTCTTCTTTTTTCTTAAAAAATAATTTTTAAAAAAGAGAATAGAATAAATCATAGATAAATGAAAATATTATGTCAAAGATTAGTATTCGAGTTATTTTAAAAAAGATTTTTTCTCACAAAATATTATAAAAGAAAAATAAGTGACACAAGGATGGAGAAGAAAAATTTCAAGGAGACAAAATTTTTTAAATAAAATATGTACAAAATTAATATTTTTCATTTTATCATTTTAAAAACAGGAAAAAAATGTCTCACTTTTTTGTGACTGAATAAAGAAAAATCATAAGGAAATATTTTTTTGCAAAAACCAATGAAAGAAACGACAGGTATAAATTTCGACAATGTTATCTCTTAAAAAACAGGGAAAACAATGTAAAAAAAAAGAAATAAATAAAATTGGTCGCAATGTTTGTTTTTTGAAATTAAATTTTACATTATGTGTGATTTAATAAATTTTTCATATTTGAATCAAATGAGAAAAATTTTTATTTAAATAACAATTTGCAATTTATTTATTATTAAAATAATATTAAATTAAAAATGTTTAGATGAAATTCACTGGAAAACGCAAATTCTCAAAATATGCATAAAAAATAAAAAACTTTACAATCTTCATAGATATAAGTCTATTTAAATACAACTCTGTATAATCTTTTTTTTCTACTCTTAAAAAAATTCTAATAATTTATTTTTTCAATTTATTTACTGATTGATTATGAATCTGATTACATAGAAATTTATGTCTCAGAATCTATCAAAATTAAAAATTAATCATCCGGAAAAAATACAATTGGTACCTTTCGAGAAGATTAATGTGATGTTGAAGATTTAATTCTTCGAAAATAGTAACTTTTGTATCCTATTTCTTTAGTGACTAGATAAATTCTCTTTAAGAAAATTTTTCATTATTATTATTATTATTATTATTATTATTATTATTATTCACAAAAAATAATTAATTAATTTTCAGAAAAAATCGAAATTTCTAAAATAGAGGAAGAAAATTATGGACCAAAAAAAAAGTCTCTTGGAGAATTGTAATATTTTTTTAATTATTTAATTTTGATAATATTATTTATCAATTTTCATTCTTTACAGGAAAGTTGACAATTTGTTCTTTAAATAAAAATAAAACGAGATTTAATTGCAGGAAAAAAAACAAGAGAGCAATAAAAAAAAATGATCCAGGATGATCACATTCCTATATAGATCTCTGTGTGGAAGGAGAATTAATCATATAGTTAAAACGAGTCAAGTACTTATATATAAAACATGAAACTCCAAGATTGGACAATCATATACTTCAGAGTTTTTGTTAAGTTCACCTCGCGCGCACAGGTTTGTTATTTTTTATTTTTCACATACAATTTGAAAAAAAGAATGTTTATTGATTTTATTTATAGATTTTCAATTACTCTTCAAATGTATTTCAAATAATTTTTTTTTCTAAACAAAAATTTTAATTTAAAAGTAACTTTTATTTATTTCTAAATAAATATAATGGTAATAATAATAGTAATAATAATAATAATAATAATAATAATAATAATAATAATAATAATAATAATAATAATAATAATAATAATAATAATAATAATGATAAATAGGTATAAAATACTAATAAATACAAACTAAAAATTAAATAATATTAAAATATTAATTATTTAATTAAAAAAAATTTTTGTTTTGTTCAAACAATAATTTTTAACAGATTAAATTATTTTATAGTTAGGTAATTATGATATTAATAATTAAATAATATTAACTATTGGTTTTTATGAAATTTCGTAAATTAATTTTCCACTTAGGAATATTTTTAATTTTAATAATATCCTTTTTTTTGCTCATTTAATTTCTATGAAGATGAGTTTTCCAGATTGTTATCTAGGTACATTGTAGATTTGTTTAATTCATTAGGTATTAAAAAAAACTATTGTATATGAGATAAAAAAAATTTTCGTAACGACTTTACTGTATTTTATATAGAAATATTCAATCTTTGATCATTATACTCAACATTACTTGCACACAAGGTGAAGGACAAATATTATAGAAATCAAGTTTATGCGATAATTATAAACACGGAGTAATTAAAAAAGAAAATTACAAAATTATTCATCTGTTTGTAAATTTTAGTATTTCAATAAATTTAATAATTATTTTATTTATATCGTCTTTAACTTGAACTTTGGAAGTAAATGGATAAAAAATGTACTACTATTAAAAATATTAAATTTTATCCAATTTATAAAGATATTTACGATAATCTTTCGAACTGTTATTAACATTTTATTTGTTGCTAAATGCACTAATAATTAATTTGTCTTTAACTATTTTATTTATAAAAATTAATATTGAATAATTCAAAGAAATTAAAAAATTTAATTAACATATAAAATTATTACTAATTTTAATTTTTAATATTGAACGTTATTTTTTTTTCTAAATATACATAATTATAATTTAATAATTTTTTCGATTTTAAAATTTCTTTTATAAATTTATTTCTTCGTTACTAATAGTAAAGAAAAAATTATTATTTACAAATTTGTAAATTTTAAAAAATAAATTCAATTTTTTTTTTTATATATTCTTGTACGAAAATATAAACGCGAGAAGAATGACGAATTTTGTATTATAGCAAGACATTGTTCGCCATAAATGTCGCGTTTGTCAAGTAACAGAATTTAAATTTTGCTTGTGATGACGCCATCAGAGATTTTTTTTTTTTTAATAAAAAAAACAAAAATGAAATATTGATATATCTCAGTATGGGATTTATGATATTGCCGTGTGGCTAACAATGAAGGCATGATTTTTACCTTTTTGAAACACGATAAATAAAAAGATTGAAGATGAGATGAAATTAATGATGATGATGATTCTTTTATGTTATTTTCATTAGAGAATTTGAGAGAAGTGAAATCATGACAAGCAAAATAATCTTCACACTTGTCATCACGATTACAGCAATGGTTTCCTTAAGTACCACAAATAGGCCCCCATATATTCAGTGTCAAAGTAGTGAAGAATGCCCCCCAGGATCTTGTTGTACATTGCGTAAGTTACTATTTAATTGTGTTTTTATTTTCATTTAGAAATTAGAGATAAAATATTACGACTAATTTTATATTTTAAATAAATACAAAAGCATGTATTTATTTTTCACGATTAATTTAATATCTAATTTATTAATTAATTTAAATAAATATTGTTATTATAGTATTATTTATAATTACATACCTCTAATTATATTGTTGTAGAACCAAATAGATATAGTTTTCCACAATGCAGTCCCATGATTAAAGAAGATGAAGTTTGTAAACCAACGGATAATATTCTCAATACAACATTAAGTTATCCAGACGGAAGTCAAGTAGAAATATGGAATGTTTATTATATTATGTGTCCTTGTGCTGGTGGATTATTCTGTGATCGAAGATCAAATGGAAAATGCAAAAGTATACGTAGCAACGAAGTCTGAAACAATATAATTTCATCAGGATAAATATTCGTATTTTTTTATGTATATAGGTACTTAAATTTGTTTCCAAAGTTTTAAATATAAGATTATATAAATAAATTACTATTATTATTGATTCAATGCAGTTTTTTTTACTGTATATTTATATTTACCTGGGATCAATTACCTTTTGTTTCTTGATTTGAAATCTTTGAAATTTTCCGCCGACTTTTTTTTTAGGCAAAAAACATAACCTCAAACATTTGACATTTGCACGACATTTGGTCTTTTAACACTTTTACAGATTTTAATAGCAATAAAATGATTAACATTATTTAAAAGGTGAATTTTTAATTTACAGCACTGTATTTGTGTTAATATAAACAGACTTTAGACAAATATATAATGGAATTAAAAACACTTTTTAATTTTCACAATAACTTTTTCCCCCGCATTTTTAGAAACTTACTTCACTTTTTACCCACTAGAGGTCATCCAGTTTGGCGGTAATATTCAAACATTTTATAAATTGTTTATTTAAAAAAAAGAATGTTTAAAAGTACAACTATAATTTTTATTTAATATGTAATTAATATTAAAACTATTATTTTTTGTCTTAATATTATTGTATTTAAATTTAATTCCAGAAAACTAAAGAAAAAGTGAAAAATATATGATTTTTGAAAATTAAATTTTAAGAAAATAACCTAATAAAAAATACAACAATAAATTGTCAAAATAGTTAAAAATAATTTTTCTAAAATGAAAATAACAATTTTCTCACACTGGTGATACTTTATATGGGCAATACTTGAAGAAGATGTAACGTTAAAATATCATGCTTCCAGTAATTTGAGAACATTTGGGAAATCCATGGATAATTCATGAGTGTGTCAATGGGTGGGAAAAAGAAACGTTTACATAAGTTTATGTAGTGTTAATTTAGTGTTTTCTTTATGAATTGTGCTTATTTTCATGTGTTATGTGGTTCTAGAGAAGAAAAGAAAATGAGTGTTCAAGATTCAATAGAAGAGTTGACAGAAATTTGCATGAATCTTCGTCACACTATTAGATCTGTTGATCAAAAAGAAAAGGAAACTATTGTTTTAAAACATATCAAGGAGTTTGCTGACACTGGTATTCGTATTTGTGACTTTCAAAAAGGTAAACTTTCTAAATTCATATCTTAACTTGCCTCCCTTTGAGAAAAGTTATTTATATATTTTCATTATTTGGCACGTCAATGACGCAGCAGCACACGCCTTTTTTATAGGTTAGAAACTTAGCCTGATTTGTTGATTTTATTTATGCGCGATAAAAGACGCATAGATTTTTTATATTTTATTTGTTTTAAAAATCTACAAAGTCTCAGAGTTACAGGTAAATTAATAAATTTTGATAAAATAATAAATTTTTGTACTATTATTGTTATGTATATATTTATTTTATTATTAAAAATTGCAAGCATTGTTGTTTTGTTTACATTCGCATTTTGTTTGTTTTCTTTTTTGCAAAAAAGTAAACAATTGCGATTTTATTGTTAAGTTTTTGTCAAAAAAATAATCATGGTGATATTTTTTATTTTCATTGAATCGTAGGCATAATTCTTCTCTCAGCTTTTGACAATGACTTCAATTTTGGATAATGAAAAACAAACAAGTTTCGAAATTGAACCTTCACTTAAATTACGTTTATCAGGAGATTCTTTGAATAATTCTCTCACAGAGGAACATATAATTAAAGATGAAACTTTTAAATCAAGTTTAAAAACAAATAATAAGAAGAATGACAATTCTTTTGAAAATTTATCTTCAAAATCAAGGCAAGAAGAAGAAATTGAAAAAGAAAAAAGAAATGTTAATGTTGAAGAAGTAAAAAGTGATTTAAAGGAAATAAAAAGTGACATTAATTTAAAAGAAATAAATAATGTTGCTAAAAAAGAGGGTATTACATTTAATTTATCTTCAAAAGATGAAGAGGAAAATCTTTTGAATGAAAAAGAGAAGGATGCATATTTAAAACTTTTGTTACTTGAAGAAGAATTAGATGAGGAGCTTTCGAAATTAAGAACCGAATTAGATTCTGTTCCATCGAAACAAACAACAATGAATTATCTCCATGAGTATAATAATATTAAAGATGCAGCTCAGGTTGTTTTGGGTGCTTTAGCAACAATGCGAGAAGTTACAATTGCAAGTTTACACAAAGAATATAATTTACCAACTGCAGACGAATGAATCTACATTCTCATAAAGTTGACTTTAATTTAAATTGTGTTACATTTTTCATTAACTCATAAACTTATCTCTCTATATTGTTATTTTATACCGAAAATGTTTATTATAAAGAGAAAAATATAATTTTTCTCCTTTAATTATTTTCTTACCTTTTTCATTTGTCTTTAAAATATTTTTTCATTATATATTCTATTCATTTTCTTTATAAGTTTTTTTTTTTCGTTTTAGTCATTTAGTTTATACCTTTTTTTTGGTTTTATAAAATATTTTTATTATAACTGCGTGTTATCTTAAATATAAGAACTGTAACTCTAATAACAAAAGACTGTTATACTAAATAAAATTTAAATAAAAACAGATGTTTTAAATACGAAATATATATATTTATTTTAAGAATTTAAGATTTAGTTGTAATACTATGAAGTATAAGAAAATAATTTTTCAAAAAGGGAGAGCAAAAATTATACTAGTACAATTGATATTATATGCTAGAAATAATACAGGTATTTAAAATTAATTTTAATGCAATTCTTTTAAAATAATTTTTAAATATTTTTTCAAAAATTAAGATTGATTTTTGTTTTAATTTGTATTTTTTTTTTTAATAGGCCTGGAATGGTGCAATGTCTCGGAAGAAATATCGGTAGTCAAACATCTCACTGGCAAGATTACGATTCTGGATTTTTTCACATATTGTTGTATCAATTGTATGCACATTCTACCGGATTTGGATGCCCTTGAAAAAAAGTATTCTATCGAAGATGGACTTGCAGTTGTTAGTATTTTTTTTTTGTTTAATAATATTTTTTCTTCTTATTTGAAAATTTAATTATTTAAAAAAAAAATTACAGATTGGAGTTCATAGCGCAAAATTTGCTAACGAGAGGGATTCGGAGAAAATTTTATCAGCCGTGCAACGATATAACATAGCGCATCCAGTTGTAAATGATAGTAAATTGTCTATGTGGCGCGATATTGGAATATCTTGCTGGCCAAGTCTTGTTATTTTAGGTAAATTTATCCATTTAAAAAAAATATTAATTAAGATAAAAAATTTTATATTTTGTTCGATTTTTAGTATTTCTAGAATAAATAATTTTTTTACAGGACCAAAATTGCAGCCATTATTCGTTTTAGTCGGAGAAGGACACAGGGAATTATTATTTCTTTATGTGCGAGTTGCTCTTGATTATTTTAATTCTTTAAATCAAATTTCAAATCATACGTTGCCTTTAAATTCCGTCCAACATTTATTACCGGCCTCCAGAGGAAATTTACTCTTCCCTGGGAAAATAAATATATTTGAAAGTCAAAATGGTGAAAAACTAGTTATTTCCGATACGGGAAATAATCGAATTTTAATTATGAATGAAATGGGAAAAGTGGAAATTGTAATTGGTGGTTGTGCTCCAGGTTTTGAGGATGGTAGTTTTGAAAAAGCAAGATTCAATGCACCGCAGGGTGTTTGTACTCTTGAAAATTGTATTTTCGTCGCTGATAATGAAAATCATGCCATACGAAAGGTAAAATATATTAATTTTCACAAATATATTTTTTAAAGAATTTTTTTTTATTCCTCGTTAATTTTAATTAATTTAAATTACAGATAGATTTAGTGGGGAAAAATGTTATCACTATAGCTGGAAATGGAATTCAAGGACACGATTATTCAGGAGGAAAAAGTGGAAAAGATCAACTTCTTTCTTCACCTTGGGATGTGGCAATTTATCAACATAATCAAGCTGAGCGCAGCGTTCCTGTACTGATGATCGCTATTGCTGGTATTCATCAAATTTGGGCTCTTTTCTTAGAGGATACAATTTGGTGGAAGAAAAAGTATGTTTTCTAAATTTTATACTTTAACTTAAAAAATATGTAAATTAATAAAAATGATATATATTTTATTTGTAATTTTAGGAATTACAAGGCCGGAACTTGTGTGGCAATTGTAGGAAGTGGAAGAGAAGAAAATCGAAATAATTCCTATCCCCATACAGCGAATTTGGCACAACCTTCGGGTCTTGCAATTTCACAGGAACTCAGGTCTGTTTTCTTCGCTGACAGTGAAAGCAGTGCAATTAGAAGAGTTCATCTTGATGATGGAAAAGTCTCTGCTGTCTGTGGAGCCGATAAAAATCCATCGGTAAGTAAAAAAAAATTTTTTATTAGTTTAGAAAATGAAAAATTATCTTTAAACGAAAAATTAATTAATATTACGAATCGATTTTTATATTATTTTCATAGAATTTGCATTGTTTTGGTGATATTGATGGAAAACAATATTCAGCAAAATTGCAGCATCCACTTGGAGTTGTTTGGGATTCTTCCCGGGAAATGATTTATATTGCCGATACCTATAATCATAAAATTAAGAAAGTAGATCCAGATGGAAATTGTACAACTTTGTATGGTGCAGAAAAACCAACAATCAATCATAAGGTTTTTTAAAATACGTATTTTACATTTTTTTAAAATTAATTTTCATTTAAAAAAGGCGTAATATTCAATTTTTAAAAAAGACTGTTAGGTCATATAAAAAATCAAATAAATGTTGATATTTTTTAGTTCAATGAACCCAGTGGATTAGCATTAAATAATGCAAAGAAAATTCTTTACATTGCCGACACTAATAATCATTGCATTAAATCAATTGATATCGAAACTGAAAAAATCGATGTGGTAAGTTGTTTAAAATAAAATTTTGTTTGTTTGTTTAAGAAATTTAATTTTTAATTTGTTTACAGCTCTCCATTGTTATGCCAGAAGAAAAATGTAAAGTAGATAAAAAATTTGAATTTGAAACAACAATTGGTTCGAATGATGGTCAATTGAATATTTCATTTAAATTTGTTTTCGAATCAGATTTAAAATTAAACACCGAAGCTCCTCAACGATGGTCTTTATCACAAATTCCATCATCTTGGAGTGCATTAAATTTAAATGGTACTCTCGAAAATCCCATTCACGTGCAATATTCCCAGGGAAAGGAAAAACAAGAAATTTCCATTTTCCTCAATATTGTCGCTTGTAAAACAACTGAATGCATACCAATGAAAATTATGATACTATATCATGTGCATCGAGATGAAAATCAATCTTCAAATAATTGCGATAAGAAAATTGTTGATATTTTACATTTATAGTAAAGACATTTTTATTAGGGGAAATCATTTAAATTTCACAAAAGTAGAATTCATTAATTTTCATATCAATTTAAATAATTAGTAATCTTTTATCCATGTTTACATCTTTATCGATGTATTTGTTTTTTTTTTTACTATTTATATAAATAAAAAAAACAAATGTTTTATTGATAATTATTTTATAAAATAAATTGAGGTACAAAAGTAATTAAAAATGAAAATATACTTTAAAAAAATGATGCACATAAAGTTTACAAAAAGGGACTGTATACAAAACGTTACAAATTGAATAAAATTTGATAAAAAAAAAATATTAAGATTTTTCAGCTTTTTTCAATTTCTTGATAGTCTTTTTCAAGTATTGCAAGATCTTCTCTGGCTTCGGAAAATTCAGCTTCCTCCATACCTTCACCCTCGTACCAATGAAGAAAAGCTCTTTTTGAATAAAGAAGATCGAATTTTACATTAATTTGCCTCCACGCGGTTTCTATTGCTGTTGTATTAGATAACATACAACATGCACGAGGTGTTTTTGATGAGTCCGATGCTGACGTTACAATTGGAGATTGATTGTTTATTCCAATTTTAAAACCCGTGGGACACCAATCAACGAATTGGATAAATCTGGTAAATGTTTTTTTATAATTTAAATAAATCATTAATTTTTGTTAAAAAAGAAAAACAATAATTAAAAATTACTTTTTTCTCTTCATAGCGACAATTGCATCATTAATATCTTTTGGAACAACATCGCCTCGATAGAGCATACAACATGCCATATATTTCCCTTGACGTGGATCGCATTTAACAAATTGATTACACGGTTCAAAGCAGGCTGTTGTAATTTCGGCGATATTAAAATTATTATGTGACGAATTCTCCGGTATTATTGGCGAATAAGCGATCAATGGAAAACGAATACGAGGAAATGGTACGAGATTTGTTTTAAATTCAATGAGATCAACATTTAGAACGCCATTAAATCGTAATGATGCCGTTATTGATGATACAACTTGGCTTATCAGACGATTAAGATTTGTGTAAGTTGGACGATCAACGTTTAAATTTTTATGACATATATCATAAATCGCCTCATTGTCAACTATTAAAGTTGTATCAGCTACATCCATTGTCGTGTGTGTATTTAAAATTGAATTATAAGGTTCGACAATTGCAGTGGAAACTTGTGGAGCAGGATAAATTGCTATTTGAAGTTTACTTCTTTTGTCGAAATTCATCGATAAATTTTCCATTAGAAGTGATGTAAATCCTGAGCCTAATACAATATATTTTTTTAAACAATTAATTAAAATTAGATTTATAATTTAAAGATAAGATCTTATCTTCTAATTCAAGACACTTAATTTAGGATACTTTAAAAAAAAACGTTTCCAATTGAAGATACTTTTCTAATAAAAATCATGTTTCTTAAAATTCTTTTTAATTTTAATTTCATTTTATATTTTCAGATGAAAAATTAATATTCAACTATACCAGTTCCTCCACCGATGGAATGTGTGATTAGAAAGCCTTGTAAACTGTCACATTGTTCGGATATTTTTCTCAATCGTTCTATGGATTTTTCCACAATACTCTTGCCAATTGAATAATATCCTCTGGCAAAATTATTCGCAGCATCTTCGCTTCCATTGATCATAGACGTTGGATGATAGAGGCTTTTAAAAATACCACAACGAATGGTATCTTGCATCAAAAAGAAAGGTATTGCAAAATTTTATTTTTATTATATTTTTTATTCAATATCATTTTTTTTTATTTATAATTATTACCTATTACCGTGGGTTCAAGATCTATAAAAACTGAACGTGGTACCATTTTGTCATTTTTTAATCGTTGAAAAAATGTGTCATTTTCCAATTCTGTGGGAATTTTGTCATTTTTTGATACTGATCCGTCGGAATTTATTCCATGTTCAAGAAGATAAAGTTCCCAACATGAATTTCCTAATTGAATTCCAGCTTGTCCAATGTGAATTGACACACACTCACGCTAATTAAAAAAAAATAATTTTTTTTTAATTAAAATTTTCAACTTTAATCTTCTAAATACTTTTTTTATTTTTTAAATTCTTGAATTATTTTTTGACTCTTACCATTTTGAGTTATTCCAAAATAAATTAAATAAAAATAATAAATTACTCCAAAAATAATAAAATTCTTAAACAATTTTTTAATTCATTATAATTTTAAGTTTTTCCATAAAAAATTTTTTTTTGTTGATTATTTATAAATATATATAAATGTTTATAAAAGAGTATACAAAAATTTATAAGTCCTTGTTGAAAAAAAACAAAGGTTATGAATTCTTGTTTTTTTCATTTATTCTTTTTTTTTCTTTTCTCTTTTTTTTCTACGTGAAACAAATTATAACTATTGTTTACAATTCTTATTGATAAAATATCAATTAAATGAGTAAAAATAAATATAATCCTAGTGCTGTTAAAATGGATATAAAAAAATAATTTTCAATTTAAAATTGTTAGTCAAATTTAATAAAAGAATAAAAAAATTTTATTAAAACTTTGCTAGTACTGAGAGATTTATTTAATTATAAACTAAATTATATTTGTTTAATTACTATCATTTTTTTTTTGATAAGTATTAATTATTATTATTTTATAGCAACTTTTATAATAAAAGAATATAGAACCAAATACATGTTGAAATATTTAGAGATTATTATATAAATACATTTAATCCCAATGAGAATAAATCAGAGAGATTATAAAAATCACTGATTATATAAACCATCTTTGTCAAAATTTTTTCATTATTGAGCCGATTGTTAACTAAAATTTTCATTTTTCTGTGAGTAAATATTTTAATTAAAATTGCAAGTTAATTTTTTAATTCATTTATTTTAATTTATTATTAATTAGCAATGTTTTTTTTTGTTTTAGTATTCCCTTTAGTATGTGATAATGAAACTTTGGTACACTTTTTTTATTTTGATCGTTGGAGCTGTTGCCCTTCCAAGTTAGTTTATTTATTACTTTTTTTTCAAATTCTATACTAATTCTTTTATTTTTAATTAATTTCTCTGATTTTTTAAAATTAAAATTAAATATTTAATTGAATTTTAAGACAAACGAGATGTGGATGAAGAAACCACGAGAGTGATAAAGTCTCTACCTTTTATGGTAAATTAAATTTTCTATTTGTTTGAAATATTTTTTAATTAAAATCTTATTTTTTTTATTAAATCCTTTTCTTTATAATTGTAGATAACGAAGAATTTGTTTTTGTTATTTTTTTCAGGCTATAGTGAGCGTATATCGACAATATTTGGAGATTCACAAATGGGCAATTATTTTAACAGAAAAATGGATTCTTAGTTCAATAAATATTTCACCATTTAAGTAAGAAACTCTAAATTATTCTTCAGTTAACGTCTGGAAAATTTTAATTTAATTTAGGAATTTAATTTAATTTAGGAATATTGACATCACTGTTCGAGTTTATACAGATTTATTTACCACAAGAGGATATGAATACGGAGTAGAGTCAACTAGAGTTTTACAACGAAAAAACGCTAATTTATATCCACCCTTTAGTTTAATTGAGGTAAAATTTTCAAATTTCCTAATTCTATAAATATTGCTTAAACTTAAATTAAAGTTATATTTGTTTATTGAAAATAAATGAATTAAAATAAAATTAATTATGTAATAAAATAAATTAAATATTACAATTAACTAAGTTAATTATTAAAATAAATTATTAATATTCAATTAGGTAATTTAATTAATTAAAATAAAATATTTTCATTTTAAAATTTTTAGCTACAGAGTTCTATTAACTTTGGGGACTTGCGAAAACCAATACCGTTAGCTGGACCAAATTATGAATGGCAAGAGAATGAAGTAGCCTATTACTTGAATTCTGATTTTAAATTTGTAGGAGAACTATCAGAAATTGTGAGTTTTTCTACAAATGCTTTGTAATTTAATTTTATTTTTTATTAATTTACTTTCTATTTCTTTTATTTTTTTTTTACTTTTAATATAAATTGTAGGAATACTTTGAAAAATTATCAATAAAAGTAATATGGGATGAAACAAGTTACGAATCCGATTTAAATGACTGTTTGGAATCAGAAGAATTAAAAGATGATAATGAATTCGAATGTGAACCTGTGATACTCAATGGAACTCTAATTGGTTTTCTTATAGATTCTGAATGTGAAAATCAACCATTTTTGAAGATAAGTTCTATTTACAATTGGATTTTAAAAAATATTCCAGAATTACAAAATACAAAGTATCAATTTTCAGTAAACGAAAATACAATTATATTACCTGAAATTTTACAATGGAAATCGTCACTTTTGCAACGTTTGTTTGAAATTCAGAAGGCAAAAATGATTAATTTAATGAATTTCAATAATAACACATTTAACATTAAATTAGATAATGAATATTAAGAAATTATTTTAATTTTAGTTAATATTTTTAATGGTTTAAAAATTTTTTCAAGCTTCAAAAAAATGTGTAGTTAATTAAAAATATTATTTTCCTATTTAATATATACAATAAAAGCTGTTTTAATGAAAGACAGTTTTATTTTCTGCTAAGTTACAGTTTCGTTCGTACATTGAATAAAAATTCCCAATCGTTCTTATACATCGATTTCTAAATGACTAAATTCAATAGACATGAAATTCGCGAGGATAATTTCAGGAATTTCCTGTTTATATGAAGCAAATCAGAATTCGAAAAATAAAGAAGAAAACGTTTTCAAAGGCGTAAAAACAGTTTTTTTTTTAATTCCTCAGCAAAATATAAGAAAAAAAAGAGAAAAACTGTATAAAAATCCTTTCAAAATATAAAAAATGCTTTTAAAGATAAGCGTTCTTTTTAAACTCAGAGAAAATTTATTTGAATTCTAATATTCTTCTCCGCCTTCACCTTCGCCTTCCACCGAATCAAGACCAACTTCTTCGTAATCTTTCTCCAATGCTGCTAAATCTTCGCGTGCCTCGGAAAATTCACCTTCTTCCATTCCTTCACCAACGTACCAATGGACAAAAGCTCTTTTTGAATACATTACGTCAAATTTGTGATTTAATCGACTCCAGGCGTCAGCAATAGCCGTTGTATTTGCCAACATGCAAATGGCACGTTGCACTTTTGCCAAATCGCCACCTGGTACAACAGTTGGTGGCTGATAATTTATTCCAACCTGGAGAAAAAGGAAAAGTATTTTTGAGAATAATTATATTCCAAATTTTTCTATTGATAAAAAAAATTATAATCTAATAAATTTTTCAATTTTCAGATACACTTTTGAATAAATAAAATTACCTTGAATCCAGTGGGACACCAATCGACAAATTGAATTGTACGTTTTGTTTTTATTGTGGCAATTGATGCATTCACATCCTTGGGTACAACATCGCCACGATAGAGCATACAACACGCCATATATTTACCACGACGTGGATCACATTTCACCATTTGATTTGCCGGTTCAAAGCATGCATTTGTCAATTCGGCAACGGTTAATTGTTCATGATAAGCCTTCTCCGCCGATATTACCGGTGCATAAGTTGCCAATGGAAAATGAATTCGTGGATATGGAACGAGATTTGTTTGAAATTCTGTGAGATCAACATTTAATGCACCATCAAAACGTAATGAGGCCGTTATTGATGAGACAATTTGACCAATTAGCCGATTAAGATTTGTGTAAGTTGGCCTTTCAATATCTAAATTACGTCGACAAATATCATAAATTGCCTCATTGTCAACCATAAATGCCGCGTCTGAATGTTCTAGAGTTGTGTGCGTTGTCAATAGTGAATTATATGGTTCAACAATTGCCGTACAAATTTGTGGCGATGGATAAATGGCAAATTCTAATTTTGATTTTTTCCCATAATCAACCGAGAGACGTTCCATGAGAAGGCTCGTAAATCCTGAGCCAGTGCCACCGCCAAATGCATGGAATATTAAAAAACCTTGAAGTCCAGTACATTGATCAGCTAATTTTCTAATACGATCCAAAACCAAATCAACGATCTCCTTGCCAACTGTGTAATGACCTCGGGCATAATTATTCGCCGCATCTTCCTTTCCTGTGATCAATTGCTCCGGATGGAATAATTGTCGATAGGTTCCTGTTCTCACTTCGTCTGAAGAAAATTAGTTACTTGGTAAGCATCTTTTTTTTTTTTTTTTTAAATTAATACATTTAGTTACTAAATTTTGATTAAGAAAAAAATTGATTCAATCTAAAAGAACAATTTAATTAATTATTTTTCATTTTGAAATAAATTCAAATCTTGTTTTAGTAATTAATATAAAAAATATTGAATTTTCTTTTAAATTGATAATTTTTTTTTCGAAAATTTTTTTTTTTTTGAAATGAAAAACTTTATTTCTATACTTACCGACGACGGTTGGTTCCAAATCTATGAAAACTGCTCGCGGAACGTGTTTGCCAGCTCCTGTTTCACTGAAAAATGTATTGAAACTATCATCTCCACCACCGACTGTTTTGTCAGATGGCATTTGTCCATCAGGTTGAATTCCATGTTCTAAACAATACAATTCCCAACAAGCATTGCCAATTTGTACTCCACCCTGACCCACGTGGACAGATAGACATTCGCGCTGAAAATTATTTACAAAAATTTAATTTATTTGTTTTAAAAGAAAAAAAAATTATTTTCTAAATTGAATAATTTTTTCTGAATTTTTATGATTATTAATTTTGATTAATTCATTAATTACAAAAATTTTAAAGAGCCCTTTCTGTTATTCTAGAAATCTAGAAAGAGAAAGACTTACCATTTTTCGTAATTATGAATAGATGAGAAATTAGATGAAAAGTCAAAATTTAGATGCCACGGCGTCCTTTAATGTAAACTTTTTTTTTTCTTCTTCTTTTCTTGAAAATAAAAAAAAAGAAGTTTGTTTATACCTGAATGTAGCTGTTCGACTTTCAGTCAAATGACTGTCATTTTTTTTTCTCCTTTGTTAAAAATTAAAAATGATTTACGAAAACACTTTTTAACGAGAAAAAACACGCGAATATAAAAAATAAATTATGAATAAGGAAAAATTCTATTTTTTATTTTTTTATTCGCAGATGCAGCAGTTCAATGGAATTTTTAGGTTTGTAGGAAGATGAATAATTTTCTCTATAATGAATGCAGGCATTTTTTTTTTTTTTTTTTTTTTTTGGACAAATATTAGGATCAGAGGATATTTTGAGAAGTTGAAAATTCGTTTCTGTAACTGGTTTTTCAATTTTTCGTTCATTTTTGACTTTAATTTTTCTTTTTAATTGTTCATTTAAATCAGTTTGCTTTGAAAAATTGGGTAAATTTTTTATCAAAGTTTGTATTCTTTTTAATTCATCATAATTATTATTATCTTCTTCTTCCGTTGTTCTTGATAGATAATAATTTAAATCTAATAAAATGAAAGTAAATTAATATAATATTGATGAGTAAAATATTTGAAATTGAAAATTTTCATTATTGAAAATATGACAATTTTTCGGCATTTACAAATAAATTTTATTAGAATTATATTAATTATTAAATTTATCAGTCATTTTTAATTTTTCCTTTGGTAAATTTTAAAAAGGAATAAATGTTATTTTTTTTCTGCAAAATTATTGAAATCGTAAAATATCGTGTTGCTCTTGTTTGCTACTTGTTTCTTTGTCTTTTTTGAACATTTCCTGTTTACTCGTCGATAAGTCCTTCAATATCTCTTGTTCTTTCGTCTTCGTCGTCATTATCTTCATGAGCTGATGTTCTTTCTCAGCTTCTTTCTCTACTGTTATATTTATTTTCTCGTCATTTTCATGTAAGTCTAGTTTATTTTTTTCTTTATTATTATTATTATTATTCAAACTCGTACGACTACTGCTTGAATCATGATGAACCACTCTCGTTCTCATCGTAATTTCTCTCATTTCATCATCAAAAATTTCATCCAACGACGAGTAATAACCTTGAAATTTACCTTTCAAGGACAATACAGACTCATCATGCCTCCTTGTATTTTTTACTATTGAAGTTTTTCTTTCAATTGACGGCACACAAATTGTTTCTGACAAATTTGAATTCTTGCTCATCATTTTTTCTCCGCAAATTAATTTATAACTTTAAAGAAAAAGAAAATATTTCTTTTTAATAAATTATTTTTTTTAAAATATATTTTCCACATAGTGTAATTATATTTTAATTATGTCAAATTACTCTAATTAAATTTTTAATATTAATAGTGGCAATTATAATTATTGAAATTTTAATTATGCAATAATTTAATTAATCTCTTTCAGTAATATTACAATTAATTATTATAATATTAAAATATTAAACAATAGGAAGATAAGAGAAAAATACCGTAATCATAAAATAAAAATTGAAAAAAAGGAAAATTAAGTTATTAATATATTTATACATAAAGGTGAATTTCTTTTTTTTAAATGATTAAAATAAGTAAAATGAAGAGAAGAACGACATTCATGAAAGGTTTCTCACCTGATATCCTCCCCCCTGGGAACAGGTTTTTCATTACCTGTCTTCACTTCCACATCTCTTTCGAAAGTGTTTAATCTGATTTGTATATATAGAATTTACAAAAGACGGTATTAAAAAAAAAAATGATTAATATAATCATGAAAAATGTATATACTCAAAACAACCATAAAAAAGTGTAATTTTCAGTGAAAGGCGATCAATTAATTTCGTTTTTTCATTAACACAATTTAGATAAATGTAATACAATTTAAAATTTTTTTTTCATTAAATAATTTTTTGTTTTATCCTTAAAGTTATTTTACAAGTTACTTCTTAACATTTTTTTTTCTTTTTTACTATAGACATATAAAAAATTTAATTACATTTGTATTTATTATGTAAAGTCATTTTTATAATGTGTTTGTTATTTCATAATGGTGTGTGATAATGAAATATTTTATATTGTTACAGAATATTTTGGAAGATGAAGAAAAAAAGAAATACCTTCGCCACCAAGATTGAGGAGATTTTTTTGAAAATGGCAAAATATAAGGAATATTTGATGATGATTGATTTAAACAATTTTCGTTTAAATTTAATTGACAATCGACATCGTTTTTCAAATCATTGAGGTAATTTTTTTCTATATAATTTGAATTTTCTTTTTTTAAAATTCCTATTGCCTTGAGAAATAGTAGAAATAATTTATTTCATATTTTATTCTTTTTAGTTTTTTTTTACCTTTACTATTTTATTTATTTATATAAACAGAAAGAGTAAAAAAAATATATAAAAATTATTTTTTTGAAAAAAATATTTAAAAATTCTCTTGATAATAATTTTAGTATCTTATAAAAAAATTACATATGCTATAATATCTTGTACTGTCTGATCAAAAAAGAATTTTTCTACTTAAAGTATATAAACGCAGTTTATTGAAATATTTTCAGATTAAATTGATTAGGGAGAAAAAATTAATTATAAATTATTTTTAACGGTTTAAATTTGTTTTTCGTTAATTTGAAAAAAAAAAATTTCAATTTCTATTTGAACTTACTTTTTGCGATTTATAAGTTTTTACAGTCGGTGTATTTTGATTTAATCCATTTTTTATACTTTGAAAAAACCTTAAAATTTAGCGATAATTAAGAATTAATTTTTAAAAAAAAAATTTAATAATTTTTTTAATATTTAAAAAAATAATTTTTTTCGATATCTTTTAGAATATTTTTTCTATAAATTGGAGCAATATTCGATTATACCTTTTTTTACTAAAGAAATAATTTCTATATATATTTTTGAACAATAAAATATTCAAAGAAGAAATAATTTGTTATTAAACAAATTTATGATTAAAGGAAAAAAGAAAAAAAAAGAAAACAATTTTGTTCTCTGATTTTTTTTTTGAAAATTTTTCATTTTATTTATTGAAGATATTTTTGTTTTGAAGAATATTGATTATTCTAATGACAATCCCATGTAATTCATGGGGTTAAGGAGAGTTGCTTTGACGTTCATGTAATGTCGTATATGTTAGAGAAATTGCATGAATTTTTCTAATCAAGGGTCACATACAACTAGCGAAAGCATTTTGCTTTCGAATTTACTTAACTTTGTAATTCATGTATTTCCTTAAACACTTTTTTTTTTTTTTTTGGTTCACAACTATTATTTTTATTCTTCACCCGCGTTAAATGAAATATTTCTTCTTTGAAACTAAACATTTCTTCTTCATCTTGCTACAAAATATTTTCGATATTAATAATTTTATAATTTTTTTTCTTCAAATTTTTTATAAGAAAATGAATTTCTTAAAAAATTTGTTATTTCTTTTGTAAAGAATTGTTTTTTTCTTTCTATGGTAAAAATATATATTCTTCTATTTTGGAAGAAATTATTTCCTCGGTAAAGAAGGGATAAAAATAAAAAAAAAAGAAAATTTTTGCAAAAAAAAAATTAATTTTTTTTTATATAGAATTAATTTTAATACATTTTATATATACCGTCTGTCAGGAAATTGACAATAATTCCAATCGTTTTCTTGGAATACTAAACCATCGCTAAATGTGTATTGTTTCTCTTGTAATTCACCATGATGCCAGACTCCATCAATTCGTTGCTTTTGCGGCCATTCCAATGATCCTTGACCATGAAAAACATAGTCTTTAAATTCGCCCTCAAAAATCACACCTGTTGAGATTATTTTTTTTTATTTTCCCACTTCTTTTAATTTTATATATATTATATTTTTTATATTTAATTTTTCCTTTTATTTTACTTACATTTTTTTTAAATTAATTCCATTTATTACTATTTTACTATTGTATTTATTTAATTTAATTTCTTTATTTTATTTTATATCTTTATTTTTTTATGTAAACAAAAAAAAACAAGAATTTAAAAAAAAAGAATATTTTTAAAAATATATAATTTTAATTATATGCATTTTGTTAAAATTTTAATTAATAATTAATTAATAATAATAATTACTGTTTTGTTTTAAGAACTACTATTGTACGAAAGGGCTTGTCTCGTCAACTTATATTAAAATAAAAAAAAATTATTTAATAATTAATAATTAATCATTTTAATTAATTAATTTGTATATATACGGACAGTGCCCTTTCGTACAAGTGTATATATACTTAAAAAAAAAAGGAAACGTCTTAAAATTTAATATAAAAAATTTTGCAAAAAGAAGAGAAAAAAAGAAACGATTAATTAAAAATATATTTTTTGAAAAAATATTTTTTTTTTCCTCCCTTTATAATGAAAGTTGCTTAAAAAAAAGGAACTATGGAATTTTTTATCCATTGTAATAACGTTTTGTATTGTTGTATATATAGTACTTGTCTCTCTGTAAAGAGAATATATATGTACTTTGAAGTAGGCGCCACTTGAGGGAATGCGCTTCATTATTAAAACGTGTTTCTACACGCGTGTATATATATATATAGTTAGTATCCTCTCATTATGCATGTGCATAAGTCGCATGCAAGCTTCGTATACATTTATACACTATAATTAGAATATAGTATCGTTCAACAGTAAGCCAATTAATTTCTGAATGGTTGAACAAGATTTTTGTTTTTTTTCTTTTCTTTGTATATACCTATATATATATATATATATATACATTTTTTGAATACGCAATCCAGACTCATTTAAAAATCGGAAGTTGCATGTATCTCTCTCATGCAATTTCTCTGAATTTTCTTTATATTTATTCAAAAAGGAAGTCAAATTTTTTTTTTATTAAAAATAAATTTTTTTATTGGATAAATTCAATGTAATGTAAATAAAATTTATTTGATTCAAATAATCGGTTACTTGACTAATAAATAATAATAATAATAATAATTTAGAATTTTTTTTTTCAAATAAATATTTTGTTATGACGTGACATGACTTTATAATAATAATAATAATAATAATCATTGACACTGACCGTGTGGCATAATGAATCTGCCAAATCCTGACATTCCAATTGAATTACATTTGCCAATGTACTTGCTACCAGTGAAGAAATAAATCTCCTTATTTACTTCTTCTTTGCTTTCGTTAAAATGTACGTCAATTGATTTTTGTTGGAGAATTTGTATCTTATCCATCATTTGTGATAAATTCTTTTTATTTTCTTCGTCTTCTATTTCATTTTCTTTCTTTTTTATTTCTTCGTTTTTTATTCCTTCTTTTTCTATTTTATTTTCATCTCTTATTTCTTCTTTTTGTATTTCCCCCCTTTCTTTTTTTTCCTTTTGTATGTCATCCCTCTCTTCTATTTCTTCATTTTGTATTTCATTCTGCTCTTCTATTTCTTCCATTTCTATTTCATTATCCTCTTTCATTTCTTCTTTTTGTATTTCCTTTTCTTCTATTTTCTCCTTTTGTATGTCATTTTTTCCTTCTATTTCTTCTATTTCTAATTCATTATCCTCTTCCATTTCTTCTTTTTGGATTTCCTTTTCTTCTATCTTCTCCTTTTGTATGTCATTTTTTCCTTCTATTTCTTCTATTTCTAATTCATTATCCTCTTTTATTTCTTCTTTATGTATTTCCTTCCCTTCTATTTTTTCCTTTTGTATTTTCTTCTCTGCTATTTCTTCATTTTGTATTTTTTCTTCTTTTCTTTTCCCATCCTCTTTTATTTCTTCTTCATTCTCTTCGATTTCTTCAATTTCATTTTCCATTTTATTCACTTCTTCTCTTTCCATTTTTCTTATTTGTTAACTTCAAATTTTTCTCTGTGGGAAATAATAATTAGATTCTTTTTAAATATAAAACAATTTTTGTTGTTGTTTCAATTTTACTGATTTTCGAAATCATAATTTTGATTAAAATAAAAAAAAAAAATGAATTTAAAAATAGAAGGAAATCTTTTAGTTGTAGAAGAAATAATAAATAAATTTTATTTAATAATAAAAACAATTATCGAATTCAGTAGAAACAGTCAATAGCGGTCAGACATAAAGTTATATATTTGTGAAATATGAAAAATTAGTTGTAAAAGTGAGTTTTATTTAGAGAAAATAAATTCTCATTATCAGTAGTAAAAGTAATAATTAGTCAGACCAATATAATTTTTTCGCCAAGTAGTAAATGTAAATTATAGTCAGACATTGTGGTAATATTTTTTAAATTTTTCTATACAGTTGTTTATGTAATTTTTTTGTTCAGACAGCAAAATTTAAATTCTTTTAATTTTTTCCTTAGTAGCAAAACTAAATTATAGTCAGACATTACAATTATTGCTTAAGAGAAAAATTGCATTGTCTGACTTAAATTTAGTTTTACTACCGAGAAAAAATTATAATTCTTTTTTTATCGAAATTGTAATTATTAGACAGACAATTATAATTTTTTTGATTAAGTAGTATAAGTAAATTTTAGTTATTTTTTAATTTTTATATAAGTAGTAGAAGTTGTTTTGAGTCAGACATAATTAAATTTTTTTTTCCCCATTTTTGCAGCAGTAGTAAAAGTAAATTTTAATCAGTTTTTTTTGTAATTCTTGACACGAGTAGTAAAAGTAATTTTTAGTTAGACACTATAATTTCTTTTATAGTAGTAAAAGTAAATTTTAGTTATATTATAATTTTTTACATAAGTAGTAAAATTAATTTTTAGTCAGACATTATTTTTTATGTTCTTAAAATTTTTTGCAGCAGTAGTAAAAGTTAATTTTAGTCAGACAGTATCATTTAAATGCTTTTTAAATTTTTGGCATTAGTAGTAATAGTAATTTTTAGTCAGACGCTATAAGTTTTCTCTAAGTAGTAAAAGTTGATAGTAATTTATATGTAATTTTTCAATTTTTCTACATAAGTAGTAAAAGTAGTTTTTAATCAGACAAAATTAAATTACTCTAATTTGTATCTAATTGTAAGTAGTAAAAGTAAATATTTTGTCAGACAACACTGTTAGGAATCTTTCTTTTTTTTTTATTTTGTTGTATATAAATAAATTAAAAAAAAATAATTTTCAAACTATTTAAAAAAAAATTAGTACTTTACAGTATAATAAAAGCGGAAATATATATATTTTGATATATTCAATTTGCATAACACTTGCGATATCTTTTATAAGTTTCTTCAATTGGTGAAAGCTACTTTTCTGATTGATAGGATAATCCAAATGATTTTTTTTTATAAATTGCAATTTCTCTCACATAATTTTAATTCTTTCCTCATAATATATATTAACTTATCTTCATTTTACATAGCTCATTTTCATTAAATAAATAATATTAATTAAAACAAAATAATAATTTGAAAATTTCAATTTTTAAACAAAAATTATTCTTTTGACAAAATAGATTTTTTGGTTACGTTAAAAAAAAATTGTGAAAAAATGACGTACGATAGGAAAAATTTTATTAAAAATTAAAAAAAATATGGAAAATAAAATTTTTTGAACTATATAGCAAAATGGAATTATATTGCAATGAATAAAATTAGAAGTAACAGTATAAAAGCAATATAATTTTCCAATGAATTTTTATTATAAAAAAAAAAAAATAAAAACAACTTATACATGAATGGATGAACATGAAACGGTTTTTTTGTGAGTAAAATTCTTTGTTTTCATTGGTCGAGAAATCTCAGGTTTACGGTAATCGCATCACGAGAGCATTTGAGATAAATCTTTGTTAGCATAAACCGCAAAATTTTCTTTTGACAGGTGTGAGCAAGGAAGCATGATTTTATATCTTTGCTGCTGTTTAATAGTAAATTATTATTATTATTATTATTATTATTATTATTGATCTTCAATATTCGATTTTATTGACCGTATCCCATTGATATAATATTGAACCAACATAATATTTCTCTTGGGTAACTTTTACAATTTACATGCTCGAGTGAATCTCACGTTGATTATACTGGTGCTCTTTTATATTGTAAACTAATTTCCATGATTCTTTGATGATATTATGTCATTTTAAAATCATAAAAAAAAAATAAAATAAAATTACACTGAAAATATAATAGGTAATGAAAGTACTTATATATTTTTCTTGTTATTTGATATTATTTCTCTATTTTTATCGCCTTTTGTTTATTATTATTTTATTTTTCATTATTATGGGATTTTAATTATTTTTGACTTTGATTTAATTAATTTATTATTATAACTAATCAATTATTTATTAATTATTAATTATTCTTCTTTTCTCATTTCTTATTTTTCTTTCCATATATATTTTTACTTCAATTTATTCTTGCAATTTATTATAATTCTATATTAATGTTAATTTCGACAAAATTAAAAGCAGTAATGTGATTTTTCCACTAAATGCAAATTTGCAACTATAAATTCGTAAATTTGGCAAAACAAATAAATAATAAATAAAATATAAAACAAAAGAAATTAATGGAAGAAAAAAGAAAAGAATTTTGTTTTTTTAGTTTTTAAAAAAGAAAATTGAAGTAGTGGGTAAGGGTAATAATATGGTTGATGGCTAGAGGTTATAAAAGACATCCATTCCCTGAAAGGCGCTCAGTACGAACGCGAGAGCTGAAGAGCACATACAGTATACATCTCTTTTATAAAATATATATATATATATACAAAAACTTTATTCCTAAGACGAGTGTTTCTCATCTTAAATAGAAAAAAAAAATTTTTTTAAATAAAAAAAAATTAATTTTATTTTTCAATATGATCACCATAAACGATTAGTATATATAAGTGATACAGTTATTAAGTCAAAGTTTTCATATATGGTGATAGTGCTGTGAATTTTTCCCGCATTGGAAAAAGGATCATTTTTGCCAATCAGAGGTAGGAGGGTGTTAATTTTTGTTTTTTTTTTTCTAATTCTTTAAAATTCTAATATATTTTATTAAAATTTATTACTTTCTTCTTTAAGAGATTATTGATGTTTTTTTAATTCATTCATTTTTGTAAATTATATAAATATAATTAATTAATTGTTTTTAAATTAATAATTTATTATTATTATTATAGTTTTATTATTATGTTTTATAATGAAAATTATAATTACAACCATAATAATTATAATTATTATTATCATTCCCATGTGGAAAAAGTAAATAAAATTTATATTGCAAATTGAGTATATATATTTTATATATAAATTATATTTAAATTATATTTAATTTTTTCGCATGAACAAAAATTAAATATAATTTTTACATAATTTAAATATAAAAAATATATACTCAATTTAAAATATAAATTATATTTACTTTTTCCACATGGGATTTTTATTATTATTACATATTATTGTTATTATTTTTATTATTGATAGTAAACATTGTGGAAGAGAAGATGAATAATTTTACTTTTGCGATTACTCTCTCGAGTATAGTCTTCGTTTTCAAGCAACGGATGAGAAAAATCGATGAATTTAATAATTTATTAATAGTCAAGTTTCATTGATCGGTTTTCAACTTTTAATTAAAGATAAACACGTGTGCTAAGAATTTTTCACCAAAAAAAAAACAAAATAGTTATTTTTTTAAAATTTCATTTATTTTAAGTTTATGCCTTTAATTATAATTATGATACTCCAAAATTGTCAATATTTACAAATAACAACAAAATATTAATAATAATAATTTTTTATCCATATAAATAAATAATAATACAATCAAAAAGAAATTTATTTCATCCAAATAATAAATTACTTATTATAACAATTATATTTATAATATTTTTAATTATAATAATTATAATTATAATATGCAAATTAAATAACAAAATTAATTTCACGTAGATGAGAAATATATATATATATATATATATTTATAAAAAAAGTGGGAAAATATAAAGAAATATAAAATTTAAATATTAAAAGAAATTCTATGGGGGTTACAAAGGAAAATTAAAATCAGTTCAATGTGATTTATATACTTTTTTAATTAGAAAATTTAAGTGGGAAATTTTTTTTATCTTTTCCTTTCCTTTTTTTTTTTTTTTTGATGAACTGTTGCATAAATTTCTTGAAACAAAGCAAATAGGCAGAAATGAATCATGAATATAATTGCCGTGATGAAAAATTTCAATGTTTCGTGCATTGGAAGCATAATATTTAAAAGCAAGAAAATGTCAACAAGTCGGGGAAAAATTTAATATAGCGCACCATGAAATTATTATTATTATTCTTTTAAACTTTTCTGGAATTTTTCAAACAAATAAGAATTGAATTAACCTAATAATAATGAATAAATTTTAAATAATAATAATTAATTAATAATAACTAATTAAAAATAAATAATAATTAATTAATAATTATTTAATTATACTAAAAAAAAAATTTTACCTGGAACAGCGAAAGGTTTCACAAGAATAGCAAAATTTGAAATTGTTTCATTTAAATCTTTTCCTATTTTAGTGAAATTTTTCGCTGTTCCAGATAAAATCTTTTTTTTTCGTTTAATAATAATTATATTTAATAATAATTAATATTATTTGATATAAATATAAATATTTATTTTGAATTCCATAAATTTGATATATTATTATCCTTTTTTTTCATTTAATTTGCATTTATTAAATTAAAATTTAATTTTTGCCTGGCGATCTCATTTCCTGAGAGAGTCACTGATAAAAATGAGGTGGAAAAAATGCCAACTTGAAATTAGATAAAAATAGCAATAAATTTTATGAGAAAATTAAATTAGAGTGAAAAAAATATATATATAAATCAAAAAAAAAAAAATTGTTAAATTTCCGGTTACCCTAGTTTTTGTGTAATAAAATTAATTTTAAA